ATCGTGGATGAAGGTGGAGAACGATGATCATGAGGAGAGGCGTTTTGCTTCCGCTGATTCAGGGTCCTAAAGCCACTGGGCTGTAACACTGGCTTTAAGATCTGCCTTACTATCTCAATATTTTAGAAACTTGATACTATTTTTGCGTGATTAACTTGTTACAACATCATCAAACGATCTCAAGAAAACAATCATAAGGTTTGTTTTAACGTAATTAAAATATTCAACAATTGACAATCAATCGATTGATTGTCATGTTGAATATTTGCATATATATATATATATATATATATATATATATATATTATATATATATATATATATATATATATATATATATATATATATATATATATATATATATAAATGTTTTTGTAACTCAGACCCCCAGATAGTTATTTTCTTTGGTAACTATAAATTGTTGCACTTTTCAGTTTCAATTGATATGTTCTTTATGTTTCAACCTAAACAGTTACAGATTAAATATTATTCCATTTTAAAGTAATTTCAACTGTTTTGAACAATTTTAACACAAAATTAAAAAAAAAAAAAAACATTTTGCAATCTATAGGCTGTTCATGTACTGCTGGCATTTTCTGATCTTTCATAGAAATTTTAGGAGTTACTTTTTTAAACACACATTGTACTTTCTGGAACTTACCAAAAACATTTAAAGAACGTTCTTGAGTAAGCAAGTAGTATAATAAGGAACCGATATGCCACTGGAGGTTCTGTTCCTCCAATGTGCCATTGGCAATTTTTGTATCAAGGTAAATAAAACCTTTTCTTAATCCGGAGTTGTCTTTTTTAAGACAACTACGGATGATCTGTGCTTTATCCCAGCAACACTTTCTTGGAATTTACCACCAATTACTTTCTAACAGCTTAACACTTTCTTAGAGCTTTCATGAAATTTACTGAGAAATCAGGTTATATAATGGGGTATTATCCTGGAAATTTGGGGTCACAACTGACTGAGGTCCTTTAGGAACTAAACTGTATTATGAGGTGACCTGTCAACATATTCTAATTGTTGCACTAAGCAGTAATATTGTATGTCCATTTAAGAATCATATCAATCTACTGATAGAATAAAGGTAGATCATCTCTGTTTTGTAAGAGGTACAGTTACATTTACAGAGTGAACCGTTCGGTCCTGTTCCTGCTGTAAATAACTCAGAAAACCTTTTTAAAAGACTAAGACATTGTACAAACAATGAAAGAAGAAACGGGATTGTTTTGACAGCTTTACTGATGACAACTTTACAGCGGCAGAAATAAAACCATAAAAATACTCTGTGGGATATTTTACTTTTCATTGTCTGGATCAGATACAAAATATTTCTACACATTCAAAGATTCATGGATTACAGAAAAAGCTGCTCTTTAGTTTGATGCTAAAGAGCTTTAAGCAAATCCTAAGCTTTGAATAATGATTTGCCTCTTCTGACTGATCAGGTGACACCAGAGGAAACCACTATAGTATTTCATCTCGCATTTGTTAGTTTAATTAATACAAAACTCATATCCAAACAATGCAGTAAGTAATGAGAGAGGAGGATCATCCCCTCTACAGATCACCCTCTAAAACTCAGTAACTACTCCAACAGATATTGGTAGAATCCAATGAAGAAAAAAAAAACTAAGAGGTATACAGAGAGAATGAAAAGTATAACAAATGAAGGGTCATTAAAAGTGCTGCTATAAATGTTAAGCAACTGTGGTGGAAATTTTCACTGTCAAATCACTGTTCAAGAAGTTCTCCCGAAGCTCCAAAGTGCTTTGGGTTGATTATGCAGCAGAAGTGGGATTTTCTTTTTCTACAAAAAGACTTCAACAACCTTTGAAGAGCACATTTACTTCTGCTTTGTCCAATATTGATTGACTAAAGACAAGTGGGGAAACTCCGAAACCACCAAAGGATTTTAATCCTCCCACCTCCACATTTTACTCCTCCAAGACAGATTCTCCAGAGAAACGTCCGTGTTCTCCTCTTTATAGACCAGAGAAATCCTGTGAAACCACCATTCCACGGCTCTTCAAAGTTGTTTCCTCTGCTGTGTCCAATTAAATTGATTTGTCTCCAAGAAAATAAAGTTTTATGTTTTGATCTTCTGGTGATATGCGTCACATTTTTTTACCATCACCAAGCTGAAGCGGTGACCTTAAAGCATTTTCTTAATTTAGTACCAGATGTCATAACATAATTATTAGAAACATTGCATAGCTGACAGGGAAAAAAACAACAATCAAGACAGAAAAATACAAGAATTGTTAATTTGTGTCATAAAATGCCAACAGAACCTCACAGAGAAGCATTGACCTTTACAAGGTCAATGCAATGACCTTGTAAAGATTTAAAATTCACAAGGTTGACCCTGTTTCTTCACAACCTCTGCAATCCTTTCTGGCATGCTAGATATAAACTTCTGAAGCAAATCCCGGCTTAGAGTGAACCATTCTTGACGTATCAGAGTCTGGAGCTGCTCGCTGTTCGACGACTTCTGCTTGTCCACTCGCTTTTTGAGGAACGACCAAAGGTTCTCCATGGGGTTGAGATCGGGAGAGTTTTCTGGCCACAGGTCCAAAACTTCAACCTCATGGTCTTTGAACCACTTGGTTATCAGTTCTGCCCTGTGGCATGGTGCCCCGTCATGCTGGAAAAAATATTTTCCATCATCAAACTGCTCGTGTATTGTTGGTAGGAGCTGCTCCTGCAGGACGGTTTGATACCACTCTTCGTCCATGGAGGTGTCCTTGGGTAAAACTGAGAGTGAGCCCACTCCCTTGGATGAGACACAGCCCCACACATGCACCGCATCGAGATCCGTCACTGCTGGCACCACACAGGTCTCCTGGGTGGCCTCATCTTTTCTTCTTACCGATCCTTTCCCAGATGTTGCAAACAATCGGAAGGAAGACATGTCAGAGAAAATGACTTTGCACCAGTCCTCTGTGGTCCAGTCTATGTACTTCTGGCAGAACTCCAGTCTGCCCTGGGCCTTTTCCTCCGACAACAGTGGCTTTTTGGCGGACCTTTTTCGTCTCCCTGTGCAAGCAGACGCACCCACTCCCACCTTTTGCAACTGTTGAGCAAGCTCTGCACCAGTGGCACTCTTCAGCAGAAGATCATCCTGGTTCTTGCTGGACAGTTTCGGACGCTCAACACAATGCAAAACCCGCTTCACTGTGGACAGAGACACTTGCATTCCAGCAGTTTCCAGTTCCTGCCAGATCTGAACCTTGGTGGTTCCCGGATTGTCTTTGAACATCTTGACCAGTTTCAGTTCGTCTGAGTGGGAAAGCTTGGGCCTTCTCCCAGACCGGGGCAAAGTGCTGACGCACCCAAATAAATCATACTTGCGTATGATCGATTGAACGGATGATTTGGGAATCTGTAGCTCTTTAGAAATGGCTCCGAGAGACTTTCCTGACTTGTGCAGATCTACAATTCTCCTCCTCACATCCTCACTGAGTTCCTTGGACTTCCCCATTGCTCTAAGGGGCTAAATCTAATGAGTGCTGTGACAAGAAAAACTTTTATGCTGACTGGGGTGCACTGTATGTTTATATAACCAACAAAACGCCTGATAACCTAATTTTGGGGGCTTCCAGGCAGCTGGCTGTGGCCCAGGGGTGCTGCCCTCAGCAGGCCTCTGAACACGTTGCAGGAGTGACTTTGCACCGGAAGAACCGGGAGCAGTCCGAGTCTGCTATTAGCGCAAATATTTGCGTCCAGTTTCAACGACGAGCCAGAGGTTTGTAGACACAGACAGCCATGATGATCAGCAGCAGCAGCAGGGCGGCGAGGACACTCCCCAACGTCACTGTGAAGCAGCAAAACACACGCACAGGTCAGCGCCTCAAAACCGCCTCAAAACACCTCAAAGGATGCATTCACCGCTGCACAGCGGATCGGAACATGGCGATGTTACAGCAAAACGCAACAAAAGAACAAAAAGCAAACAGCGGCCCGGATGGCAGAGATCCAGAGCCAGTGCTCATACTGGTTTCCAGAGAAAGCGCCGGGTCTCACCGAGGTTCTGCTTCTGCAGGACCGCATAGGGATTTTCGGTCACGCTGGAGGCGTCCTGAGCGCTGGTTATCACACTAAAACATAATATTACAGCCTGTGGGATGAGATGCAGGATCATGTTACAGGATGGAGGAGGAGAACGAGGAGGAGGAGGAGGATGGGAGGCGTTTCTTCTTCCGCTTCATCAGGGTCCTAAAGCCACTGGGTTACTGCGCTGAGCAATGGCGCCACCAAGGGGAAGCCAGAAAGAAATACCGAAAAATCAAAGCTGTTTTCTGTATCAGTCTGTTAGAAGTTAACTCCAGTTAATAAAGTCTTAATAAAGTCTACCAACAGGAGACACCAATCTGTCCAAATATGGATAAGAACCACAAAAATTGAAAAAAAGAAATGAAAAAAAAAAAAAAGAAACAATACAACATAATCAGGACGTGCCTTTGGAGGGGCGGGGATCAAAGTTAAATAGGGGCACATTGACATTAAGGTGATTGGGAGAGAAGAGGGCTTTTTCCCACTATTGCGAGGACCAATATGAAAAATACATAGAAACAATCTTTCTAAGGTCAACATCAGACCTATGTTTTTATTCACAAACAAGTGTGTGTTGAAAAAAAAATATTCTTGCCCATAATCTGAGATTTAGAGGGTGCAGATCTGGGCCTGGTGTTTCAACAACATGGATGCAGAAGCATTGAGAATCCTCAGGCATTATTAATCCAGGGGCAGCCAGACTAATTTATTCATGCAAAATTATTATATATGGCTAAATATTATTCTTGGGGGGGAAAGGGGAGGACACAATCAGGCCTCCTGACACACAAATCAAAGAAAATTGAAAAGAAAACCAGACAAACTCAAAAAGGGCAAAAGGGACATGGTCTCAAGCCCTTTTAGCTCCTCCCCCCCCCCCCTTTCCTCTGCACGTGCCTGCATAAAGATCTGCCATTGGACGAATAGATATTCCAATATCAAACCGCATAACACTTCCAACCGTCAAAAAGCGAAGAAAGAAGAAAGAGCTCACGGATTGCTGCGACAGACTTAACGTTACTCGTTGGATTATTAGAAAGCTTGATTTCGATAAAAATGAGGGAAATTCTTCATCTTCAAGCTGGTCAATGTGGCAACCAGATTGGTGCAAAAGTAAGTAAACATTCATTTTTAAAAGTGAGACCTAAATTCGTTAGGACACCAACTGAAAACTTACACTTTAGTTTGGGCGGGCTTCTGAATTAGCTTTAGCTAGTTTAGCAGACAAAAAAAGTAAAGGTAAGTGCTAGCAAAATGGCGAGCTATAGACATACAAAATGAAATAGCTTGTTATTAATCCAATTTAGATTGTTTAACATCGACTGAAAAGCTACATTTAAGTTGAGGCCAAAAATATTAACATAATCGTTAAACCATAGCCGTTGGTTTAAATGTGATTTTTCCTCTCTCTTTGATTGTAGTTCTGGGAGGTAATAAGTGATGAACATGGCATTGACCCAACCGGGGTATACCACGGAGACAGCGACCTGCAACTCGACCGAATCAACGTTTATTACAACGAGGCATCAGGTTTGTTCACGCTTCACTTCACAGTGCAGTTAGTGGAGGAAACGCTTTAGTACCGCTGCCGTTACCGTACACAGGACGGCCGTTATATCGCCCGTTTTGAGTTTTGAATGACGCACGCTAATTCAAGCTACGGGGCTCTGCTGTGGTGAAGGGGTAGAGCGCGCGACCAAATACACGGAGGCCTCAGCTCTGCCCGTCACGGGTTCGAGTCCCGCCCGACGACCACTGCAGCATGTATTCCCCCCTCTCGCTTTCCTGTCTGACTATTCTCAATTATGAGTGTTCCTGACGATTATGCTTCGAGTGATTTACATTTCACATTTTCCACAAATCATTTTTGATCCGTTCATTACAATGTTATCCAGATTTTATTTGTCAATCAGGTAATGATGTTACAGTGTTTTCATATGACTTCTTTCCTCTCCTCTCTCTGTTAGGGGGGAAATATGTCCCTCGTGCTGTGTTGGTCGACTTGGAGCCAGGCACCATGGACTCTGTGAGGTCTGGACCTTTTGGCCAAGTGTTTAGACCTGACAATTTTGTTTTTGGTACGTATATTTTTGTAAGAATTTAGTTTTGATTTGAAACATCAAACTACCATATATTGGAGTGTTAATAGTTTACTTTCTCAAATGTTTGCCCATAATAAATAAATGAAACTTGATACTTAGTATGTCAGGATTTTTATTAAAAGCTGACTTTTTATTATTATTATTAAATACTTTGATCTGTAACAGGTCAGAGTGGTGCTGGTAATAACTGGGCTAAGGGCCACTACACCGAAGGAGCTGAGCTGGTGGACTCAGTCCTGGATGTAGTGAGAAAGGAGGCAGAGGGCTGCGACTGTCTACAGGGCTTCCAGCTCACCCACTCCCTGGGAGGAGGCACTGGCTCCGGGATGGGCACGCTCCTCATCAGCAAAATCCGAGAGGAGTACCCAGACCGCATCATGAACACGTTCAGCGTGGTGCCGTCACCAAAGGTTTATGTTGTCATCTTCCTTAAATAATGGCTCAAATTGGTTCCCCCAACCCTAAAGTGATTTTATTTATGTATTTTTGCTTTACTAATCACTTTTGCAATACACCATGTTCCAAATTATTAAATCCTTCTCCCAATCTTAAACTAGGTTTCATTGTTCTTTCCGTATTTTCCTCCTGGCAGGTGTCGGACACTGTGGTGGAGCCCTACAACGCCACCCTGTCCGTCCACCAGCTGGTGGAGAACACTGACGAGACCTTCTGCATCGACAACGAGGCGCTGTACGACATCTGCTTTCGCACGTTGAAGCTCACTACGCCCACCTACGGCGATCTAAACCACCTGGTGTCGGCCACCATGAGTGGCGTCACCACCTGCCTGCGCTTCCCCGGCCAGCTGAACGCCGATCTGAGGAAGCTGGCCGTCAACATGGTGCCGTTCCCCAGACTGCATTTTTTCATGCCAGGCTTTGCCCCGCTGACGAGCCGCGGCAGCCAGCAGTACCGGTGAAGACGCTCAATCCACCCTTAGATTAGGATTATCCCCCCCACTTCCGTAGATACTTAATTCCAACTGAATGTCTCATCTTTTCCAAGGGCCCTGACTGTCCCCGAACTCACCATGCAGATGTTCGACGCCAAAAATATGATGGCGGCATGTGACCCGCGCCACGGCCGCTACCTGACAGTGGCCGCCATCTTTCGCGGCCGCATGTCCATGAAGGAGGTGGACGAGCAGATGCTGAACGTTCAGAACAAGAACAGCAGCTACTTTGTCGAGTGGATCCCCAACAATGTGAAGACAGCCGTCTGCGACATCCCGCCACGGGGCCTCAAGATGTCCGCCACCTTCATCGGAAACAGCACGGCCATCCAGGAGCTGTTCAAGCGCATCTCGGAGCAGTTCACTGCCATGTTCCGCCGCAAGGCCTTCCTTCACTGGTGAGTTAAGGTTAATAGAACGCTAGTCTGTCTGGCTAGCTAGAGAGTTTGTTTGGGGAGGTGTGAATGTGCTACCGAACTGATGTTGACCAATAAAACAAAATCTGGTCCACCAAAAAAACCTAGATCTCAATTCGGTTGAATGAACTCTGGTGCGGTTCACATTCATATGGGAATGCAAGTGTCCCAGAGACTTCTTCAAAAGCAGGAAGCTAACTTTAACGAAGGGTTTTCTGGGTAAATGCATCCAAAACAAATGCCTCATGGTCAAATACAGAGGCAAAATCCTACAACCACTAAAATCTGACCCTTGATGCAAGGAGGGAAACGGGTCATTCAACAGGTTTGGTCTGATTGACACACTGCAGTGTGAAAGTAAAGCGCACCATCTGAAAACGTAACAAATGTTGCAATTTTCATCCTCAATCTAACGGAGTTTATCAGGCTATCAGGTGTACTAAAACACAGTGGCGTTCTTGTGCAAGGCATAGATGCTAATGTCGTACACCGGTACAGGTACACCGGCGAGGGCATGGATGAGATGGAGTTCACTGAGGCGGAGAGCAACATGAATGACCTGGTGTCTGAGTACCAGCAGTACCAGGACGCCACGGCTGAGGAGGAGGGCGAGTTTGAAGAGGAGGAAGAAGACATGGCCTAAGCAGCTAATACGAAGCATTAGCATTGTTAGAGTTCAGCGTTTATTTCTTTGTTGAAACCAATGACTCTTAAGGTGTGATAAAGATCACCAGTTTAGCTTGTTCTAAATGTTTTTGATTTTTTTTTCTTTTCTTTGCAGAAAACATGTTAAGTATTGCAGTTGAATTTTTTTCTGGAACATGTGCTAACCTGTAATTCTGCCTGTAGCATTTTGAATATTTTGTACATTGAAGCTTTCATCTGTGAGCGGTTTGTTTTTATGTGGTCGCTCACTTTTTTATTGGGACTGTGATGATGAGCGGTTTTCTCAATGTTGTAACTCCTCCAGTCCTACCTCCACATTGACCGCTTGCAATACATTTCTGCAAAGCTGTTTATTTTTCTATGTAACTCTGACAAGATGGTGCAGAACCCACCTAGCGACATGGGAGAAGAAAAAACAACTATATATGATATCTGGTGGGAACAACTTCATAATAAAAAGATATGGCCAATAGTGTTTTTTAATTCCCATGTCACTGGTTGGGCTCTGTAAGTTTGTCTGTCTTTGGATTTTGTAGTTTTCAGTCTGTGATGTATTTAGGATAGTTTCAGTGATATCACTACACTAAAAAACTTGATAGTATGTTCATAGAGTTTTAAATAAAAGTTTTTACCATGATACTAATCTGTGGATTAGTGTTTTTGTTAGTTGAAGGCATATAATTAAGAACTTTAGCAATTCAGGAGGATTTTAATGTTTTGATGTTGAACATGAAGGAAATAAATCTGGATGTTACATAGGCTGTGTATAAAGGGCGATATCTGCTGGCCAAATGGCAGCATTGCATTTAATCTGAGGAAACTTTTGAGCCATGTAGAGTTAAAATCCAGCATGTGTGCAGTAACAAGATGCAAAGATCTGAAACAATAATACACAATTAAACTGATTGAATATTTTCAGATCCATCAAACATACAATAGTTGAAGTTGGTGATGATCTGCAGAACTCTGGATCCTGAGGAGGAAATAAAGTTCTGGTCCAACTTTCTGCACCAGAAGCAGAACAACAGAAAGTTCATGATTGGCATTGAAATTAAATCTAAGCCGAGCATTTAACTGAGATCTGTTGACTTATCTGTGCATAAATTAATCAAAAATAAAGGAAAACTTTTTTGTAAATTTTTTAATAAGCAATTTATGGATAAATGTATATTACTTAATGATGGGTTGAAAGACCCAGGATGTATGAATGACATTTGGAAAACAGGTTACTACTCTAGTCCATGAAAATAAACAGAAATGTCATGGCTTAGTTACTGCAGAGATAATTAAAGTCATCCACGGGCAATTTGGGGGATCCAAACAGACTGAATTCAATTTAAAACATTTTCAGAATGAGAAAAAATAAACCAGGGATGGAAGACGATGTTTATCTTTTACTGAGAGCACTTTCTTTTATTTTAATTTTGGTAGTACGTGGAATCACAAACCAAACCTCCAGGCAGTTTTATCAACAAGCTCACTAAAAAGTTTGTAGAGCACAAAAAAAAGGAAAAAAGAAAATGGAAATAAAAGAAATTGAAAGTGTTTCTAATAAGTTATTAGTACAACTCTTTTTATGTTCAAGATGATTTATACATCTACAAAATGTGACTATCTAACAAATCACTTTGCAAATGTAATTAAAATAGCTTATATTTTACATATTTTTTCATTGTTAAGCAGGTAGAAAATTCTGAAAAATATTTGAACTGTTTTCAGTAATGAGGTTATGTGTTTGTGTTGGAACAGAAAGGAAAGATATAATTGTAAGTAACTTTTCTCAATATGTCTATATATAGTTATAGCAAACAGAATATTAAATTTTATCTGATATATCAGCTCGGACTTGTTTAGCTAATGTGGAAATATGACAAGTAGAAAGTAATGAGATTACCTGTAGCATCTTTCCTGTTTCGTATTTGTGCAATGTCAAAGTGCAATGAAGAACCGGCGCGTCAGGCTCCTTGGGGTGACATATTATATCGTCTCTCTGCGTGTCTGATGGATAGGTGTGTCGACTTTTATTTTCTCACACAGAGGCCATAATTAACGTCATGAAATGTCACTCACGGTAGACAGAGCTCCTTAAATAATGCCATCGCAACAAGACAGCATGTAATTAATGCGTAAAGTTAGAGGTCTGCTCTTAAATGAACGCATGCAGACACAGACACATATTCTGCTAATAAGTATCAGTTCTGTCTTAATCAATCAAGGATGTGCATCCGATTAGGTAATGAGGTAAACAGGAGAAGGAACCAACAACAATTTGAATCTTACCTTGAAAGAAGTCAGTATCTTCATCCTGACACACAGTACCTTCAAAAAGTGATCATATCCTTTAAGCTTTTCCACATTTTGTCACATTACAACCACAAACATGAGTGTGTTTTAATAGCCTGGAACAAAGTGGTTCAGTGTTTTTTTCTTTAAAAAAACAAAAAAAAACAAAAAACAATGGGGCTTGCTGTGGTGGCGCAGCGGTTTAGCACAACCCACCTTTGGAAGCTTTAGTCCTCGTTGCGGGTTCGATTCCTGGACCCGTGACATTTGCTGCATGTCTAGCCCTCTTTCCTGTCAGTCTACTTTTAAATGAGGGCCACTAGAGCCCACAAAAAAAAAAAAAAAAAAAAAAAAATATATATATATATATATATATATATATAAATAAATAAACAGAATCGGTTCAATAAGGCATGCTTTTAGTTAACAGAGTCCTCCTGAGTTTAATTTGATCACATTAGAAATCCAGCTGTTTTGTGAAGATCACAGCAGAAAGGTCAGAGAGAGAGGTGTAGAGAATATTAGGTTGCCACTATAAGGAATTTGGGACTTTTGTGAAATTATCTTCTTGATTACATGAATGCATAAATAAACATAAAACCAAACCTTTCCACACAAATGTCAGAGAATGAAATAACACCTTTGAACATTTAGTAATCAGCAATCTCGATTGTTTACAATATGACACATTGCTTCTGACAGCTCTTGTCGTGTATTTCCTTGCTTTACATCGTGTCATATTAGCAGCAGCATTTTCGTTTACGCTGCATCAGGTTGAGAAGGCAGGACTGCATTTAACAGTGTGATTCTTTGTTCTCGACTTCAATAGGCACAAAAGGGCTTTAATCTGCTCACCGTGCTGCAGCCAGCAGCAGCTCATATGTCCTGAACTCTGTTCTTGAAGAGATAAGCCCTGAACTTCAAATGTGAACGTTTGCTTGGTGTTTATTTATCATAAACACTAAAAGCTGCCCACAGCAATACTAAAGAAGAGTTTGTACATGGTTATCCGAAATCTTAAATGAATAAAAGAAACCAGACGGACGCAGTTAGGTGTTACAATCACTTCATGCACATTTTTGCAGAAACCATGTCAGGGAGGACACAACAGTCATCACATAAGTCTCTGAATAAAGCATTTAAAATGACACTTGTGACTAAAACATGATATATGTTCTGATAAACATCTGAACAGTCTTTAGAGTAAAAACTTCTTATGGAGAGGCACAATATCGTCACCACCTTTACAATTTTTGCACACATGTTCAGGCAAAACAGTCTGGCAAGAATCAAAGGACGTTATTAAGAAAATTTTTGTTTATATATATATATATATATATATATATATATATATAAAACAAAAAAATTTTGTGTGTGTGTATATATATATATATATATATATATATATATATATATATATATATATATATATATATAATATATATATATATATATATATATATACTGAAAAATTTGATGAGAAATGAATTAGAAACATTTTCACACATGTTATCACCAGAGAGCATTCCTACTTTTAAAGTGAGACAATTGTATAATTTTATAAATATACATTTTGTGGGATTTAACAAGGAAATACACTTTTTTTTTTCAGGGTGAATTCTAATATATTATTATGCTTCAGTACCAGATCATAAAGTACAATGATGTGGTAAAAACTGTAAATTCCCTTTGGCAATTTCTAATTTGGGTGCATGACAAGGAATTACAACTTATCTGGACAATAAAAGAGTTCAGTAATACATTTCATATCTGTTACATACAGAGTGGTATATTTTTAAACATTGGATTCTAGTTTTAATCATAATGGCTTACAGCTAAAACAAATCCAAACATCTGCTTGTCATAAAATTAAAACGCCACACAAGTTTAATTACAGTATGAGTGTTAACACGGAAACATGACACACACAGCAGTGGCAAAGATGGCTAACTTGGCAAGTGTTCAGCAAACAGTACTTGACTCTTTCTACAAAGAAAAAATGCCACAAAAAAGGATTTATGAAGAAGCTGGCTGGTAGTAAAGTACTGTATAGATCAATGGAAAGTTAAGTGAAAGAAAAAACTGCAGTAGTTGCACTAAGCAGAGCTTCAAGAGCCACAGACGTATCCAGGACATAGACTCTGGAGGTCTATAGATCAGAATCATTTTCATTTGGAAATCAAACTCTCATAGTCTGAAAGAGTACGGAGGCACAGAACCTCAGTGGCTTGAAATTCAGTGGGAAGTTTCCAAAGCCAGTAAGGGTTTGAAGAAATATGTCACCTGGAGGTGTTGGTGCACTGACGCCTATAGGTAGCATGGCCATTTACCAGGACATTTTTGAGAACTTCATGCTTCAATTTGCAGATGTTAAGGCAGCCTGGGTGTCCATTCTGATCTCCTCCGTGCCTCTCTGCGTTGATGTAATAATTTTTTGCAAATAAGTATTGAGAGCATATTTAGTACAGTTTATGGGCATACTTTTTGATAAGCCAGAATTAATTAAGTAAAATACTTTTTCTGGTTCTATGTTCCATTAAAATTTCCTGAGAAAATTATTTTTGGGTTTTCATTAATTCTCAGCCATCATGCTCAAATAAAAGAGAAACAAGCACTTATCCTGCTCTCTGTGTAATAAATCTATTTATGAGCTCACTTTTTACTTTTTTTCCCTATGAAACAAGGTAACTTTTCCAAATTGTCTAATTATTCTTGATGAGATGCAAAACAGACCACAGTGTATACAACCAACTAGTATCACATGAGAAAATAGCCAAATTACAGAGCTGTGATGCAGGTCTGACTCACACAAAGTAAAAATATAGCTATTGCTATCTTAGACCCTCAAATGTAGCAGCATTCAACTTTTCTGCTGTGAAAAAGCCATCTGACGTGTTCAACAGTCATGATGACAGGTCACGTTGGGGTTCAATCACAAATTACTTGAAACTGTGGTTTAATTAAAGAGGAGTTCACAAGCACACGGACGTGTTCACGTCTTCCTATGACACGGCGGCCATGTTGAGACTGTCAGCATGGACGTCTGGGATGGTCCTCTCTGGTCTCAGACACACGGCCAGCCTCTGTGGGAAACAAGCCGATGACCAGAGGTTCAAAGATTAAACACATGAGAAACAGTTCTGTTGTTTTGGGTTTTCTTTTTAATCCACAGACCTGTTTGAGAGAACCAGGGGTCCACACCAGTTTGTAGACCATGTATATGGGGATCCACATGAAGGAGGAGAAGCCGATGACGTAGCCGATTGTGATGCTCCAGTCTGGATACTTGTAGTCGAACAGCGTGAGGGGAGGCGCTTTCAGCAGAGAGCTCACTATGATGTACTGAGAGGAGCGGAGAAAAATTACACTTCAGTGTTGGAAATTTCATGCTCAAAAGTTTTCAATTGTGCTGATAGTTTTGTTTATAATGGTTCCCCAAACTATCTGAAGGCCGGCATGCCTTTTATTTTCTGTGCAAAAAGCTAATGCTTGTTCAGATCGAATAGAAAAATCAATTTTCAAGTCCAGCATGGATTCTCAATTAAATTTAGCTGTGTTCTTGTATCCACCACATGAATATCCTTCAATCTAAACTCTTCCGGTGTGTTCGGGTCGTTGTGTTGCTGTTACAACTTTTATTCTCAGGATTGCCCTGTATTCAGTACCATTCATATTCCATGAGAACGATATGATGATAGAGGCATTTTGCTTGCAAGTTGAAAAGGTAAACATTTCTATAAAAGTTTATTTCACTTTCTCCCAGAACTGAAAGTTATATTCGTGCCTCACTTTTCAGATTTGTGTTAGTAAAACATTTTGAAAGCTGTGGATCTTTTTTCCTTCCGTTTCAACATCATCCCTCCCTTTATGCCGGTCTTGTATATAATAACCAAAGTAAATCCCACTGAGGACTGTGTTTGCAAAAGGACAAAATGTTAAAAGAGTTAAAAGGGTATCAACATTTTTGTCATTCATTGTAAATGTCATTCTTTAAAGTAAGCTAAATATGCAAAATCAGCCAAAAGAAAGACGGACGCAAACAAAAAGTAGACATATCAAGCTGAGAGTAGAAAATGAGGGCTGACTTTTGTTTCAATGTGGAAAAAGAGGAATGAGAGCTTATTTAAAAGCTGCTGGTGTTTGACAACAAGCTTTTACTCATATCTTATCTACCAGAAATAAGCCCACTTATCTCTGGATCTCCTCAATGGATGATGTTTATTTACCATTTCCTCCTTTCAAAATAAATACATCTTAATGTGTTCTCATTGTGCCGGTCCGAGGTAAATGCTATTGTTATAAAAATTTAGATTTTATCTTCTTCTCTTACCGCCAGAAATGCAGGACTTATAGCAACCCAGCACACTCTCCAGAACAATCCTGGGGCTTGGCCGAGCATCGCCTGGACATCGTTACTAAATCTTTTAATCCCTGAAACCAGAAACACACAATGTAATTCTTACAGACAGTTATCAACAAAAAAAAACACAGAATAAAAAAAGTCAAAACATCTATATTTGTACCATAGAACCAGGAAACGGCAATAGCTTCAAGGAAACCCACAGCGATGATGGAGCTTCCTACTCCAAACTCCTCCAGTAGCTTCACCACATAGGCGCCACCCTGTGTTCATGTCAAAGTTGTGAGTTATGTCAACAATTTTGTCATCCGGAAGTGACCCAAATTTTAAAACAGCAAAGAGCTGGAACTGTCATTTTGATGAGTAATGAGACGACAAAATGTGTTGAGAGGAAATCTTACATTTGTGAGAGTGCTTAGAGAACCCAGGAAACAGACGACCACCAGGCACAGGACAAAAAGCTCACGTCTGTGAGAGAAATAATCTGGGTATTCATCCAGCACGGCGGTGATGATTGCCTCTAGCCCTCCAAACTAAAACACACACAAACATTTCTATTAGAAAATTCATAAATTATAGTGACCGCCAATAAACAATCGGCTCTTGGACTTTTTATTGGGATTTTAATTGGAAGATGGCAGATGGTTTTCAAAGGGGCATACAGGTAAAAATCTGAAAAAGTTGGGCAGTAAATTGAATTCAGGCCCCATCTCTCTATTATCCATAAAATCGAGAGCCACCATTTGCATTCAGCAAAGGCCTATTTAGAAAGTAGAGTACAATTATGCTTTCTCTCAGCACTTTTGTTGCACAAATGGTCATTTGTATATTGCAACATCACAAAACTATTAAGATTTCATACCGTGCTGTCGAGTCCCAGTGTGATCATCATCACAAAAAAAATTATGGCAAAGAAAGTGGACCCCATCATGTTTCCTATTGCTTCTGGATATGTGATGAAAAGTAGACTTGGCCCTGAAATAAAAATAACAACAGGAGCAACAGGCACAAGTTAGTACATGTTGAACCAGCTGATTTGATTTTGACTTCTGCATTTTCTGACCTTTGTCTTTGGCCACGTCCTCAACCTCGACCTTCCTCATCTCAGCCATGTAGCCCAACACCGTGAAGATCACAAAGCCTGACACAAAGCTGGTCAGGCAGTTCACCAAGCTGGTCACAATGGCATCACTGTTGGAGGAAGAACGCAACTGAAGTCGTTACTGCAAGTGCTTAAAAGTTCAAACAAAACTAGAAAAAAAACCCCATCAAACTAATGTTTCAACATTATTTAAAGACATGCGCAATTGATCATTTAAATGTAAAACTAAGTAATTTGGTTTATCACATTATACTCTTGCATCCTCATGTCTGGTTGGTTAACCTGTGCAGAAACTTCAGCGTTGGCCCTGCCTTCTAACTTCATCTGGGATGCAAATAAATGAGGTGGAGTTGCGTTTAATCACAAAATAATCAAATAAATGCCAAAAATACTACATGGTAAATGATACTAACATACCTATTATTGTAAGGTTTTTTTTTTATTCTGTATACCCAAAAATTTAAATGTTAAAAATTAAATTTTTATTGAATTGTGGCACTTTTAGAGCTCGACACTAAAAGCAAAAATCCTGCATATCTGTCCTGTCAAAAAAAAAAGAAGCAAAGCTAAAGGTCTGTTTGTTATTATTGTGGAAACAGACCTAAATCAATTATAATGCAAATGATTACCTCTCTGAGAAGAGATGGATTAGACTTTTAAATTAATATCTTCCAGAGGATGTTGCCCTCCGCTGCAGCATCTGGTTTAATTCATGGTAGTTATATTTCTTTACTTATATTTCATCTGCGCAGCACGCACACACACACACACACACACACACACACACACACACACACACACACACACACACACACACACACACACACACACACACACACTTGGATTTCATAGGGTCATATGTTAAATTTCATGCACAGTTACTCTGTGTGGTTGACCTTTAAGTGTTTCAGATAGATCGCAGCTGATGCATGATGTGCATCGGTTCTAACTTTGTACAAAGACTACCTACACAGACTTGTGTCACTCATGATCATTGGATTTTGAAGAAGCGTACCGATAGCAGTTATTTGTAAAAGGGTTGTAGCTGGAAAGAGCCAGAAGAACGCCGAACCCGGGACCCAGAGAGAAGAAGATCTGAGCAGCTGCATCCACCCACACCTGGAAAACAGACGCAGACACTTTTCAGCCCTTCCTCGAGTCTGCAGTCTGGGATGCTGCAGGTTTTCATATGTTAAACAAAGTCGTTCATTTCTTCCTGGTCTTTTAGTGACTTGATGTCGTTAAAGTTCCTATTTCTTTATATTGTGGTCTTGGTCACTCAACGTAATTCTATCAAACTGAAAGATGTGCCTGTCAGAGGAAGGTCGAGCTGCAGCACAGCTGCATGCAGGGAGATCAGGAGATCAGAAGAGCATTCGGCGGTAAAAAGGGGAGAACAGCATCGGATATCCATGAGCGAGGGAGAAAAGGGGGAGCCTTTGTTAATGGGTAGAAAATCTGAAGTAATTATGCATCTTATTATTCTGCTCCATGGTTTATTTATGCATCTCATTTCATCTCATCCATATTCGCTTCCAAACAAAGCGATCGCACAGGTTTGGTGAAACACAGCAGCGAGCCAGATGAAGAAGAGGATTTTTTTTATATATAGATGTAGGATATCAAGGGGCTGGTATCTATCCAGGTGCCAGTTTCAACAAATATGTTTGATAACCTATTTGTTGGTTATCAAACGACAAATAGGTTGTTTGATAACCAACTTATTTGTTGATTATCAACAAATAGGTTGATAACCAACCTATTTGGTTATCAACCAACTTAAAGCTGTTTGTTTTGTAAATTTACATTACTTTGAAAAACACATAGAATGGTTTAGGTTAGTAAATGTTCAGTTTTTCTGCAAGTTCTGTTGCTCACTGGTTGAGTGCATGCCAAGGTTTTATACAAATCAAGTTGTAAATAAGAAATTATTCTTTGTCTGCTCGATTAAATAAAGCTTATATAATAACTAACATATAACACTTTTCTCTTTTATTATATATGAATACTGCCCCCAAAATGGAGTTTTAAAAATAATCAAGAATAAATTGACAGATCATCTCATATGTCTATTTTTAGATTTTAAGTCTACATATTGAATAAATTAGCATAGGAGGAAAAACTATGTATATTTTACAATATAGAGCTGATGATATGGGTGAACAATAATTCTAACATGTGAGAAATCTGGGTTAAACTGGGCGTTTAGCTTTGGGTAACGTACACTGGTCTCCAGCAGCTTGTCCCACTGTGGTTTCAAATAAAACACCACTCCTCTCCAGGCTCCTGGAAGAGTTGCACCTCGAATCAGCAGGATAAAAAGCACAATGTAAGGCAGGGTGGCGGTGACCCACACAACCTGATGGTGAGCAGAGAAAATAGCAGACAGTGAGAAACAAAGACATGTGATAAAGGAAAGTTTTTATTTTGACAAATCAAAAAGTGAAACTCGGACAGTATTAGGGTTTGCAGAAACAAGAGAAAAAGGATGTATTCTAGAGAATCTGCACTCAAAACGTGATGATTTGCAGGATCAGTGCAGCATGGCTGCAAGCTGTCGACCTCAGTGGGGTTTCATATCAGTTAAATCAAGCGCAGAAACACAGAGGTCACTGATGCAGGTTTTGATACTTTTGGCAGTGTGGGCAATGCCGATTCCAGTTGCACATTTTTTGTTTATCAGTCTCCTTAAAGGTTGTCTGGAGAAGGAAACATGAACTGTGAGCTTCTTAAAACAGAGTGGATCAACACCAGAAGATGACATGGTACCCCACACCATCACTACACCTCCATCAGACTCCTGGATCTTAATCTCTTAACAAAATGAAAAGTTTTCTTTTCAGTTGAAGACCTCTTTCAGCTAACTGGGACTTTGGGCCACTCCTTGTTCTAATTAGCCAAAGACATTTCTGACACTGTTTCTGCTTGTAGTTGATGTCCTAGATTTGTCTGTCAGGTGAAGCCTGAAGTTCAAGCTTCACTTTGGAAACCACTCTAAAATTTTAGGAGTGTTTTGCTTCACAATCTTCTCACAGCAGAGGTTATCCCAGCTGCAAATGCACATTTTCTTCTGCCGTTTCTTTTTTCCTTCCACAAAACTTTCCATTTATATGCTTGAATACTGACAAATTCTTTATAGCCACAAAAAAGGCCTCATCATCAAAATGAACAGAAATAAATATGCTGCAATATGTAAGATGGTATTACTAAAGTATATTAATTAATTCCTACCTTCCCTGAGGTTCGCACCCCCTTCCAGAGGCTGAAGTAAACTATAGTGAAGATAAGAAAGAGGCAGAGCATCAGCTGCCAGCGAACGCCCCCGACATCGCTCAGTCCTGACGACTTGTGGATTTCAAGAACGTTCCTCCTGTTGAGAGAAAATCCGTGTCTCGTCAGGCTGTCAGCAAACAGACAAGAAGGGCTTGTGGATAAAAATAACCATCTGGCAACACTTGTGAGAACTGTTACAGTAACAGCTATTTATACTCGCATATGTGGTTTCTGTTACTCACACTTACATGCACTTACGTGTAAAATTCCTCTGCCGGAGACCTGGAGGAATTTGTCCAAGTCACATTATCCACTCCAAAGTAATTGGTGCAGTCGGGGGTGTTCCAGACGTTATCACAGTTTGTCCAGGGGAGGATGCTGGAGAAGGAGGAGTAGAAGTAGAACAGGGCCCAGGCGATGATGGTGTTGTAGTAGAAGGACACGTACAGAGCAATGACACAGATGGCATATCCTATTCCTGAAAGACCAAGTCACACATCACGCAGTGTTCCCACGTTCAGCTTTGCTTCGTAAATAAAATGCTCCGATTGATTATGGGGAAGGTTCAATCAAAAGGACTTATTTTTGAATCTCATCCGAATACCTGTGTCAAATCAGCTCATTGCTCGGCCTTACCTTTGAAAATGGGACAGATGTGTTTCCATATGGATATGGCTCCAGTTCGGTGGAACTGCCCGAGAGCCAGCTCCATGTAGAACAGCGGCACGCCACCAAAGATCGCCATCAAAATGTAGGGGATGAGGAAAGCACCTGAACACATGCATAACAGAGGACGCTTTAATGCCTCAGCTGTTCGCCTGAAAACAACAAGCACATTTTAACGCAAAGAAACGACGTCAAAATTCATCAAAAACTGATACAACCACAGAAAGAAATGAAGAAAGAAAAAGAAACAGAGAGAAAGAAAGACAACATTGAAAGAGAGAAATATCACATCACTAATTACCTTGATTGAAATTAATTGTTGATGCGTACAATTAAAATAAATAAATATAGTTTTACTATTTATAATTTGGTTGCCTAAAATGGTATCTCTAAATTGACCCTTGTATACAAAATGAATAAGTGTATTAAGCTTCTTTTTTGTGTGTGTAATTTTTATATATATTTCAACAGAGGAGCCAGTAACACAGACAGATTAAAAAATAAATTATAATGTGGGTTTTGTTGTTGTTGTTGTTTTGTTTAAATGCCTTTAATTTTTATTATTTTTCCATTTCAGACACGCCTGCTTTGGCACCATGGACAGTTCCTGCTATTAGTTTTTGTCTGAGTAGTTTTACATTATTTAATCTATTAGTCAATTTATTTCTCCATTATTATTATTGTTATTATTATTATTAAATGTTAAATAACTGACTTTTTTTTTTTTTTTTTTTTTTTACCTGGGAGGTAAATTACATCTTTAAACACTTACCGCCACCGTTTTGATAGCAGATGTAAGGAAATCTCCAAACGTTGCCCAAATCCACCGCGAATCCGATGACGGACAGGAGAAAGTCCATCTTCTTGCTCCATTTGTCCCTGGAGTCCGTCTGGGAGGGAGCCGGCGCGGCCGCGGCGTTGCTGGCGCCGTAGCCGGAGTTCGGAGAGCCGTGCTGGGGCAGAGTGCCGGCCATGACCGCAGAGTCCTGTTCGGGGCAGCGGACTGTGAAAAGTTGGAGAGAGGAGCCGCTCCAGAGGACGGGAGGGGAGGACGCCGCTCCTCGACCGGGTCACAAGGGCGGAGTGGGAGGAGTTGATGAAGGAGACGTGGAGGAACCTGTTGGTGGGAAGCATGAAGTGGACCAGTTCTCTACCTTGGAGTGGTTGTTGTTGTCAATGTTTCAGTTGCTTTTCGTATCTACAGTATCCTTCAAAAGTGAAGGGGAAATTATTCGTGGTTTTTTGAAATTTTATTTAAAAGTTTTATTCAAATAAAAACATTGAAAGTCTGCTTTGGATTTAGTCTTCCTTGTTCAGCTCATCCTTGAGATGAGTCGTTTCCATTTCCCCCCTCTTTGTAAAGTAGCTCAAAGTCAGAAACAAAAAACTGGTTGGAGAACATCTGCAAAAATCTTTTTTGAAATAAAATAATAGTTTTATTTGATTTAAACCCATTCATTTTATGTCTGGTTGAATTGTTGGTTAAAGGTGAACCTGTAGTTTCTCGAGATTAATCCAGGACAATCCTGGGTTTCTTTCAGGATTGTCCTGGATTAATATAAATAATATAATAATATAAATAATTATATTTATAAATAATTATATTTATATATATATTTATATATATATATTTAACAAAGAAATGCATATTTCTTGACTTTTTGACTTAACTTTAAGCTACTTTTCAACAAAGCAAAAAGTCAAACTGACCAACAAATTTGAAAAAGATAGAAAGCAAAGCAAATGTGATATGTTAATTTTTTAGGAAAACAAGTCCAGTGAAAAATGATGATGAACTAACTGATCATTTCTCTTTAAACTATCTCACCAACCTGATGTTTATGTGCTTTGGTGAAAACGCCACATTCAAATCCCAGCAGTTCAGCTGCGCTCAGCTGGAAATGGAAATAAAACAACTCTTTCAAATCCAAACCTTTTCAGCTGTGAGTTGACCGAAAGACTACTAACTGGACACTGTGGGAGCAGCAATCTTGTGTGAGCAGGAAGCAACAGAGAAAATGGATTTGACCCAGTATGAGATCGGAGCAGAAGCATCCAGCTTCATTGGCAAATTGTCACTTAAAGGCCAAGTGGTGGCCAAACTGTCTGGACTGGTGTCACATGACTGAGGCTGTCTGCCACCTGAGACAGGAAATGATGAAATGATGGTTTGCTCTTAAGGAATTTTAATACAAAGACACTAAAAGTGTCTGGCTGTGTGGGATAGGTAAACAAACAACTGAGAAAACAAAAACAGCCAAAATGTGAGGGTCCCTGAGGGCCAACAGCATCAAAACATTTTAGCTCTAAAGCTTGTATCACTGGCCTTCTGAAGCACACCGTCTAGTCAGTGTGTGTTGGCAAACACGGCCAGGAGAACATCAGATTGACAGCAGCTTGTATCACACGCCCTGCTGCCTGTTGGAGCCTGTCGACTCTAATCACACACGCACAGGTGGACGTTGGCCCTGCCCACCGCATTGCTCATCGACAGGCTGGATGCAGCGCTGTTGAACTTCTATAAGTGTGGTGAGGTAATCTGAAATACATCCAAAATGTTACGTTCATGTAACAATATAGTTTTCCTCTCTTCTGTTTACTGGAATTTAGACTTTCCTCTGTTTACACAAGTTTTATTTCTGTCACTTCTAATTCCATTGCAGAAATTTATTTCAGATCTTTTCTTCATTACAGATTTCTGAGTGCATCAACATGTTTCAACCGCGCAGCTTCTTACTGCTCTTATGGAACCTCTCCAACAGAATATGCAAAACGTGTCAAATTCAGTTAAAAATGCACCTCATAAGTGCCTTAGTGTCAGAAAATGGAGGCTGAACAGACAGGAGAGAAAAGGGTTTGGAAGTGAATGCTCCAGGAGGCGTAAACACTGCAAGTCAATGACTGCAGAGAAATCTGCTAAGTTTTCTTTGGTAGAAAATTCTTTTTCACCAATTTGCAGACCTACTGCAGACTAAAGAAGACATGCATAAAAGAAACAGAAACACCGATCTGAGAGCACCTTCTACGTTAAAGTAGCTCCTGTAGTGGCTTCATCTAGGAGAAAAACACTGCTAAACAGATCTGCTTTAAGCCAGTTTTAAAGACTGAAGAATGGAAGCGAGCACACAAAGATAGTTGCAGTAAGAGCTCAGCCAATGTATGACAGAGAGAGAGGGTTAAACTTTGAAAGACAAAGTGTTTCATCCACAGAAGAAAAATATTACGAGATGAAGCTTCTGTAAAGCGTCAAAACCTGTGAGAGAAGATCAAATAGAAAGTTGAAATCACAGCAGATAATGCAAAATTTAAAGGAGGAGAATGAAGTAGAGTAATCAGAGACATTTTGAAATCACTGTGGAATTATATGTAGACAAAGGAGGATGTTTAATTAAAATATGAAGAAAAAAAATTACTTATAATATAATAACAAAATTATGTATCTTTTTGGCTGAAATTTGATTAAGTTTAAATTAGCTTCTTACTAAAAAAACAAACAAACAAACAAATGTGTTTATTTAACAAGAAAAAATATCAAAATCCTCCAAAAATCAATGTTAAATCCAAATTTATAAACTGCAATGTGGATTTATAAATTATTATTATTTTACAGTGTACAGCAGCTGTTACATTTGTAAGGAAACTCAGTCTGGAATTAAGTTTTTATGATTTAAAGTAACATGTAATTCCTCTAAGAACAATGCTGAAGTTCAGTGTTGCTGAAATGAGCTGCTGTATGTACACAAACAATTTCAAAACACTTATTTTTCTCCTGCAGGGAAACTAGAAATGATTTGAGCCAAACGTCCTGCAATGACATTTAAACAGAAAAGCTACTATCCCCAATTATCTAAAACCTTAGCAAAGTGACATCGCAGACAGGGAATCCTGGGCTAAAGATGATTATGAGCTCAACAGAGGGAAAGACGGCTCGGGCCTCACTGCTCTCTGTCTGTCATGTTCTGTTATCCCTCCGTCTTTTCACCACCTGATTCACCTGACAGCTCAGACCTGCAGGCAGAACCGATCACCCCCAGACATCACACTGGAGTTCGTTGAGCTTATAGCAGCTTCTCTTCCTCGGATACTCAGACTGTACTTCACTGAAAATGCCCTCACTCTTATGCTTGTGTATGTTTAAAAGATGATCGGTAAAAACTGAGAAATTGCAAACTGTTGGGGCATGAGAACTGATTTGATGCTAGCGCCACCTTCTGGACAGCAGTCCAGTAACTTGCACTATTTTGCAGTCTGTCCACCAAAAACTTTTTATTCCATTTCGTTTGGGATTTCCACAACCAAAAAGTGATTTTAAAAGAGTTATGAGCAGTCGACTAAACACAAAGTGCTTGATAAACTGCATCAGATTTGTCGCCACATGTTTTGATGGACGTGAAGAAAGGTCAGAGAAAAGGTCAACCAAACTCTGAGAAACAAGTGAGACCTAAATAAGAACCCTGAAGCTTTACTACTGCAGAACACATCGAAATATTTACAAAATCTGATTCACTGTGAGCAAAATAAACTTCCGATTTTAAAGAGTTTAAAACGCAATATATGGTGTTGCAGTGATATTTAGCTGCATGGTGTAGCGGTGAAGCGAGCGAGTATGATGCTCAGCACATCCATCCTGGGTTCAACTCCCAACTCTGTGACCCTTGCTGCACGTCTTCCCGCCTTCCCTCTGCACCCATTTTCTGTCTGGCTTAGAGGGTAAATAAAGCCCCCTAGGCTTCTTTTAAAAAAAAAAAGGTTTTATATTATTTATTATTTTGTGTAGAAGATTGCAGACAAAGCTGTCCTAAAGCTGAGTTCCCATTCAGTGCATCTTAGCTTCTTCCATTGTGGAGCTTGGTGCCTCATTACTAATAGAAAGTGAGGAGCTCCATCAGTTCCTGTGTAGTAAAAGGAATAAGCTGAGATGGAAAAAGAAAGAATCCTTTAAGGCACTGTAGCTCAAACAACAGACAAACTATGAGCAGGAACGGATGGTAATTATTGCAAAATAGACATTTCTTTTTTCCTCCTCTTTCTAATGAGGATGGGACTTTATGACTGCTTTTCCTAATAATGACCACAAGATGGCGATGAGAGCATTACAGAAAGAAACTCAAAACTCAACTTGCAATTTTTATTAGTTTGGAAATACTTTCGTATCATGTGCACCACTTGTATGAAACTACTGCTACTATAAGTTACGACAGCGTTTACGAATGGACACTACTCTTCAGTAAATGTTCTGTCAAGATTGAACATTGACTTCATGTCTAAATGATTAATTTAAGATATAGAATAGAGTAGAATAGGTATGAGTAGATTATACATGATCTTCATTGTCGCAGAGTGATACCATCTCTGTGCAAAACACCAGATAAGAGACAAGTAATCAAAACAAGCAAACTCACACACAGATAGAGTAGAAATCAAACAGAATAAAGGACAAAATTATTTGTTGAACGTGTAAATATGCAGCTGCCAACATTTTTAGGAGTTTGCAAGAAACCCTCCACTTTTCACATAAAGTTTGAAATTCAGCATCCTGTTTTTTAGTTCAGAAATCTTTCAAGGAAATGGACATTTGTATGTGTTGCATTGCCTCGTAGAGCTGCTCGCATCACTGCTGCTCCATCTTAATAATTTCAACACATTTCTTAACAATGGAAATCCTTTTCTTTTCTTTTTTTTTGTCTTTAAGCTACAAATGATTTCTCAATTGTAATTCTCAACTCAATTGTAGTTAAGTTATTTTAAAAACGAACAGATATTTCACAACCTCCAGAACCCCTTTTTTAACCCCACATGTTTGCACACATATATTTTTATAGCATCAGAAGCCTACTAAACATACGGCTTCACAGCTCAACGATCACCCGGTTGAATTGGCTTTCGGCTCAGCCAATGGCAGCGCAGCTCGTGCGCTCAGCAGAGGAGGAGCCGCGAGCCTCCATCTGGGTTTCTCACGCGCAGCTTGCAGGGAGAGGTGCTGCGCTCGTGCAGGAGGCAGGATCCAAGGCAACAATCATGGCAGGTGGGGAGGAAAATGATCTACATTTATACTTGTAGCGTGTATATAGGTTGTTTCCGACGCGTTGGGGACGGAAAACTGACCTCCAAGACAAAGAAAACGAACCCTTTGTGTCTTTCTTTGCTTTGTTTCAGAAGCGGAGACCCGCCAGAAGCTGCTGCGCACCGTCAAAAAGGAGGTGGGTGTTTTCACATCATCAGGGAAATCATTTCGGGAGGAAAAAAAACCCAAACCCCTGCCTTATAAAGGTGTTAGTGCTTATAAGCTGCACACTGTCAAACTTTCGCAGAGATTGTGACAACTCGTATGGGCACCGCTTCTCAAACCTGAGTGTGGTTTGAATATCAGCTGATCTGGAAGACCTGTTTACATTTTTTTAAAGGAAATAACAGTTAGTTTAAATAATCAGAAACATGAAGAATTGAGATATTTTGTTAAAATATATTGTTGTTGTTACTTTGCTGGAGCTCAGAGGGAAGAAGCAGCACGAAGGAAGCAGATTGTCTGGCATTCACAGCAAAGGAGATCATCAGTCTTCTGACGCACCATTTGGTTGTTTTTATTTTGATGTAATTTTGTGTGTGACAGAGAAAGGCAGATAGAGAGAGAACGAGAGAAAGGAAATAGAAAGGGGGAGTCGTGGGGAAGAGATGCTCGTAATTAATTTTACTGCATTTAGTGGAAGCAAACATGGAAGCAGCCGCAATGATTTGATCATCTGGGCTTCCTCCCGAGCATAAAGAAGCAGATCTTGAATGAAGCATCAGGTCTGTTTTGGTGGCCTGACTTTCAAACAACGGCGACAGTCCCTGTGTAGATTAGAAGTCCTTGCAGATAATCAGGGAGCTTTTTATCAAAGAGCTGTCTGCACATTTTCAACAACAGCATTGGGTTTTTCCATAAGAACGCTTAAAACTATGCCATATTTTCACAGCAAACTGAAGAGGCGTTGCGATGCAAACCTCTTCCTGCATCTGCATCTATATTCTGCAACTCGTCAAATATCTATTTTTACTGCTTTTCTTTATTTGTAACACATCTGGAGCAGAGACTGGGAGACGAAAGCAATAAAGCAACTTACCAAACTTTTCAGCGAATCGACTTCGATTTATCCCACATGCAGGCCGACCTGCAGGGTTTTTATTTTTATTTGAGAGGTGGAAGTGTTCCAAAACTGAACCATATATTAGTGAAAAGCTCCACTTGCACCCTGAGCCAGACACATAACTCGTATCCAGGTATTCCAGGTTTTTACACATTAAATTTTAAAAACTGCCATAAATTACCATCATATTGTTCCTATGGTTGGAAGTGAGAGAGAGTCTGACGGTTTTTCACTTGTTGTCTAGCAGTGCACCTCCCCCACCTGTTGCTGTGCACTGCATGTCAGCTGGCAGGAAGAACAGCCATTTTGAAAAACACACTGTCACCTCACAGATGTGCTATTTGGCAAACTTTGAGTTACACATCTGGTAGCTCTGCAGCATAACCTTGTTTTCTTAAAAACGTCCTCTGAGTTTATTGTGGGTTTATTTTAGATTTTTGCTTTGGTCTGTGTATCAAAAATAACAACAGCTATATGTTATAGATAACAGTATCATCGTTCTACAGATGAGGTAATTAGATTTTTTGTTTTAAAATCAAAACAGTGACATAATGTTTAGCATTTCTGTTTAGATTTTTTCTTATAAATATTGTGATAATGTTAAACTGTGGTACTTTTACTTGGTGCACTACAAGAATCTGTATCCTAACCTGTACTGATCCATCAGTAATTTGTATAGAATATGAATGAAACTATACAAATCAAAATGACTTAAAAATGTCCTAATGCAAGAGCAAGATCCCAACCTGCTTTTTAATCTCCCTTAAATATATTTGCTAATCTGTATTTTATACCATTTGCTTATGCTTTATAAATGGCAGGATTTTTTTTCCCTGGCTGACAAAATCCTTAAATTTGCATCCTTATTTAAATGAAAATAGAAAGACTCTGGTCGGATTTGTCTTCCTTTGCCTCCTGTGTGCAGTCTTATCTGTGGAGGCCAGACCCTTCCTCTGATTAAACTCTGTTCACAATTAGCTTCACTCACAGAGATGCTTTTCATTTTTTATTCTCTCGCATTGTTTATGTGTAGCTGCTAGAGCCATGTGTGGACGGATCGGGTCTGTGGATGGACCGACATCATTGTGGTTGATTGTGTGAACTGGTCTCTTTGATCCCAGATGGATTTTTATTAGACCTGCATCAGGAAAACAGGATGCTGGAATATAACTGCTGGGTATTGTGTACATGTTTCTCAACTCTTTGCTTATCTTCCATTCATCACAATATCCTTTCAAGCTTTTCAATAAGATGTGAGCATAAAGGACAGTGAAATGCAACCAGTTGGCCAAATATATTGTTGGAAAGCAGAGTTTCAGTGCAATACCTTTGAAATAGTTAAGCCACGTAGCAGCTTCTGTTTAAAGATTTGGAAACATTAACAGTGAGATGATCATCGTGACCCTGTGAAAAACAACATTAACGTAGCTAGCTTAAATATTTTTTTACAGAAAGTAATATGAAATGATGCAATGCTTGATGTTACAACCTCTATGATGGTTGCTGTTCTAATGTAGGTATTTTAATATTAATACTTTATAGAGGAAATATTTTTGTCAACCTGAAGTCAAACTGAAATACAGGCGTCTTGTTGAAACGTAGATTTTCCATTGTTCACTAATTTTGACACACCGGGTCAAATGAAGTGTGATAAATTGTGAATAAATCCTCACTGAAACACAGGTGCTTAAGCCATTTGTAAACTAATATACTTTATGTATTTCTCCATTGCATTTCCACTGTGCCCCACTGTTTAATGTTTTTTTCTGTGATCACTCTGAAGGTGGATGAAAAAAAATAAGTTTGTTTGCGCCATTTTCCATTGGTTTATGAGTTATATTGCTTGGTGTGGGCTGTGCCATATGGTGTCTCTTTGCTGCGTGTTTACGCTCCGTCCCCATCCAGCTGGTTTTATGCCACCCGGTGGCTCAGACGTACCTGGATGTGGGCCATTATCCAGAAAACCGAGCCTGTCTGCGACAGCAGAATTACCTCTCTGGCAGAAAATTGGTGTGAATAAGAGCTCCTTATTTGCCCAGTCTTTAGTAGGGAGCCTCGCTCGATCTGCCTGTGTCACTGTGTCACGCTCTGCCTTTTCCATATATCATGCTTTAACAAACAAACACAAATGCACACCTGTGTTTGCTAAAGGAGTGAGTGAAAGAGAGCAGCACCCTTTACTTTCCTGCTTCCTGTGAACCGTTTTCATTCTTTGTTTCAGGGTTGAACAGATTTTTTCTGTGCCACTGAGGAGGATTGATGGACAGTGTTAATGCAAAGTTGATTAATTCATTCCACGGCAACAAGCTCAGGGAAATGATCAGATATCCGTACCATCATACACGGAGATGAACACTATCACTTGGAGACTGTGATCCTGTTTGTGGCTCTTAGGTGAATGGTTGGTATAATGAGGTTTTTAGAACAGGATTTCCTCCTTCCTTAAGGTTAAAAAAAGTCTTAATATGTTGCCTTGATGTTGAGATGATGATCTGCCTGATCAACAAAGAGGAAGTTCAAACCCGCATGTGCAATAAAAACATCCTAGTAAACTAATGCGACAGCTTTACGTACACATCAGTCGTGACTTAGCGTTTTCATTTTTTTCATTACTTGCTCTCTTCATTCTTCATCGGCCACGCAGACATTGAATAATGGAGGGTGGATGTTGGTAAATGAGTTTTTCTCTCTGGCTGCTATTTGTTGCTATTACAGGATGTAATTGGAGTGCTCAGCAGATCTTTTATCAGTAAAGCTGCTGGTTTCAAGACAGTGATTAGCTAGAGTGGATTTACCCAGCATTTCTGCAATAGAAGTTGCCAAAACATAGCTTTGCTACAAAACGTACATGAAAAGATAACTTTAAAGTTGTTGATCTCTGTGTCAATGACGACTTGATGTTATTGGTGACTGTAAGCTTGGAGCTGCAGTCATTCCTATTTCTGTCAAAGATGAATTAATGACGTTTTTTCATGCATCGTTTTGGATAGAGAGTTCCACTTTGAGACTCGTGACATCTCCATAGAAACCCTCAGGTTGCCAGCGCACAGATGCTTTGCCAGACTTATTCCTCAGAGGGCTGATCAGTGGCCTAGATGAGAGGGACAAGGGGACACAAGTGAGCAAATCAATCAAATTTCTTCTTGTCAGGTGAACTCAGGAAAGGAAGCCAAGGGAACTAAGTCTCCTGTGTTCAGCATGCTGGCGTGCGCATGTGTGCGTTTGCTTTCTTTTTTTAGCAGTATATTCATGAGTTGAAGCTGCGAGGCGTCTCATCAGACTGCTGCTGTCTCTGTTGTGTTGGCAGTATGAATCATTTCTGTTGCAGTTGAAATAAACAGTGGCTCTGATTGTTTCTAATGACAGCGCTCTAATTAGTCAGTGCTGCATGAGTAAGTAAATATTTTCAAGGTGTGCAGTTTGAGTCAGGCTGAGCTTCCACAAGTGTGATAAAACACATTAAATGTTTCACTAACTGTGAGAAGCTAACTAACATTGCAAATTTATTTATTTATTTAGTTAGTTAGTTAGTTAGTTAGTATTGCAAAATGTGCTTTCTATAAAAGTATGAATTAACAGAAAATAAGATTGTGACATTATGAAAAACAGCAAGTCTCTAAATTTTCAGGTTTCATATAAATAAATGAAGTTTTATGTGGGTGACTGTTCACTGTCCGCTTTGCATGTTTTAAGATATACCAACACTCAGAAAGAAAACTCTCTGTCTCTCCATCCATCCATCCATCCCATCCATCATCCATCCATCCATCCATCCATCCATCCATCCATCCATCCAGCCATCCATCCATCCCATCCATCCATCCATCCATCCATCCATCCATCCATCCATCCATCCATCCATCCATCCATCCATCCATCCATCCATCCATCCATCCATCCATCCATCCATCCACAAAGTATAAATATTGTTGTATTGTTTATTTTCTTGTTACAATCCAGTGGGATTCAAGTGCTTTATTTTGTTTACCTGTTGTCCTCTTGTTTTATGTTTTAGGAGTTCACATTTAGTCATTTCTGAAAGTTTGGTTTTACTTTAAATCAGTCTGCTTCCACATCACCTTTGGATGTTCTTTGACCTGAAGTCTTGACATACTTAGGTTATATGTGTGTATATTTTAACATTTTGTGTCTCCTTTGGCCATTTCTGAGTCTAATAGCATGTGATTCGGAGCTTGTAAGGCCATACTAGCTCAGACAGAGTCAACGGTTTATGGTCTAATTGCTCTGCTCTGCTGATTGACCTAATATGACTGAATCACAAAATACCATTTGTCGGGCGAGTGCTGAAGTGTTCCTGCTGCCTGTCGCTGTCTCTGCATGTTTGGCTCAGCTTTTGTGTTGGCACCTGAACATGTTAACTCTGAAAGCTGCACCCTGACTTTTTACTTTGCTGTGTTCAACATGTCTATGACGATTATGGACAGAAATAAGAAAACGTTTAATGCATTTAGATTTCAGCTTAGTTGTGCATTGGGCCGACGGGACTTTGTGAAACATGTTATGTCCATAAATCTCCTTGCAGAGAGAGCCACATGCATGTCCAGCTTGTAAAGAGAGGGTTTGCCTGATGAGCCTGGCAGTGTAATGAGTTCTTTGTGGACAGACTAATTTCAGCAGAAAATTACAGCTCATCTATCTGCGTGGCCGTGTCTGGAGGTTGCTCACCATAATAGTCAGGCTCCAAAGCGATGCCCGCGCTGGGGTACGTCTCCATAGTCACCACGGGGGTTGATTCACCACTCCTCTTAACTCGTGGCAGTTGTCAGGTCAGCGGGGAGAAGGACACATCGACAGCAAAGCCAAACTAATGAGCGCTTCCTTGCTTCCGATGTGCATCGTCCTTTTTTTTTGTTTTAAATAAAAAGTATGAAGTCGCCATCTGCATTTTAATAATCATCTGTTCCCACCAAGCAATAGTAATTGCATAGAAATGGAGGTCTGTGATGTACGAACTGCCCTCCTCTGGCAGCACCAAATGGACCTCCATCTCCCAGCGGTCCTTGGCACAAGAGCTGGTGACTCATTCACAGACTGAACATGCACTTGCTGGTAGTTTTTCGTGCTCCTTACTTTTAAGGCTAAACTCCTCTTTCATTAATAAATCCTCCTAATTTTCCCCTCAGCTGAAGCATGTTTTTCACTCAGTCAAATCCTCACTAAGAAGCCCCTCCAGACTGTTTGTGCCTGATGTGACATTGTAATGAATGAGTCATCCAGCTTCTCCTCTTTCATTGACAGGTGAAGCAGATTATGGAGGAAGCTGTCACCAGAAAATTTGTTCACGAAGACAGCAGCCATATTGTGTCCTTTTGTGGTGAGTATTCAAAAATCACATAACTTTGTTATCGTCATGCTTCAATTGAGTTAAACAGCTTAAATATATATTTATTCTCTTCCTGCTAATAGGAAAAAATTGCCTCCACCTACTGTCTTTGATAGCATCACAGTAAATTAGAATAAAATCAAAAGGTTGATTTATTTCAGTAATTCTCATATTATGTAGATTTATTATACAAAGAGACGTATTCAGATTGTTTAGATATGATTGATGATTGTACATTACAGTTAGTGAAGCGAAAACCTTAGATTATGTAAAACCTAATTAGCTCTGATACATTTAGTATAAAAACTATCCATGATTTAATATTTAATTGACAGTTGATTGACTATAACTAGAAATATAAGACATTATAGTTATAATAATTTACCAAATGTAATTATTGCTCCATCGTTCAAATTAAAGCATTAAATCACCATGGAAAACAGACCACCCACATTCAGACACTAACGCTCAGACCAGAGAATAACAAGGAAGGTGATATATTTGTGAATTTTCAGTGTGAACAAAATAACTCACACAAAATCTGATACCTGGTGAAAAACCACGTCTGCAAACAAACAACAAGTTTGACATGAGGTGAGACGCTTCAAACCCCATAAAATGTGAGAGAAGTCAAAAAACCTTGTCTTGACTCAGACTCGGGTCAACATGTAGTGCTGTGATGCAAACAAATGAGCGGTCGTCATGGTGTTACCTCTTAAATATGTGCAAAGAGACGCACCAGTGAAGTTTGGGAGGAGCTGTCAGGTCTCTGAAGGTCTATCAGCTCTTTACTGCTGTGAAAATGCAGCAGCATCAAGCTTGTCACATTGTGTGAAGTCGCTAAATTTACTGGTGCAGACTGAAGAAGATGTGGCTAACTTGTAATTTGTTAGTTTACTCTGCATGCTGTGGAACATTAAACCCACAGAATAAAATAGAGAAACTTTTAAAATGCTATTTAAGCTGTTACACATTATCTCCATGTAATGTTGCTTATATATGGTCTATTTGAATTTCACAGTGTGTCAAACATTTGCAACTCTGCCTAAAACCTTCTATATCCATGTAAGTTTAAAAATCCAATAATCAGCTCACACCGAATCCCTCTTTTTTCCTGTTTAATTTCCCTCTGAGAAACTAATGAACATTACATTTTATAAGACTCCTTGGTGCAAGCTCTGTTTTACTCATTTTCTGTCTGATTTGTTTTACGTGCTTCCATTAGTGCCTTCATGTTGCCACACCAACAGATTTCTTGGCCTGCAGTCTGGACATTATTTATTGAATGGAGGCCTCTACATGCTCTGCTATAATATCCGGTGGACACGCTTCTGTTTAAAAAATATCCTCCTCCAGCTGCTTTGTTGTCGAAGCTTCCTCCTCCACCCCCTGACCCCTCCAGTGTGGTTTTCTGGCTGCAGTCACTGATGAGATGAGAGCCAGTGGAAGATCGGAGAAGCGCTCGCTGGGGAGCCATTAACATCCTCGTTCGTGGCGACTTTCATGGGCTGCCTACTACCAGTCTGAATGAAATGTAGAAACTGGAGTGAAAAGACTGAGATAAAAGGCACTAAAATGTTTCAGAAGAAACACAAATATTAGAGTTCGGGACATAAAAATCTCGGGTTTTTTATTTCTGCATTTTAGTTGTTACATTTCCAGAACTCTCCTATCTTGCTTGTTTCTGTATTTGATAGCAGAAACAAATTTGCCTCTGGAAAAGTTCATTATTAATATATTGCATGTTTACACATTTGATTTTTTTTCCTTGCAGAAAAATGAAACATAATGAATAATTTAAAATGCTCTTTATGTTACATCACAGTAGAAAAGAAAGTGTTTGCTTTTCTGGGGGTAGACAGACTAAGACATGTTTCCAATACACAGACGCCAGCCAATGTGATGTACAGAATGTAAATATCAAGACCGTTCTTAATAGTTTCCCATATAAACTGCAGTGTGACAGAAAACCACCTTCTTTCACTGTTGTTTCTGTGATATACTGTGTTGCCTTCACATCCTGCCTATTTCAGGGGACTGAGGTCGAAACGTTCCAGTTTGATTCCTTCAGACCATAGCACCATTCTCCCACAAGGCGATTTATTGAAGATAGGTCTACATGTTTTCTTTAGATAAACAGAATCATGTCTTGCATTTCAATGCCTTAGTCCAAGTGGAGAGTCCAGAAGACAGCTGTGAAGACGTGATGCTTGCTCACACCAGGTGTCTTGAGAGAATTCAGACGTGAAGAATGACGTTTATACCTTTGCTTGAGGCACATGGCATCTAACGCTGTGAGATTTTTTTCCTCGCTCCTCAGTGATAACATTGTGCAGTGAGATCGCTTTGTGAGCTTTCTTCAAATTGTTACTGTATTTAAGGGATGAAAATAAGCCAATGTGAGGGAAATCCAAGAAATACAGTTGAAAGACAAATGAAAAGGCGATTCAAAAAAGTATTAATTGAAGGATGTACAAAGTAATGCAAACAAGCCTGTGCAACTTTCTTGTTTTTTAAAACTCCCTCCCCTAATGGCCTAGTCAAAGTTTTGATTTGTGATGATTTCTCATTATCTCATTTTTTCCCCATCACAAATACTTGCCACTGTACATTCTGGGCTTTTTATTTGTGAAATGTGATGGTAGTTGGTGTGTCTTTGATTTCAGAGACTGGAACCAATGCTTGTATTGTACTGGACCTGTTTCTGGTAAATACGGTGTAATTATATCAGGTCTTTTTATAGCGAAATGCTGTGCTGTTGCCTTGCTTGCTGTTCTGGGTGAAGTGTTGGTCAGTTATATGCCACTGACATCAGTCTGTCAGACTCTTAGTTGCCACAGATACAGGGTGATTAGAGACGGTTTACTGAATTAGACGGTTTAGCGTCAGGTGGATAGAGATCCTGCTCGCATGTTGCATTTCGTCCCTTTTCACCTGCAGCTATGGTTTTAAGGTGATTTCTTTGTGAGTTTTAGTCGATAAACTGCTGCACCAAAATAATGAAATGTGCTCTGATCCCTTTGTGCTTAGTTTAGTTATTCATAGTTTTTCATCTCACAGCAGACCCAGAGATTCCCATATTCCTCTCCCCATTTTAGTGGAGAGACAGATTTTAAAAAGCAGCAGGGGTTGTACTTCTGCCATCTGAGACCACTTATAGGAGATGATGAGGGAGTAGCAAGGCTGGAATATAATTGGAGACCTTTTAAAAAGGCTGGTTGTTCTGACATTTATCTCGCTGCTCTCGTAATAACGGGATACCAGGATGCAGGGAGGGAGGAAAAATAAATGCTGGAAAGAAGACTTCTATGGGAACAAGCGACAGACTGTAGGAAGAAGTTGTTCGCTGAAGCGGTGACGTTGGAACGAGGCGGATCGTGATCCTCTCAAGTTCCCTCTGCTCCCGTCTCTCCCAAAGCTCCGTCACTCCATCAGTAAGGGTTGCTATGGTAACCCCATCCTTTTCCCCCTGACCCCATGTGAACAGAGCTGTAGGATTAGTCTTGACAGAAAATTCAAATGTCAACACAGCAACCAGGCGCCGCCACGTCGACTTGGGGAGGAAGCAGGGTCCGGTCTACGTCACGTTAAAGTAAAATGTGTCAACATGTCTCCATCTGGAGCATCCAGACTTATGCTGGCCTATATATGTAGCAACATTATTCATTTATGCTGCATGAATATGGGAAGAAAACATAATGACAGAAACTTTTGTCATTGCTGAAATCAATTATGAAACAATCTCTCAGTGCAGTGTTTGAAAACGGCTGCATTTATTGTACAGGAAAGATCCGAATCGCAAAAAGCCAGATCATCTTTGGAAAGTCGTTTGTCGCAGTAAATTGGTATAAGTAAAATATTTATTATATGGACTAATTAGACATTGACTGATGCATACCTTTTAAATTTTCTGATTTGCTAGTAGCTAATTAGAGCCAAAATTCAGCTTCTCACAATGACTGACTATTAGTTAAGACCAAGAAAAAGAATTTTTTAATACAAAATAAGTTATTTTATTACCGTACAATAACTTCCGGTGTTCAACAGACAGAAGGTTAAGCTGCCAAAGGTGGTTGTTAAAAAAGCTATTTATGCAGTACGGTTCTAAGTATATTAATGGAAAGTTGAGTTGAAGGTAAAAATATGGTTGAAGAATGCAGAAGTAACAAGGATTGCAACAGCTTTGAGAAGGGAGTCCTGTCAGTGTTTTTCCACACTGGTCCTCAAGGCATACTGCCCTGCATGGTTTAGACATTTCCTGGCTTCAGCACACATAATTTCAATTGATGGCTGATTAACAGGCTTTTGCTGAACTCCAATCATCTGAATGGGGTGTGTTGAAGCAGGGAAACGTCTAAAACATGCAGGTCAGAGAGCTTTGACGTTTGAGAAACGCTGCATTAAATGGGAGCAGGGGAGCAAAACCTTTATTTGTTCTTTTACTTTTCCACTCAGCTGATGCTCGGTTTAAATAGATTACACCTTAATAAAGAAAAGACGCTCTGTCCACACAGCTGCGGTGGAGGCATGTGTCCTGCATGGGCTCAAGCGGCGAGCGGCTGGCTTTCTGCGCAGCAACAAGATAGCAGCGCTCTTCATGAAGGTGGGCAAAAGCTTCCCCCCGGCGGAGGAGTTTTGCAGGAAGGCCCAGGAGCTGGAGCAGGTCATGGAGACAAAGTGAGAGACTCATGCGCCGCAGCCTCTCCTCACACATCACAGCAGAATTCAAAGCAGAGCAACAAAGCCTGTTTGATTGTTGAACAATGAAAGCAATGACATATTTTCTGAAGAAGCTTATTTTTATTGAACAATCAGAATAATTTGGGGATTAAGAGTCTTTCATCTTGTGTGCAAGATGCATAGAAAATTGAGGATGTACTTTAAAAAATAAAATAAAATAAAAAAATCGATTGCTTGATTTTATTTTTCTGCAGACGAAGTCAAAGCCTGCAGAGTCAAGACAGCCTTCGCAGGATGCCCCGGCTGCCGAGCCTCAACCCTCCTGGGGTCAAGAACCTGTGGATCAGGACGGCTCTGTTCGAGAAAGTGCTGGACAAGATTGTCCTTTACCTGGTGGAGAACAGCAGGTCTGTTGAGAGGACAAACCATTCTCGTGTGGGGTTAAAGGTTTCTGTTGTATATAAGTTGTACTTATTTTCTTTCAGTAAATACTATGAGAAAGAAGCTATTCTGATGGACCCTGTGGATGGACCGATTCTGGCTTCACTGTTAGGTAATTAAACAGGAAAAGGAACATATTTGTGTAGTTACATATAATTTGGACTGGTACAATAGGGCTTTCAGTAGAGAGAAATGTTATAGATGGAGCTCTTTGATTGCTACTTTAAATTCTATTAATGTACATTCATTTGACATTCATTATTCAGTTCTTTACTCGGACATGCTCAAATATTGATGTCTGGTCTAATTTTTTATCTCTGGAAAATGAAAGTGATTTAATTACACAAAAAAATTATATATTCTCCAGCTTATGGAGTTTGTTCGTTTTGTATTTCTTATCTTTCGTTTTTTTTTTTTTTTTTGAGGACCAAACTCCAGATCCAGTGTACTTTACTGTGTGTAGTGCATCATTGTGGCATATTGTGTTAAAATTTCCAATATATTCATGTCAATAAGTTAAAGATCTGAGCTTTGACTTGACCCAGGATGTTATACTTCTTAATTCTCAGGTAGTTCTTGACGTGTTTGTTGGTACGTATTGGTAATTATCATGTGGGTCTAATTCCTTTTGCTTTTTTTACAAATGGCCATGCATTTTCCTGTGGGTTATTTTTCAGCTGGTCAGGTCCTGCTGCATTGAAGAAGCCCAAAACCTTTTGTTTTGGTGCACACATAAATCAGTTTTATACTAATCTGTTATTCCAGAAGTCTTGATGTTTGTCCACGTTTTCCCCGATAAGCTTTAGTTTGGCCTTCCTGTGTTTTTCAGAAGACAACCGTTTCCTCCTTGCACGTCTCCCACGTAATGTTATAATGTTTGGAAGGTCTAAGACTATCTGAAGACTGTTTCCCCTCGTTGTTGACAGTTGGACCCTGTGCTTTGGAGTACACAAAGATGAAGACAGCTGATCACTTCTGGACCGACCCGTCTGCTGACGAGTTGGTTCAGAGACATCGCATCCACAGTGGCATCTGCAGGCAGGATTCTCCCACCAAGAGACCCGCGTTGTGTGTGCGTATGAAATTTCAGAGGTTCTTTTTAACCTTTTTGTCCACGTGTCAGATTTTATCCTGATAGATCAGCTGCATTAGCAGACATTCTCTGCTGAAATGCATTAAGTGAAGCACAGTGCGTAACAGAAGCAGGAACAGAGAGCTTCTCGCACATTTTCACCCATTATGCTGTCAGTGGAGCGGGTCAGCTTAGCCCATCTCACAAACTCCCAACGCTCTGAAGCGTTCGTGTGCTGCGGCGCTGTTTGCAAATGTGTGTTTGGAGGAAAACAAGATGCACGAGGGCAGCTTTGTTGATGCACATGAGCAAGGAAGTGTGAGTCATCAGTGTGTTTTGTGATTGCACAGATCCAGAAGCGACACTCCAGCAGCAGCATGGATGAGCGCCCGTCGCCTTCCCCGTCAGCTCGAGAATATGTGGAGTCTCTTCATCAGAACAGCAGGGCCACGCTGCTTTTTGGCAAGAACAATGTGCTGGTGCAACCGGTAACTGTGTGACGTTTTATATAAAGCATCTCACTATTTATGCATATTTATTTCTGTTGAAATGTTTCACATTTTGTCATTTTACATTGATAAATTACATGATAGAGCAACAAAAAGTAGTGAATAATTACTTCATGAATGAAAAATGAGGCCCAGTTCCAAAAATATTTCACAAATGAAAAACTTAAAACTTTTTTTTACACGTTGTCTCTACCAAACTTACACATCTTGAAGCTGAAATCTGTAAGCATTCATCTTTGGAAAATAGTGGAAGCTCAGTCAGAATGGACAGACAGATTCGACTTGCAATCTTCAAGTCCTTTTGACAGGTTTGACTGGGCCATTCGATCAGATCTAAATACCTTCATCTCGATCGTACCATTACAGCTCTGATCCCTTAATTAGCTCCATCCATGTTCCCATCAGCTCTAATCCGCTTCTCTGTCATGGCTGCAGTAACACAGAGGTCTGCAACCTGCAAAGAGCTACAAGTGGCTCTTTGAACCTTCCACAAAGGCTCTTAATAACTTTAGCAAACTTTGTCAATTTTAGCAGTTCTATAGATTGTTTTGATGGAATTTTTGCATACACAAAAGAATTATTATAAAAGAAACAATAATATTTTTAGATCTTTTTCTACCATTAGGCTGGAAATTAAGTGCATTTTCAATATTAGCATTTTAGACGAATATTTTCTTTAAGTATTTTCTATAAATATCAACATCCCATTGAAGACAATATAAAAAAATTATGTGTAGTAAAGTGATGGTTCTTTAAATGCAAGGACATATTTTCTATTATAGATATTAAACAAAAAAAGAAGCAGTTTTTTTCCTTTTTAAAGATAACGCAACATTTGCTGGCCTAAACAAGTTTTATCTAGCTGGACTGAGGGCTAAATGTCTCTTTTAATGATAAAGGTTGCAGATGTCTGACATAGCAGCATGAAGATGTGTGAAGGTGTGTTCAGGAAAACACAAATAGCTCTTTACATGTTCCCCAGAAACTAACATTTTTCACATTTTTACTTATTTGCTGTCTCATATGTGACTTGTTGCAAACTACAAGTGGGGCTTCTTATGACTTTCTTTCAGCAACACCTTTTATGTTGTACAGCTGCAATTAAACTGAGATTAAACTACATGCAGATGGATCGATTAGGTGACTTCTGAAGACAATGGTGTAACTGGATTGTATTTAGGGGTGTTAGTGCAGAGGAGGTTGAACACAAAATGTATGTCATTCTTTTCAGACGTTTATTTGTGGAGATATTTAAAAACTTTTTATGCTTTTTCTTCCACTTGTAATCCCACATAATCCCAGTGTGATATGTTTATGTCCACCATTTTCTACCGATTCCTGTTTATTGACCTTTCTGTCATCTTGCCCCTGCTGCAGAGGGATGACATGGAGGCTATCCCAGGTTACCTCTCTCTGCACCAAACTGCTGATGTAATGACATTGAAGTGGACACCCAATCAGCTCATGAACGGATCTGAAGCAGACTTGGACTATGAACGCAGGTGCGAAATAATTTCATTCCGAACATAGAAAAATGCATCTGTATTTTATATTATTGCTGTTCTGTTCTGCTGATACCAAGAAAAAAATAACATGCTAAGTGTCTTTTTTTCGCATGCTGTGCTGTTTTTATAACACTCTCCTGCTGAATAATGCAGTGTGTTTGTGCTTGGGGGCTCAGTGCTCTGAGTTACTGCTGGTGATCTGATGAAGCCGGTTTTCAGCTTACCAAGCAGCCAACCTTATGGCTTATTGACTGCAACACTGTCAGAGCTCCATCAAACTAGCAAAAACCATGTTAGCATCTAACACCTGCACATGGTTTCCATCAACAAAATAATCAATCCTGGCTTGTTTATGTGCATGCTGCTGTGCTGATGGCTGCTTTTTTGCATTCTGATTTTACTGAACCATTTATAGTTTATTTGTTTCTTACTTTTAACGTGGAGTGCAAAGAGAGAGAAAGGATCGTTGCTTCAGTGAGTGCCTGCTTTTCTGTTATTTTTCAGTGTATATTGGGACTATGCCATGACAATCAATTTAGAGGAAATAGTGTACTTGCACTGCCATCAACAAGGTATGAGCTTTTACTTAAAATCTTATTCTTACTTGGATTATTTACAGAATATTGATAATGTCCTGTCAGTGTGGAGGGTTTGATAGATTGACGTACATGTGTGTCCTGCAGTGGACAGCGGGGGGACGGTGGTTCTAGTCAGTCAGGATGGGATCCAAAGACCTCCACTTCGCTTCCCCAGAGGAGGACATTTGCTCCAGTTCCTGTCTTGCCTGGAGAACGGTCTGCTCCCTCACGGCCAGCTGGACCCTCCTCTCTGGTCCCAGAGGGGAAAGGTCAGCATCTTCTTTCCAAAACACAATGCAAATACTTGCCGCTGGGATCCTTAAAGGAAGCATGAATACAATGGCAAACAAAGATGATCTGATCTAAAAATCTATAAGAATGGGATTTGGGTTTGGAATGGACACATTGTCTCAAACACATGACTGTGTGCTCAGTTCTCTCTCAGTTAGTTGAGCCACATTTGTCCCAATTCTGTTGATTTACTAGATACTTGTCATTTCTGCTCTGATGTGAAAAAAATATTTGCAGCCATAAAGATTTCTTCTGTTTCTGCTGTTTTTTTTTTGTCACATTTGAATATTACAGATGATTAAGATCATTTTAATACCAGACAAAAGCAACCTGAATAAATACAAAATAGAGTTTGAAAATAATTTCCAAACCAATCCAAAAGCTGATATCAATTTCATTTGACCTGAAAAAGGGCCGACTCATATTTGTCAAAAAATATACCTTAATGATCAAAGCTTTTGGGAAAATATTTTATGGCTTGAGAGAGAAAAGTTGGTTTTAAAATGTTGTACATCTTTCCTGTTACATCTGGCAGGACAGCAACAACACACTAACAGTCAAACGTGGTGGTGGTTCGGGATAATTGTGAGACTGCTTTTACGTTCTGCTCTCTACCAAAACATCTTGAAGAATAACGATCAGATTGTGAGATTAAGCTGGAGCATTCTAGGGTTAGACAGCTGCCAAATGATCACATGAAGTCCAGTTATGAATGGCCTAGTCAAAGTCTGGAAATCTGTATCTGGTTGAGTTTTAATACTCTAAAACATTCCAATTTATTTGAATTCAAGCAATTCTGCACAGATAAGTGTGCAAATATGTATGTACCTCTATGTAAAGCTCTCATTGCCAATTGGCTGCTGCTGCAGCCAGTTATTAGTTATGGGTACCAGTTATTATCTTTAGGAGGTAATTACTTATTCACATAGGGCCAGTGTAGCCTATTTCCTACAATTGATGAACTCGTCACTTGGTAACTGTGTTTTTAAGTTTTTCTGGCTATCTTTGTATAATATTAAAATTTTGTTAATCTAAATAATTGAAGTTTGACAACAAAAAAATAAAAACACACACTAGCTCAGCAGGTTTCAAAAAATGTCCCATTGTAGTTGACTTCAGTTTTGTCCTTTTCAGGGGAAAGTGTTTCCCAAACTGAAGAAGAGAGTTCCTCTGGGATCTGCGTCCACAGAGTCAGTTTCTGACAAGGAGGAGGACGAGGCCACCGACTACGTCTTCCGCATCATCTTTCCAAACAGCCAGTCTGATTTTGGTGAGTTTCTCCCTTTTTGAAGAGCCAAACCGAATTGAGATTCTTGCGTTGAAATGAAAATGTTGCTCCTTGTTTGTTACAGCGATTGTCTCCCACCGCCCCCATCTGATTTTTTCTCTTCCCCTTGAACTGAGTGGACAGTCCGCCTCCCGTACAGGGACTCTGGTTGCACCCAGGAGGTGCTGCAGCTGTCAGGGAGAATCCCCCTCACTCACAGAAAGCACCTGTAACACTGTCACACATGGGCTCATCAGTCTGTCTGTCAGCTTTCCTCGTTGTAATTCTTCGCGCCTCATTCCCTTCTGGTCTAAAGTGCTCCTCTGGCAAATCGTATTGATGTGCGGCGTTATTAAAGCCACTTGTGCCTTCCTAACCACATCTCAATGTATTTAACCTTTCAGACCCCAGCTGGGGGCTGATTGGTCAAGTATGCAGGCTTCCTACACAGTCCATCCATCCATCCATCATCCATCCATCCATCCATCCATCCATCCATCCATCCATCCATCCATCCATCCATCCATCCATCCATCCATCCATCCATCCATCCATCCATCCATCCGTCCATCATCCATCCATCCATCCATCCCATCCATCCATCCATCCATCCATCCATCCATCCATCCATCCATCCGTCCATCCATCCATCCATCCATCCATCCATCCATCCATCCATCCATCCATCCATCCATCCATCCATCCATCTAAAAAAAAAACTAAAATCGCCTGAAAAGTATTGAATTTGAATTTTTAAAGTGTGTAGGAACTCTGAGTTTTCTTTTGTACTGTAAAATGTTTTCTTTTTCCCCATGATCAAACATCTACTGTGTGGTGCCTTCATGCTTTCCAATTGTTTATTGATCTCTGGCAATATAAAAGTTTTTGTGTCATCACTCAAGTAGGAATGAATGGCTGAAGAATAATCCTTTGAAGTGCTTTAAGCAGGTCACAGCTGATCTGCATTATTCTGCTTGTGCCAAAGTGTTTTCCATAGAGTTTACAATCATCTCTGTACTAATGTAATTGCTCCTCAAAGCCTTCGAAGTGCGCCTCTTTTAAAGTGATAATGAGGTTGTGTGTGTGTGTGTGGTTTTGCATGCAGTGCCTCCTCCAGATCTGATGGATCACGGAGCCGCCCTGTGGCAGCCTAGTCTCAGGAAGTCTTCATGTTCCTCCTGCTCCAAGGGGAACTTCTCCGACGGCGCCGCGCACAAAGGGTGCAACTATGAGAGGTGAGGGGAAAACACAAGCCATCAATCTACACAGGAACCCGTTCGGCCCTGTAGCTTTTCTAATAACACCAAGAAACTGGAGATGGAAGACAGATACAAGAACATCAAGGCTACCCAGAGGAAAATGATGTGACATTTGCCTGCCTGGAATTAGGAGAGTTTGGGGTAAATTAGCTGATAACCAGGGCAGACAAAAAAAGATGAGCTGCTTTGCAAATTTGTGCCGCATGGCAGCACAATAGTTTATCATTTTACAAAAGGTCAGGCTGAACCCTGTAATAAGCTGTATATCAGAGATAGTGTATGACGTGTTATGAAAGATATATATATAAAGATGTAAATCAGAATGGCAGCTTAATGATAGCGTTGTAGAAGAAGAGTTCTGGGTACTGTACTCTGCTACAATATTTACACCCCAGGAATATTTTCACATTTTCTCACATTAAAACAACAAACTTGAGTGTGGTCTACTATGGAAGACCAACACAAACCAGTGCATGACTGGGAATGAAAATGACATAATACATGGTTAAACAAGAAAAGCAGGCTATTTTCTCTACGTTTATTCATCTTACATGGTTGGCTTTGGTGCAATATTTGGTTGGAAATGGTGCTTTAGTTGTTATGTATTAAAACTCTACTTTTCAGTGATATATTAAACTCTCAATTTGATACAGACTGTGGTGAGATTATTTGTATTGTGGGGGCAAGTGAACACTAAGGAAGTATGGGTTGATTGCAGGTTTTATGGTCGATTCAATATTTACCAATATTAGTGCAAAGTGATGTTTTCTTAATATCATGCTGCCCTAGACCAAATATTATTCCAATTTGATTGTTAGAGCAATTTCATAAAAAAAAACAATAGACTGAATGTCTCTAAATTAGCAAAAATGTAAGAGACAGCCCCAAACATCTTCTGGCTGTAAGCGCAGTTATCTTATTTACCCTGCATTATTTCCCATCTATCCCGTCAAATGCACCTAAAATGTATTATTATTTGACCAGTTATTTATCATTTCAAATGGTATGAATACTTTTGCAAAGGTGCTGCAGTTTAGGTAAAGTAATCTGTGCTGTGTCTTTCTGCAGGACTCCTCTGAAGCTGCTGTGTGACAACATGAAATATCAGATCATCTCCAGGGCGTTTTATGGATGTACGAAATGCCGTATTGAATGTTATCAGCTCACATTCACTATCATCTGTTGCGGTTGGATTAATTGATCAGCCATCTCTTCGACCAGGGCTGGCGTACTGCCGCCACCTGTCCACCGTGCGTACCCATCTCTCCGCCCTCGTCAACCACACCATCGTGGCGCCCAACGCGCCCTGCGACGCCACCGGGGGGCTCACCGCAGACGTTTGGCAGACATTTCTTAAGGACTGCACCGTAAGCACCATGACACATGCTTTGACTTCAACTGCGAACAGAAGGCTCTCCGCATGCTCACACACACACACACCCATGTAACCTGAGCGTCTCCCTCAGCCTGCTAGTGATGCGGCTCACGCTGCTGGTCTCATGAAGCCTGACTAATGGCCTTGTAAATTACACCTAAACACCACTTTTGAAGTTTATGAAGATATTAATCAAATTTATGAGGGGTCAGCAATATAGCCTGGCTCATTTCAAAACATTAAAACATTTCTTTATCATGAATAATTGAATGCGAGCTTCGATCATTACTGAGGCAGCCAGTGTTGTTTTGGCACATTAAGCCGTGTGTGGGAGATCGTTGTCATTTTTAATAAAGAAGATAATAGAACTGATCAAAAGGCAAGCCCTGGGTCGATCAAAGGCTTGTGCTGCTTTTCATTAGGCCTACAAAGAGCAGGAGCTGCTCCGCTTGGTCTACTTCGGCGGCGTGGACCCCTTGCTGCGTAAAGAGGTGTGGCCTTTCCTGCTGGGTCATTACCAGTTTGGGACGTCAGAGGATGACAGGAGGGAGGTTAGTTGCTCCTCTCTTACTCCATCCGCTCCGAGGTTTTCTGCACCAACACCACTGAGGCTTGACTGCTCACTCTTTGGCCGTAGGTGGATGAACAAATGCAGGCTTCTTACAAGCAGACCATGAGCGAGTGGTTGGCATGTGAGGAGGTTGTTCGCGAGCGAGAGAAGGAGCAGCACGCTGCCGCTTTGGCAAAGTGCTCCTCTGTGGCGAGTGTGGACAGCTCCAGTCAGAGGATGACCCATCATGACTCCACTGTGAGCAACGAGGTAAAGCAGTCAAAAAAACCAAAAAACACAATTCAGTGTAAAATAAAGGTTGTTGGTATTTTTTTTATTTCCTGCTTATAGTTTTGCTGTCAGTTTGTGGCGATATGACTCCAGTAGATATTATCTGTGAACAGGAAGTCACTCAGAGCTGAATCCGGTTTGTTTAGGGGTAAATAATCTGCTTGATTATTTGTGGTATAAATGGAAATCACAACCATAATAAATGTAAATAATAACAAAAGTTCTTCAGATAAAAGGCTATATTTGAAGATGACTCGTAAATAGGTAAATTTGAACCTGTAGCATGTTTATTCACATCATTAATGAGAATAATTAACTACATAAAACTATGCTCTTTTCTTTTATAAATACCTGTTTAGCAAAGGGTGAAGAGGCTTGTTTGACATAACTTTCACTATATTTGTACGTAGGAGAAAAGGAAATACTTTTTACATTGTTTAGCTTGATTTATTTTGTTGATTTTTAACAACACAGAAATGACCATTTCTCCTATGGACCTTTATTCCAGTCTCATTCATCTCACAGCTCAGACAGGGAGAGTCTGGCTCGCCTCCAGAGTGACTCCAGCAGCAGCACACAGGTATCCAAAACCAACTCCATCATTTCCTCTGTTGACTCTGTTCACACAGAAGCTAAATACAAACTTTACATTTATTCTGTAATGATCATCAATCTCAGAGGCAGACTTTACTTTTTGTGTTCTTTTAAAATGTCCTTGATGAAGCTTTTCTTCTGGAGGAACTTATATTTCAACAATAGTTTATTTCTTTTTGTTGCCAGTCGAATCCAGCACTTTTTTTCCAGTGCAGTCTTAGTGCTCACATAATGGTGCAGTCACTGATCGGGAAAAATTCAGATGTTAGTTTTGTCTTGTCACCAGTTGAGCTGAAAATGGATGAATTTGTTTACCAGCTGTTTGCTCTGTATTTATCTGGTAAGGCTGCAGAGGTCCTTTGGAAGTCAATTTACAATTTCCTGGTTGATATAGAATAATATTTCACCATCAACAAGGTGATGCCTGATGTGGTGTTAACTGAATAAAGATATTTTTTTTTCTTTTCTTTGAGACATAATTATCAGATGTTAATATCTTGTAGACGGCTTTTAGCCTTGAAATATCTTCATTGCCCACTTTTCTCTATTTTAAGCAGTATTCTTTTATTATTGACAATAAGCGATGGAAAGAGAATAAGTGAAAAAACTGAAGAAAGTAAAAAAAAAATCTGTTTTTTTGTTACCTAGAAAACCGTTTTAGAACATCCCAAAAAGGTCTGGCTTCTTGAAATCACTGTCAGAAACTGTTGCACATACTGTAAATGTCTAAGCTATGCAATTAATGTAGACATTCGGAACCAATGTTTTGCATTCTCCTTCCTGCTAGTTCTTCACATCCTCCCATCCCTTCCCCTGGAGTAGACTGCTTCCCTTTGGCTTGTTCTTTCAGGTGTTTGAGTCCGTAGAGGAGCTGGACCAGCCCGAGTCGGAGTCCAAGACTGAAGAGGCCAAACTGTTGCAGAAGTTGCCCAACGGAGCTGTGCAAAATGAGTCGAGCTCTCCCGACTCTGGGCATCCTTCGTCACGAAACTTCTCCGTCACCTCTGGCCTTTCAGACGGCTCCTTCAGCACAGAGGACAGCTCCGCACCTGATGCGTCCCAGAGATCCGCAGCTGCGCCTCCGATGTCGCAGAGCTCCGCCAAAGCTGCAGTGGGAGAGGCCGAAGCATTGACAATCGAAGGTCAGGTGGTGAGTGAAGAGAAGGACAAAGGGCAGGAGGAGAAAACATTTGACAGCACAGATAAAGACGGCGTCAAATCGAATCCTGGAACACAGGACAGCACAAAGTCTGGAAATGTGAAAAAGGAAGGAGCAAATTTTGAAGATAAAGACCCAAAACATGTACCACTGAAGACTGAGGAAGCTTCCAAACACAAAGAAAAAAACCTGACACCAATTAAAGATACGAAAAAATTAAACACAACCATCACATTTGAAAAATCTAAAAGTCTTAAGGAACGTGAGGGGGAACAGATTCTGGGAGCCTCGATATCGGGAGGAGTTCACAGCTTGTCTCAGAAAGACGAGACCCAGGCTTTGACTGAGTCTGATGAGTCTCCCTCAGCCATAGAAATGGAGGAGATCCCCAAGGCAAGGGTGTCCATGGCACCATGGAGCAGTAGAGGACACTGTGAGACTTCGTCCTTCTCTGAGGATTCAGCAACTCCTGCGGATCTGAGGCAGGAGGTAGAAAAGCTCAGTCCTGAAGGAACAGAGTCCACCCTGTCGGAGCCGGAGATGGAGAGCCTTTATCCTCCCTTCGACTCTCTTCCAGCCGACGAAAACACAAAGAATGAAGTGACACCTCAGGGAGCAACTGGGAGCCCTTACTCTGTATGCACACCATCAGTCTACATTTATTCACAGCAGTGGTTCTCAATTTGAGAACAATGAGGAGGGCATTTTAAAGAAACCTCCAGCTTGAAATAATTTGATAACCGCTGATTTATTGCGTTATAAGTCAACCAGATAATAAGTTTATTTTATTTACTGTCATAATTATATTTGTTACAGCAAGAGCTTTTGGATTTATACACACTAAATCTGCACCGCATTGACAAAGACGTCCAGCGGTGTGACAGGAATTACTGGTATTTCACTCCAGCCAACCTGGAGAAGCTGCGCAACGTCATGTGCAGGTAAAACAGCGACCCCTGCAGGAGCATAATCGAATAATAGATTACAGCAACGCTTTCTCACGTCTACATCCATATCATTATTTAAATGATGATATGGATCATTTGAAGCTCAAAGATTGAGCTTTGAGGAGGAAGCTCAGACTTCCTTGTGAAGTTTGAGCTTCCTATGGATGTTTTTGTCTGACTGACAAAAACAAAATGGTCCGCTTAGAAAGTTTTTTTCTTCTGAAAACAAGTTTTTCAATAAGTATTGCATGTTCAGTAAATATGGCTTGGCAACTTAAGACTCTTTTAAGGCTTTAGTTCTTCGTTTCAGCAACATGTCATTCAATATTTTAAATTCAGACTTTTTTCTTTATAATATAATTTAAGATTTATGAAATCGTTACTTGTTAAAACACAAGAAGAGTCATGGAAAATAACTCACACTGGAGCTACTCAGGGTATCACAATAGTTTTAAAACTTTGCACAGTTTTCCTTCCCCTTCACAATTACTCTGCTATTACATTTCTATTACATAGGCTGAAGTTTGCAAGGTTGCCCTCTCGTAAAGTCTAAAAGTTTTATATTTCCAGCTATTAGCTTTGTGACTCAGTTTCAACCACAAACGTCATTGACTTCTTCAATGATGTATCTCGGTTTTGAAACACTTGTCTCCAGTGTGAGAGTTGTAGTCTGCAGAATGCCTCTGAATCTGCAGAGAGAGTATGAGTCAGAGAAGAAGCAGTCACATGGGGTTAAGGTCAGCTCTCTACGCTGCATATTCACAGCTACATCTGGAGGCACCTGGACATCGGATACGTACAGGGAATGTGTGACCTGCTGGCTCCTCTTTTAGTCATTCTCGATGACGGTGAGTCAAAACTCTCCTCGCTGTTCACGCTTATTTGATGTATTTTTACAGCGATATTCTGAGCTGCAATGAAGACTCGGCAAGCTCACTTTCCCTCTCCATGTTCTCCTCTCAGAGGCCAAAGCTTTCAGCTGCTTCAGTAAACTCATGAAGAGAATGAATCAGAACTTTCCACACGGAGGAGCCATGGATACTCACTTTGCGAACATGCGCTCTCTAATCCAGGTGACGCACTTAGAGTTTTATAACAGTTTCCTATAATAGCCAGTGAATCCAATCATCGCCTAGTTTCTTTTTTTGTTTCCTCTTTCTTTCTGGCTTTAGATCCTGGATTCTGAGCTGTTTGAGCTCATGCACCAGAACGGAGACTACACCCACTTCTACTTCTGCTACCGCTGGTTTCTGCTCGACTTCAAACGAGGTGATGTAACGGCTCAGGCTAACAGAGTCGGCGCCTATTAGAAGGAGAGAAGCATCAAAGAAGTGATTAGAGCTTTTTCTATTTTCAGTCAAATATTTGCTGCAGTAGGACAGGTGAAGTTAAAGGTAAAAAAAACATAAAATAAATGAAATAACACAAGTAGAGTAAAAAAAAAGGTAATTGGAGCAATCGCAAGTGTAAAAGATCAATCAAGTAAACAGAATAAAGAAATGGATCAAGCTCAGAACAAAAATGCCAAACCTCTGTTTCTTTGTGCTTTCTGTCCAGAGCTGGTTTACGATGACGTGTTTGCTGTATGGGAAACCATCTGGGCCGCCAAGTATGCCTCATCAAGTCACTTTGTGCTCTTCATTGCCCTTGCTCTGGTGGAGGTCTACAGGGACATCATCCTGGAGAACAACATGGACTTCACAGACATAATCAAGTTCTTCAATGGTAAAGCTCATCACCTCATTGCTAATGTTCTTAACATATAGGAGTGCAGTGCAATCAACTTTGTTAAAAATAACAAAAATATAGGTAAGAGAAACAAACCAAAAACTAAATACATTTACAATGAATTTGGAGTTTTGAGCACATTATTTGTGTCAGTAGAGCTTCGACTTCATACATGCTGTTAATCCCGCACCGAAACGACTCCCTGCACATTAAATATTTGTCCCCTCACAGATTTCTTGTGTTTTTGCTTTTTTGTCACTCTTAAGTGTTTCATGTTATCAACCTCATTGTATTACTGAACCAAAAGCAGCCTGGCATCATGTGAAGAACTAATTTCTCCACAAACCTAATAAGTTGTTCCACCCTTGGCGACATTAACTGTCATCTGGCATGTAAATAAGAGTTTTACATCGGTATGCAGAAAATTTCAACTCGCTTACACACTTTTGCTGAATTGCTTCAACTCTTTCCCATTGAAGAGTTTTTAAACATAAACGACCCATTTAACATCTCAGTCAGATTTGATTCAGGAATTTAACTAGGATCACACCAGTAGCTTCATTTTGCTTGTTTCATGAATCGTTGGATATTTCTACTTTTTAAAACAAATATTAATTAGTTCATGATTTAACAAAGAGAACAATTACATATTTTCACATAGGGATAGGTTGGTTTGGATTATAAAATGATCCTTTGAAAGCTGTTACATTATTCCTCTCTGATACATTTTTTTTTCTAATAATCTAAAAATATCACTGCAAGTAAAGAAAATGATAGAAAAACTATATGAAGAAATATTTTTTTTTCATAGTGTAAATCCAAATGAGGCTCAGATTGATTTGCTTAGGCAGTAAGACGACTCACAACACAGGCAAGAGTCTCATCCACATTTCTCATCTTGTTACTGTCGAGGCTCAGTTTGTTTCCATCCTGCTTGCTGACGAAAAACATGATACTGCTGATGATGTTTGATTAGCTGAGTTGATTTACTAGCAGGAAAAAAACAGGCGTCAGTCAGCAGATCATCGGTCCAGTTTGAATCTCTGAGACACGGGGAAGTTTGTGCAGAGGTTGAACAATTTCATAAAATTATGGTCTGCTCTGTTTTTTTTAAATTTTTTTATTGAGCTCTTTTTCCCTGTCGATTATTGGCCAAAATAAAGAAAATCAGAATCACTAACTTGATTTTACAAATCTACCTTTTGCAAGACGGTAGATTTTCTGGCTTTCCAAGTCCTTTAAATGTCTTATCTGTCCCAATCTTCTCCCAAATTTATTCAATTTTGGGTTGTTGCTCTTTCTGTTGAATCCTAGAGTTAAATCATGAAAACTTCACCTTACCTTAATCTGGTTTAGAGAATTGCAGTTTTTCAGTTCAAAATCAAATGTTCAGTCAAACGTTTGTTTTATCAACAGCTGAGTGTAATTATGACTCATCGGTGTAATTCATCCCAGTGTGTGTAATCCAACTGCACACTCATCCAAACATTTACCCAGAACAAGCTCTGCTCTATCAAACCAATTAAGATCTTGAGAAAGTGAGGGAAAAGCCTTTGGGTATGGTTAATTGTGCAAAGCTTTGACGTTCCACTCTGTTTTTGCCTTTCAGAGATGGCTGAGCACCACAACATCAAGCAGATTTTGACCATGGCCAGAGATCTGGTGTGCAAAGTGCAGATCCTGATAGAAAACAAGTGATTGTTGCTTTCGTCCTCCCGTCCTTCCATGTAAAGAAGAGTCGGCTGTAGTAGCACAACAGTATAACACATATGAATTCATATACTACAATCTACACAAGGCCTTTACATTCACAGGTTGCTGCTATGAGCCTTACGGACTGTCCTCTGTGGTGTTTGTCCTGTCAGCACTATGAGAACTGTGTCGATCCGAGTGCACTTAATATTTTAGGATAAAGATGTTCTAGTTGCACATTTCATGCCAAAACGCAAAGCTGAATTCAAACAGAGACTATATTTATGAGAAAAATAGATTGTGATACTGCTCTATGAATTATTTTAATAGCCAACTATTTAAAAAACAAAAACAAATTACAAGTCATCCCTTAACAAAATAAGATTATAGATATGGTTTTCTTCGTATGTATATATAACATTTAGATGCAAACATTTAAATGTTAACCTCAATTGATTTAAGAATCTGTCTGGCAGCCAGAAATTTAACACATCTAATCGCCTTCCAAAGTCAAGTTGCTTTAAACTTTGTGTAATTCGCTTACAGTGCCTTGCTCAAGTATTCACACCCCTGAACATTGTTGTCGCATTCCACTGCAAACCTCAATGTGTTTTATTTTAATTTTTATCTGATGGACCAATGGAAAGTAGCACATAATTTTGTAGTGAAAGGAAAGTCAGACATTCGTCAAGGTTTATTGCAAATAGAAAGTGAATAAGCAGCATCATAACAGACCTAAAAACACAACAAATAGCTGTGGAGAAACTTAAAGCAGGATTCTGTCATAAAACAATATCCTAAGCTTTGATCATGTGTGAGACGCCCAGTTAAATTAACAAGAGGAGCATTAATCAGGCACAACTTAAAGGAGCCGCAGGAATCAACATGAAGCGGCTCACGAGACGTTGCACCCATAACTGTAGCAAATTCTGCAAGGCTTGAGTATAAATCCACACTATTCATTATTTTCTTTCATCTCAAAATTACGCAGGACTTTATGTTGGTCTAACATTTAAAAACTCAATAAAATCCATTAAATTTGTTCAAGGGGTTATTTGTGCTTTTGCAAGTCAGAATTACAGAAAATACAGTGTTTTAAGTGTTCTAAAACTGCATTTTCTGCCTGTTTGCTTATTTTTGTATTTGTTTTGTCCCCAGAGAAAATTGTGCTCAGAATGTGTCGTGAACTCATACCCTGATTCTGACTGATGAGTGTGTGGTCAGAAATTCACACAAATATGAAAAGTATATGAAAAGACGGGCCTAATTTCACAATCCTTGTGAATTGTTTTGCATTGTTCCGTGATCTTCTGCTTATTTTGTCAATTGAGTGAGTTACTTACTTTTGTTTTTGTACTGTCATGCTTTGTCTGGTGCCTGTTTGTTCAATCAGACTTTAACTTCCTCTTTAAAAGACAGACGAGGCAGCGGCCGTTTTTAGTCACCCTTATCAAGTAACAACTGCTGTTCCACTTTATTCGGATTCATCGCTGCGAGAAACGACAATTGCTTTGTTGATATGAGTAGCAATTACATTATTTTTGACATATTTATATTCCAGTTCCTAATGGTTCATGCAAGTCAATGCCTGTCATATATAGCCTAAAACTTCAGACGCTTGTTGTTGTTTTATGAATGTAGTAGGTTTATTCTAGTACTTCTTTGTGGACTCCAAGTGCTTTCAGATGAACTTTGTATTTATTTATTGTAATATTCGTAAGCCAAAGTACTTGTTTAGTTAGTTAGTTTTCTTTTCTGGATGCTGCTTTGTTTGTAAAGCTAATATTTTTATTTCGTGGCCAATTTTAAATGTGTACTATAAATTAAATCAGATTCCATAGCACTTAACAGATATATACACACATATATATTGAATGGTCTATGTTCTTATAATAAAAAATAAAAATGGAATAATTATTTTTCCAAATCACATTGTTACGTCTGTTTTACTCAAACTGAAACTAAAGGGGGAAGAATGGTCTTTTGATCTTAGAATATGTTTTTATTCCTAAATTGTTGTTTGATAGCAGGGAAAGATTGGTTTAAAGGTCAATATGAAGCCTTATGATGGACTGGTGACCTGTTCACAGTGACCCCCACTCTCACCATGAGTGTTGAGAATGAGATCCTCTAGTCATTGTTTTTTAAACTGATGTCAAAATCCAATACTCAGGTTTTTCCTGCAGCTTTCAGATGTGTCTCTGGTTCATCACACCTCTATCAAATTGTTAAAATACCTCCTCAAAATGCAGGTAAGTTCAGAGTCCTGCTAATTGTCTAAATATTTTTAATCAAGTGTGTATAACCAAGAAGTCATCAAAAAGTTGCAGATTGCCAGCCCTCCAGCTGGAGCTTGATGCGGCTGCTGGAAATATAAATTGTAAGAAACGGTTTCTTATCATTCTTCTAACGTAAATGGTAAGAGAAGATGTCTCACCGTCATCATTTGTTCCTGGACAATAAATAACAAACCGTTAAACAGTCTCTTATCTTTAGAAAGAAAAAACACGCCCGAACAGGGACTTGAACCCTGGACCCTCAGATTAAAAGTCTGATGCTCTACCGACTGAGCTATCCGGGCGCTCTTAGTCAGCAGTATGTCGATACTGAATTTCAAAATCCTATCTACCAGGTCTGAGCGGAGAAGCGTTTTTGAGAGTTTATTTTTTAATACTTTGAGTAACAACCTCTCGATTATATATTATGAAAGACATCCACACAATATTTATATGAAAAAAAAAATCGGACGTTTTCAGTGAAACAGGAAATAGTTTCAGTTGAGCCTCTGCTTTACTTCCTGCTTCTTTAGCATGTTGTTAGCAGAGCTGCTAGCTGTGTGGGCCTGACCTTACTGGGGAAGAGGACTCAGAAGATATGGCGGGTTTCGCTTAGATCGTATGCAGAGCTGGTTGAGTAAAATATGATAAAGGTGTTGGCATTTCAAACGCTTCGTGTCGTTTCCAGGGAAATCCTGGGTTCGTCATGTAACCTGGTGGAAAACAATGTTTACTCCATAAGAAGTCTGCAAAGACGAATCTTAAGACCGCTCAGCTCTCACCAACATAACCCAAAGGTAAGGCAAATGTAGCATAGCAACGATTCTACAATATTTTACTTATTTACTGATGGTTATCTTGCAGGTCCCAAAAGTGCCAACATGGGAGCCTGTACCAGAAGAGGAACTTCCTCAGGTAACATCCTCATGGCTGCATGCAGAACAATCCTTATAAACTGACCCTAAGGTTCAGGAGGTCATTCTCTGCATCTGGTCATGTCACATGGAGGACATTTACAGTGCCTTAAGAAACTTAAACTCATTCACATTTTTTCTCACATTGGGATTTTTGTACGTACCGGCAAGTGGCAATTGTTGTATTTCGGGAAATGTGGGGCAAAGGACACAGATTCATATAATATGGCCATATTTCGTCCAATAAAGTCGTCCCAATCATCTAATTAAAACAAGCAAGACTAGTAAGTGAGAATAAAACAACACGTAGTTCAGTTTAAATGTATAACGCAAATTCACAAAGCTGTACAAGACAAACCAAATAAATGTCCAACTATACAAAATCATATTTGTTTCAGTTTGACATGCTCTTGTGCTCAGGGGCACTTCTTCACACATTTCAAGTTTTGTTCAGGGATTTCTCTCTTTTCTTTGTTTTAAAATCAAAATCATATCTGGCAAACTTTGTCTTTTTCTATATACTGAGACTTTGAGCAGCACAAAAACACACACTATACCAATTAAAGCCTCTTTGCATAACAGGCACTACACAAATTCAGAAGTTATTTAATGATCAAGCTTGAGGCCCATAATTAGTAGATAAAAATGCCTAATTTAAGCATTTAACAACATGGATCAAGCTACTGGTCCATGTTTTATTTGACTTGAAATACATTTATTTAATTTCCCAGTATTTTATAGTACTGATAGTGGAGAAGAGTGGTCATACGTCATTAATGTTGCAGCCCACCAAGATCCCTGCTGACCTGGTGGACAAGCTGGAGCGGCTGGCGCTGGTGGATTTCCGGACCCAGCAGGGGATGGAGTGCTTGGAGAAAGCCATTCGTTTTGCTGATCAGCTTCACGTCGTTGACACGTCTGGGGTCGAGCCGATGGATTCGGTTCTGGAGGACAGGTGCTGCGCAGAAAGCTGCGAATAGCAGCTCGGCCTGATGGAAAAATATCTTATTGCTGTTTGTTAAACATTGTTCCGATTCATCCACTCAGGGCTTTACATCTGAGGGATGACACAGTGACAGAGGGCCACTGTGCAGAGGAGCTGCTCAAGCTGGCAAAAAACACAGTGGAAGAATATTTTGTTGCACCGCCAGGTATGAAAAGTTTTGTTTTGGATTTCTCCTTTATTGGCCAGCATCTGTATTCTTGAATATATTTAGGTTTGAAAATGCAGAATCCTGGTGATTTTTCTTTTTCTTTCCACCAGGGAATATTCCTCTGCCTAAAAGGGAAGAGAGGGCTGCCATCCTCAGACACTCGGAATTCTGAAGACTTGATTGTGAATAATTTATTGCTTTTTTTTTTTTAATGGAAAATTGTACGTGTCTGCCTTACACTCCTCAGTCACTTGTCTTGGTTGAAACCACATAGCAGACGTTCATAATTGTCTTTACTGCAGTTTATCTGCAACCATAAACACTGGGAGAAACTGGGAGATGTGCAGCTGGTTTTATTGGCTCACCTTCTGCTCAAATTCAAATATTCCTGGTGTTGACAAACATGTTCAGGTTTCAGTATCATTTCACATAAAGTTGACGTCACACATCGACTACAGCTGTGAGGATGACAAAGTAATGACAAAGCAGAAATGCTCAGTGAAATACATGGTATGTTTTCTTATGTTGGTTGTCATATTTTACATAACATTCTCACTGAAATCTTCAAATGTCTTAAGCTCTTATAAATATGACTGTAAATATTGACTGAAATAAAAATGTTAAATCTGTTTCACATGTTTTCTTTTCATGTTGTGCACAAGACCAAGATTTTAAATTAAAGTTTATTAACTAGATATTTTTAAAAGGGGACTTTAGGGCGTTGTATTTTTGGCAATATACTGAACATTACAACTAAAGTATTTACAGAAAGTTCAGTGGAAGGAAAAATTTTTAGTTTGGCTAACTGTGTTCTTGGGAAGATTTTGACTGTAAGAACTACAGCTGGAGTTAGTGGAGAACTACAGAGTCTATTGGTTATTGGTTGCAGTATGCCATCATTTTTTCACATAAACCAGTTTGGATTGCTTTCTCTCTAAATGAAATCTTAATTTGTAAACTCCATTTTGGATTAACTCCCGTAATCTGAGATATTGATGAAATGAAGCACGAGGCTTCAAAAAGAAATCTGAAAGAAATTTCAAATATATTTTCAAGCTCCAATTTTTAATTCCTTAACTAAATTATGTTTTTGATCAGACACATTCACACCATTGATTTTAGGTTATGGGCTAACTAGTTATCTCATCATCATTGCCCATTTTAGTTGTTTTATTCCTAATAATAAAGAGACTGGGCTTTTCCCACTTCTGTTATACTTTAGCTTTAAGCCTGACTTTGCATTCACCGCCATCTGATTTCTGACCATCCTGTTTTTGTTTCCCTTCTCCTCCCATAGTCAGGGAAGCTGTAAAACTTACCTCACCTGTTGGCAGGAATCCAAGGAACGTCATGAAAAACATTTGAACAGGCGTGCTTTGGAGAATAGAAACCTAAATATGAGGAGACGGAGAGGGAAAGCGAATCTTAAATGAAGTGGGCTGGCCCAGCCTCTTTATAAACAGCTGTTCAGGCTCAGAGGAGCAAAACACCGGAGGATCAGCGATCACTGGACCTTTGAAGCCAGAAGGACATTTTTATTATTATTATTATTAGTACTAGAAACCCATCGCAAGGTAAGTCGCTCTTCTAACACGTTTCATGATCTCAACCTCTGAATATTGCCATGTAGTAAAAGTGATGAAAACTTTTGAAACTATTTTTCAGTCATGGATATTCACATCACGATGGAACGGGTCGTCCCGCACGCTCAAAGTGAACCCGCACGACACAGTGGGCTCTCTGAAGACGCGCATCCAGCAGCAGCTCGGGGTTCCCGCCGAGAGGCAGAAGCTGATCTTCAAGAACGGGGCCAGCACACCTCTGAACGACGACTCCAGGACCCTGAGCTCCTACAACATGGAGCCGGGCTCCCAGGTGTCTCTGCTCATCACCCAGCCGGAAACCCAGCCGGACACCCAGCCGTCCACCTTTCAGGTGTTCCTGATAAACGAGAAGGGGACGACCAGCACCTATGACGTCACACCCAACGAGAGGGTGGAGGGCTTCAGGAGGAGAGTGGAGAAAAGAGAGGGGGTCCCTGCGGGCCAGCAGAGGCTGATCCATGAGGGCCGCGAGATGCAGACAGGAAAACTGTCTGACTACAACGTGAAGGAGCACAGCACCATCTACATGACTCTGCGTCTGAGAGGAGGCTGAGGACGCTGGCAACGTCAACAACACATTCCAGACTTTATTTACTTGTCAAGGCACTTTTATGATCAAAATGCATTCTCTGTACACATACAAAAAATAATAATTATATTACTGAAGTAAGTGAATTGTAATATATTATCAAGTAGTCCATTTGTACCAATCAGTAAGTACAGCTTTTTGGATGTTATTGTTACTAATAATTCAGACTCAAGTTCTGTGAATTTGTTCAAATCCAAATTGTAAAGTTTCTGTTCAGAACAAGAAACCGTCAACTTCCACAAAATAGTCAAAAGATGCTTTGTGACAAAATTGGGGGCTTAGAATTTAAGGGGAGAAATAAAAAAAAAAAAATTTAAAAATGTGTCAGAACAACCAAAAATAGTTTTTGTTGTGTTTAGTAGATCTATGGTGTGGGGAGACTTAAATGACTGTATGAAAGGAGCAGAAAGTCGCAATATATTTTATCTCCTAATTGTTCCTGTTCCAAATAAATTATGTAAAATTGCATGTACATTGACATATCTGTCTTATTCTTATTTTCTGGTTTTACTTTTTATTGTCTGTTTGAAATAAATAAGGCATACCTCATACTTTAAAGAATGTCCTAATTTCAATGTTTCTCAGGTTTTGTAATATAGGTCTATTTTTTCTCAATAAATAAAATAATTTTTGAAAACTGTATTTTGTATTTACTTTGACTATTGTTGAAATTTGTTCGATGATCTCGAGCATGTAAAAATGTTAAGATATTTAAAGGGTGCAAATTCATTTGTTGCATTTCTTAAATTCTTAAAATAAAGAATGCTTTGAATGAGACCGTTCACATGTATTCATACTGTTGTTTTTAACTTATGGGGTTGTTTATTGTCTCCTAATTGTATAATATCTGGGACTCCACACTGACAATAAACTGGACTGGGTCAAGAACACTGACCCTGCGTACAGGAAGGGCTACAGTCACCTCTACTTTCTGAGGTCCTTCAATATCATCCAGACTTTTATGTTTTATGAGTCTGTGGTGGCCAGCGCCATCCTCTATGTGTATAGGAGCTTAACGTGGCGAACACCAGCAGGCTGAACAGACTGGCCTGTGAGGCCAGCGACGTCGCTGGACTGGAGCTGGACTCTCTGACGGTGGTGTCAGAGAGGAGGATCCTGTCCAAGACGAGGGTCATGATGTGCTGGCCGGATCCAGGAGCTACATCAGCCAGAGGCTCATTTAGTCAAAGTGAACCACAGAAAATCATTTCTGCCTGGAGCCATTAGGCTTTACAATGCCCCCAAAATCTAATTTTCTCTGCACTCATTATGCTTATTTATTTAATTTATTTATTTATACTCTGTCATATTGAATTACTTACATCTCTCTTATATTTATATACATATTTATATATATATAAATATTATATTATATATTAAATATTATATACATTATATATTTTATATTTTATACTATATATATATATATACATATCTAAGGTGTTAAATATTAATAATACAAATATAAGAGCTAACATTTCATATATATAATACAGAACCTATGCTCCTTTACAGAAATGAATCACAATAGGAACTGATATATATGATCCTCTTTTAAATATGAAATTTTAGCTCTTATATTTGTATCATTAATATTTAACACCTTTGATGGACTGGGAGTAGTGATGGACTCGGACTTGAACCTTGCGAGCCACATAAAGACGATTACAAAGTCGGCCTTCTATCACCTGAAGAACATCTCCAGGATTAGAGCACCAATATCTCAGCCAGATGTAGAAAAACTCATCCATGCGTTTATCTTTAGGCGCATTGATTATTGTAACAGCGTCTTCACAGGCCTGTCAAACAAATCAATCAATCAAACAGCTGCAGCTGATCCAGAACGCTGCTGCTCGCGTTCTCACTAGAACCAGGAAGATAAAAACACCAGTTTTAAAGGCCCTCCACTGGCTCCCTGTAGCTCAAAGAATAGATTTTAAAATACTGTTGTTAGTTTACAAATCCCTGAACGGTTTAGCACCACAATACATCAAAGATCTACTGTTGTTGTTTCAACCTTCCAGACCTCTTAGGTCTTCTGGTTCTGGTCTTGCATCCCCAGAACCAGAACCAAGAGAGGAGAAGCAGCTTTCAGCATCTATGCACCAAAAATGTGGAACAAACTTCCAGAAAACTGTAAAACAGCAGAAACCCTGACTTCCTTTAAATCTCCATTAAAAACACACCTGTTTAGAATTGTATTTGAAGCATAATATGTAACAATGTATTGTCTATTATATGTTGCATGACTTTGTGCTTTTGTGTTTATGATGTAAAGCACTTTGAAATACATTGCTGCTGAAATGTGCTATACAAATAAAATTTGATTTGATTTGATTTGCTTGTCAACAAATAAGAAATTTCCCTCGGGGTCCATAAAGTCTATTTTGTTATATAATCCTAATCATTTGCGAAATGGACCACTTCAAGGGACTTTCCCATTTTCTGTTTTGTTTCAGCTGTAAATCACATTCGCTTCATCTGATGATTCACCACCACCTGATTCCTCCTCCTCCTCCTCCTCCTCCCATCACCAGGTGAGCGGTGAAGCCCGGCTGCTCCTCCACCTCACCTGTTGGCAGGTATTCGGGGATCACCGTGGAACGGCGTGACGACGAAGCCGATTTCAGCTGACTCATGTTTGGAGAACAGAAACCGAAACTTGGAAAACAGACAAGAGAGGGAAAACGAATCTTAAGTGCAGTGGGAGGGAACCGACCCGGTCTGTATATAAACACAGCTGATCCACATCAGAGCACAAAACGCTGAGGATCAACGATTATCGGATATTTGAAGCTAGAAGGACATTTTTATTATTATTAGTACTAGAAACCCATCGCAAGGTAAGTCGCTCTTCTAACACGTTTCATGATCTCAACCTCTGAATATTGCCATCTAGTAAAAGTGATGAAAACTTTTGAAACTATTTTTCAGTCATGGATATTCACATCACGATGTTGGACGGGTCGTCCCGCACGCTCAAAGTGAACCCGCACGACACAGTGGGCTCTCTGAAGACGCGCATCCAGCAGCAGCTCGGGGTTCCCGCCGAGAGGCAGAAGCTGATCTTCAAGAACGGGGCCAGCACACCTCTGAACGACGACTCCAGGACCCTGAGCTCCTACAACATGGAGCCGGGCTCCCAGGTGTCTCTGCTCATCACCCAGCCGGAAACCTTTCAGGTGTTCCTGAGGAACGAGAGGGGGACGACCAGCACCTATGACGTCACACCCAACGAGACGGTGGAGGGCTTCAGGAGGAGAGTGGAGAAAAGAGAGGGGGTCCCTGCGGGCAGCAGAGGCTGATCCATGAGGCCACGAGATGCAGACAGGAAAACTGTCTGACTACAACGTGAGGAAGAACAGCACCATCGACTGACTCTGCGTCTGAGAGGAGGCTGAGGACGCTGGCAACGTCAACAACACATTCCATATATTTTTTTTTTTTTTTTTTTGTATTTAAACTGCTGTACTTTTAATGTATAATGTAACATTAATAATAATAATAAAAGTCATGATAAATGGCATGTCTCTTTTGTATTTTATTTTTCTATTTGTTTAGATCAGTAGGTAAAGCTCATTAAAGGTAACAAAAAAAAACCCTCATTATATCAGCTTATGTAAAAAAAAAAAAGTCAGAATTTTAAACTTTCAAGATTTCTTTTATACAGGTCCCTGCAAAACAAAGCGTAAAAAATACTCTTATTCTTTTAATTCTAGCGTTTTAAAGTGGTATCGCAGTGATCAGCAGTGCAAAATTCATGTGAAGAATCTTCAGCCATCTAAGGAAGTTGGTTGCATCTTGTTAGTCGTCGAAGAAGCATCATTTCCTCACAGTGGCGAGGTAGGCGTACCAGAACAAGGCAATCATGTTGGCAAAGAGCACTCGAAACTGAAACATAACGAAAACATCACAGAGGAGGTCAGAGTGAGGCTCCTCCTAACTCTTCACAGGACAGGATGTGAGTGGTGGAGCGGATACCTGAACAGGCACAAAGTTTATGTTGATAAATGTGAAAGGAGTCCAGACTTTCCAGTTCATCTTCAGAGCAGTCCAGTAACTTTTTCTCATCTTCTTCTGGAAATCGTCCCAGCCTTTAGCCTGAGCAAAACGTTAAGTACTTATTTTCTGTCAAGAACATTTCATGTGCAATTAATGCACTTATATACTTTTATTACACATCAGAATATGTTTATCAGATTTAAAAGTGATACTTAAGCTTTTAAATTGATTATATGTAGAAACTGGAGTATAGAATTTGACAGAAAGAGTCTGGCATCAGGAAATAAATGAAAATCAGTCATTTTTGGTTCATTTATGATGATCTTTAACAAATACTTGAATGATTTGTAAACCTTCTTCAACTGTTTGCTTATTTAAAGAGCCATGAATAAAACATTCACAGCACTTAGTTTCTCCTGGATTTATTTGGGGGGGATTAGAGTAAAGAGGGCTCGATTACAAAACCACACCACATTTTTAATTATATTTTGGATTTCAATATTCTAACCATAATGTAAATTAGAACTGGCCCAGACACAGGAATCAGACAATTTTCTTTTGTCTCTGACTTGCAAAACAAAACCAGCAATTTGTTTTCAGCTGGAGGAAATCGCTGAAAACAAATTGCTGAAAACGTACCTATATTTTACTGAAAGCGGCGCATTACTATGCCTGATAGACACTTTTGAGAAGATCACAAAGAAATCACCTCCAGGACGTTCATAACAAGGTAGAAAAGGAGCAGGAAGCCAGGAGCAAAGATGAGTCGGTCCAGCAGTAATCGTTTGACGATGCAGAGCGGGTCAGTGGTTGGCATCCACACCTCCATCAGCTGGTAAAAGGTATGGCTCACTGGCCCAGTGATAATCAACCTACAAGAGGAAAAAGGCAACAGCCCAGTAACAAACACAAAACGCCATGAATCTGGTAGGAGTTAGCCGATTTATATGCACAACGCCTTTGGTGGAAGGACGTGTCAACAGTGCAATTATCAGCAATGAAGGAAATTTGGCTTTCATGGCAGGGTGACGAGGGGTTTCCCCAATTTCCTGTAACATACAGCTTCAATGGCATGGTTTGGATTGCAACATTCTGAATAACACCATGCATCGCATCCCATATATGTCGGTCAATTCCATAAAATCCACAACAACAATAACAAAAAAAGAAAGCATTTAAAATTGTGCTTGTAGTGTCATTTTGTAAAAGAAGGTGAATGGGTATATCATTGCAGTGTGCTGCACTCTCATATTCTGCAAAGTCTCACCCAAAGATGGCATATCGTGTGGCTCCAGCAACATCGATCTCATCGACTGGACCTCCACTCTTGGCCTTTTTTCTGCCTTCTAAGTACTGTGACAGGAGATTTCCTAAAGCGGACAGGATCCCACTGGAACAATGAAGGACAGACGGACAGATCACACTCTCCTGTCAATGTGCAACAAGCAGTTTCACAAGCTTTAAAAACAAACAAACAAAACACTGTGTAACTTCTGAGTAGGAGGTTTTCAAGGCAGATGGTGATTGGTTGATACCACAGTGAGCTCAGTGCAAACAAAGTGGTCAGGAACTAAAACAAGCAGCAGTCATAAATCATCTGACTGATAAACCTACATAATGAAATGAAACGACCAGCATTCCCTCTGTGAGTCAGTGAACATTTACCGATGCACGTTTAAACAGCTGGAAACAAAGTCAGCTGTGAGTTCAGGAGCGCAGAGACCGACCTGGTTACAGATTTGGTGAGGATCGGGTATTTTTTCAGGAGGATCAAATACTGCTGGAGCAGACGGAGATGGACGGGCCCGTCCCGGACCGGCAGGCTCTGCGCGGGCATCGTTACTCCTGACGGTATCCAGACATTACAACCTCTGCAGCACGGCCCCACAAAGCGCGGTTCCTGTCCACGTCTTTGCGTCACACGAAGATCCGCCCCTCGACGTAGACGTCAACCCGGAAGTGACGTTGACTGACTAGGTTTTTTTTGTTTTTAATGTGGGATACAGAAATTATAGTACGTTAATTATAATAATTACACTTTTAACAAAGACAAATATATTTTATGTAAAAAAAAAATCTATTTCTACACAAGTAGGGATTTATTTTGTAGATTTTTTTGTGCCTGTTTCCATCAAGCTTATAGAGGGCTATACTGCTCAATAACACACAGGCCAGAAAAAAAAAAAAAAACTATTTTAGCAGCTCTTGGAAGAAAAATATCTTACCTTACAAGCTTTAAATCAAATTTAATGCTGTTTTGGAGGAAACATTTGAATGACTATGCATACATCCACTGTGCAAGACTGGAGGGGAATCCAAGACATGACGCTTCTCTGCAACTCTCAACTCCTTCTAGGGGATCCCCAAGCATGCAGGCCACAATGTTAGATATACGTTAGCCATGAACGTCTTATTATTTTCGTTAAAAGTCTCACCCCAAATGTTTTTAATATTATTTTTATGTTTTGAAGCAAAATTAAGAATAATTTCACTAACCTTGAGTTTAAGTCTTCCCTAATTTAGCACTGAATATCAAATATAGATCATTAATGGTGCCAAACATAGATTTATCATTCGTTTGAAATTCACCCGAAACATTGCACTATGTAGAAAACCCTTTAATGTACCAAACATTACATAAAAAAACGTATAAAAGGAAACAAGGTGCAAACTAAAAGGGCAGAAAAAGAAAAATATTTACAAAGGTTAAACCACAAGAAGAACAATCCAGTGAAAACAGAACAATCTGCTGGTATTGTTTTATCAAAACATGAATAACTGCTCGAAGAAGAAGTAAAAAGCTTATAGGTGGGTTTGGTCTGTAGTTTACATGGGCTTCAGAAAAGCCAACATAGAAGTTAAAGAGCCTTCCAGTTTATGGGAGACTTTCCACATTTCTCTAGCAACTCGTTGGCCTTGGAGAAATGCCTGCAACCGAAAAATCCTCGATGAGCAGACAGGGGGGAAGGATGTACAGTCTGCAGGACATGGTGGCGTTTCTGTAACAGAAAGGAGTGCATCCTCATCATAAATATTCAGCACAAGCAAGCTTTGGCGAGTGTTAAAATGCACGAATTAGCAGACTCACTCGGTCAATTGCAGCCCCTTTTTTCTGTGCGTACGATCCCCACAGCATGAAGACGACGCCCTCTTGATTGCTGCTGAGGCGTTGAATCACGGCGTCAGTGAAGGTCTCCCAGCCTCTGTCTTTGTGGGAGTTAGCTTGGTGCGCCCTGACAGTCAGCACGGCGTTGAGCAGCAGCACACCTAGTGAGAAGGTAAAAGACGGGAAAGTTGAAGGGAAAAAAAAAAAGTGTCTCGCATGTTTTTGTTTAATCATTTTACAGAATGTGAATCAATAGAAGAACCTTGGCTGGCCCATCCAGTCAGGTCGCCGTGGCCCGGATGCTGAAAGCCGTCTATGTCTGCAGCCAGCTCTTTGTACATGTTCTCCAGACTGCAAATAAAAAGCAAATGTTAAAAATGGAAGGCAAACTATTTTGATTAGAGTGTTCATACAACCGCAGGGCTGTCCTCTAAAGTGAAGATACGTTTGCAAAGCATAATTCTAATGTTTGTGAACTTTAGTAGCTTCAGCCAACTAAATAACCCACAGAGCAGGGTTTTCTTTTTCTAAATATCTGAATGAGAGTTTAATTCAAAAACTAAAATACTGATGGGTAGAATATCAAAATCCAGGCGTGATTGTATGGCATTTAATAAGAATCATTAGATTTTTCTCCATTTCAAAAGGAATAAAGTCAAAATGCAGAACATTTTTACCATATTTATGTAGATCTGGAAAAAGACGACAAAGTCCTCACTTTTCAAGAATCATTTCAGCCCCATACATCTCTTATCCAACTTGTGGCAACAACACACTCTAATAAAAAAAAACTGTGTCATCATTACTTTCAATTAATGGAACCTGAAGTTTCATGAAGAGGTGGAGGGATGAAAATCTTATAATTATTGTTTGAGGTCATTATTTTGTTGACACAGTCTTCCCTTAAATCTTGAAATATCTATGTGGAAAGACAGTCAGGACAGCTGAACTGTGAACACTCCATAATCACAAATTATAAACAACAACAAAACAGACTTCAAACCTCGGAGGAGGAGGAACTGGTCTTTTCACACTGAAGCAAAGTCCGTGCGCTTGGCCTGGACCATGATACGGATCTTGACCAAGAATGACCACTTTAACCTAAAATCGAAGACAAAGACTTTACTACATTTAACAACTCTCTCCAGGCAAAACATGTTTTTTATTTTTTAATAGGTTTTTGCCTTTTTGATTCCAATAAAAAGGAAAATTGATCGTTGGCAGCATGTTGCCTTGCAAGCAGGAAGGTCTTGGGTTTGAAACCCAGCCAGGAGTATTTCTGCATGGTACTCTAGCTAAAAAGTGGTTCTAGTACTTTACAAATAAACAGGTGCTTTGAGTTGGATTTTGAAAGAAACAATAAAATTTGAAATGTATATAAAAAAATACTGTTTCTTTATAAAAAGATGCATTACTTCAATTTTAATAATGTGATGGTAAACTGATTTGAATTGTGGCTGTTTGAGGTACAAAAAAGTCTGTAATACAATTTATTATCGTTACTTTTATATAGAACGTAGTAGTTGCTTTTTTCTCACTGTATTACATCCCTTTGATCAAGATTTTAATTTAATCAGATTTTTGATAACCTATGCTACAGGACACTTTCCCTGGTTGGTAGAAGTTATTTATTAGCAACAAAATACTAAAAGAACTAACAGGATTGAGTTGATGTAATTTAGTACAATAATTGTTCAACTCAAATCATTAATAAAGTCAATTTTGACACAGATTGAATCATCATTTTGTTTTACATCTGTGCCACACTTACATCTGTGACGTCGCACACCTTGCTCCAGGTGAACACTTGTTCAGCAGGTGGGTAAACCGTGTGGCGTTTCCTCTCTTCAGAAACAAACTGCATCAGCTGTGGTGGCAAAAGTGTAAAAAAATAAAAATAAAAAAATATGAAGACGCCTGATAGTAAACAGCGTGTGTGGGAAAAGCTCCTCTTCTCACCTGTTTGAAGTAGGGCTTTCCAAACTCAGCAGCCAGCTCCCTCCTCCAGCTTTCCCCGAACCCTGCAGGAGTCTGCGCGGAAGCCAGCCTCTCCAGCGCCGCCCTCTTGTTGCGAGCCATCCTGTCCAGCTGCTCCGGGGACAGAGGACCGGGAGGCGGGCTTTGCTGCTCAAGCAGCGCCGAGGCGCATTTCTGCTTCTTCTGCAGGATTTTGGTATATTGAGCAAAGCACAAACCCGGTGAGAAACGCGTTGCCCGGAGAGAGAGCTGCTTTGAAAACAGTCGACGAAGCGGCGCTGGCAGCGTCATGCCAGCAAACTCGTTTGGCAGCTTTCGACAACAGAGACGCTCCTGAACGCAGCTTTGCAGGAAGCTGCTCTCGACGCGGGAGAACACAACGATACGAAACGCCACAAAGCGGCACTGCTCCGCGTTTTTGAATTACAATGTACTTGGCTTCACAGGCCGTTTCTGTGGACGATTTGCCACCTGTCGGTAAAAGCAGCGACACTCACCGGTCCGCCAGGGTCCCGGTCGGGTTCGTTTGCCTCGTCGGAAACTCTCTTCTTCGACACCGGCGAAAAAAACGAATTGATGGTTTTCTGTCCAATCATTCTTGTCGCGAACACTTTGGCGGTGAGCTGCGGAAAGAAATAACAGATGCTTAATTGTTCAAAGAGCACCAGGTAAAACTGATGTTGTCAGCGCGACAGTTCATAAAGAATTGGCGCCTAAACAAAATGACGAAAGCGCTTATTATAATGAGCCGAGGGGCGTTCAAGGACCCTAAACAACTTCACGTTTAAGAAAATGCTTTGGCTACTACTGCGTTTTTATTCATCATAATAACTGGTACGCTTTTAAGCATTTATTTCAATGAATTGTGACTCATCATGAGTAATAAAGACCGACAAAGATTTGTCGACAGACAGAAGGTCATTGTTTTAGTTGGTGGTTCACCTCCATGTTTGTCTAAGTTCTTATTAACAGAAAGCCAAACATTTGCTGACATGAAGTGTGTGAAATTAATCTGTGCCATTTTTTTACCCTTCATACAAAATAGTTTCATAGAGTTTGTTGCTTTCCTTGGTCTATATTTTAATATTTTCCTGCAAAAATAAATATTGTATGACTGGCTGACCACATATAAAATGTGAAAGGTAGAAATGAGGGATTACTTAAAATATTAAGCTTTTCTACTCAACATCAACATGCATATAATATGCATTTTCAGTGAAATAAACTTTTTAGTTTAAATTGTTTTTATTTTCTCCTTGGTTCACACAGGAAAACGTTCCCCATCGGTGTGTCGTCGCCTCGGGCCACAGAGATGGACAAGTTTCTGCTTGGGGGACAGGATGAACATCTGTGCAACAACGATGTCCCACGAAGAAGTCCCAGGAAAAAGAAGACAAAGATGGAGGAACACGAGTGCATAGAGAAGGAGGAGGAAAAGGACCCGTGTTTTGAAGAGTTCTCTCATCCTATTCCTTGGCAAAAAGTAGAAGCAGAGGGACTGGACTGTGATTACGCGTTGCTCTTCTTGAAAGAAGAGGCAGATAACCTTTTCAGGCAGCTGGAGGAAGAGGTGGTGTACTCAACAGGTGGTTATTTTTTGTAAACATGTGGCATGAATCTGCAGTTTAACAGCGTGACAGCTGGTTGGTTTGTTTTCTTATAGGAGAGGAAGCAAAGGTCCAAGTGTTTGGAAAGGTGTACAGCATCCCCAGGAAACAGGCGACCTATGGGAACGCAGGCCTCACCTACACTTACTCCGGAGTGAGGCGTCTGGCTTCTACCTGGACTCCGACCTTGGAGTACATCCGAAACGCGGTCACAGACGCAACCGGACAGAAGTTCAACTTCGTCTTGATCAACAGGTGACAAACTTCCCAACACCTAATCCAGAAGTTCAGAGTTGGACATAGCTGAAGCCTCGGTGTCTCCACCAGGTACAAAGATGGACAAGACCACATGGGGGAGCATCGGGACGACGAGAAGGAGCTGGACCCTTCCTGTCCCATCGCTTCCGTCTCTCTGGGAGCAGCTCGAGACTTTGTCTTCAGACACAGAGACGCTCGAGGGAAACGGAGCAGCCGGCAGATGGATCCCGTGAAGCTGGAGCTGGCTCATGGAAGCCTGCTCCTCATGAACCCCCCCACCAATACCTTCTGGTACCACAGCCTTCCGGTTCGGAGGAAGGTCCTCTCACCTCGCATTAATCTGACCTTTAGACGCATCTTGGAGGACATCACTAAACAGTCACAGAGGATCATTAACAGCAAAAACCCAGATTAAAGATTGCATTTTTAACAAATACCTCTCAGGTCAAAGTTTTTCTGAAGAAATATTAAATAAAAGTTTTAATATACTGTCTAAACATTTTCAATAAATCTGTTTCTATAAAGAAACAGATGTTTTTTTCTTTTCAATTTGTTTTAAATAAAGATTTTAGCAGGAAGAAATCTTCCACATGTTTATGCTTGTGGAGGCATCACAAAAGGCAAATTTGAGGGTTTTTTTTTTTTAGCTTGAGTCGTGTCTGCCTTGTTATATCAGACAAAATTTACAGAAAGCTTACTTTTTTTTCTGTGCACTCTAGAAATTAATTGGGGGAATCTGTACTTTTCTGCCCAGTTGTGGTTTTAGTGTCATGATACATTTGTCAGTGAAGAAAATGCATGTATACACAACTTAAAAGTGAGTTTTGTCACTCTTATTAGTTCCCATCTTAAAAATATCTAATTTGAGATGTAGTTTCCTAAATCTCTTCTGAAAGTCCTGTTTCTGAATCTTCCATGACATGGCAGACTTTTCTTTTTTTGTCAAAGGCAATTTAACATGGTTAAAACTCTTGATTTTGGTGCGTTTACAACAATCTCACTTAAAACACAAAAGTAAACTTTATTATTTTTTAAATTTGAAAACAGTCACTTTCAAAGACATGAAAATACATCAGTGCAAACATCCGGACAGACACTGTCGCATTTAGATTTTCTCGGTTTGGTCAGAAACTGCAGTTATTTTCTGCCGAGAATTTAAAAGTCATTCAGAATAAATTACCCGGAAGCATCTGCACATAATCAAGTCTTGTTAACGAAGCTGACTAGAAATCAGTAGGACCCTGGACACCATGAACAGCGGCTTGGATGCATCGTAATTTTGGGTAAGATAGGACAGCCCTACTAGTTGCTGCACAAGTGGTTTCATATGATAGAAATGTTGAACATTAAAAACAACATGGCACTTTATCTTCCACCGTGCAGGTGCACAAATTACAGCATGAACAAGATTTAAAATGGCAGAGTAGTAGTAGCTGAAATGATCAGTGTAAGAGTTTACAGCTGCTGATGGGAATGTAAATTAAACAACAAGGCTGCAGCTGGAACTATTTCACTGACAGTTTTTAATGTGGAACAACTTTATTTCACTTTTTAAAGTGTCATTTTAAATTGCAGGAATACCTAACAATATATTTAATTTATATTTACACCACTGCATGATTACAAAGTCAAAAATATTCTTAAAAACTCCTCATTTACAGTGTCATCACAGGGCACTGTCAAGTTTACCTGCTGTCTGTTACAGGAAACTGTTCAAAGTTTTAAAGACAAGTAGCTTATATGACAATGATATTTGAGAGAAATCCTGCAGGTCCATTATCTTTGGGATTACCAGCCTCTGTTTCGGTTTCCATTGCGACAAGACGCCGTGACGCTCGGTGCAAAGCTACCGTCACGACGCCACCTGGTGGTAATCATGGCGAGAGGTCGATCAGGCGACTACGCGATCGCTCGTCGACCGTCGCACTCTCTCGTAGAAGAGCATGTACGCGTTGGAAGACAGCACCTCCTGCAGGCTGGCTTTCCGCACAGAGTCGTCAGACACCCAGAGCCACTGACAGCTGAAGGGGGAGGCGCTGCAGGGCGAGGGAGGGCTGCGGCGGTAGGTGACAAAATGTCCTGAGTGCATGTCACCGTGGTGAACCAACACCGCTGTTAGTTGGAATAAATACTCTGCGGACCTGGAAGGAAACGCAGAGATCCGGGCATTAGCTCAGTGAAACCACCTACATGTCCGACCTGTGCATCCTTACATGGCTCAGGTGTGATGAGGTTTTTGCTGCTGAGTTTGCATTATAAGCACAAAAACTAATACACTTAAGTTATAAAAACTGTCCTGCTTTCTAAAAGCTAAACAGTTATATTAATTTGATCCATTTGCCAGTTTAAGCTTTTGATGTTTTCATCTTTTCATGCTCAGATTTCCTTTGAGAACAAAAAAAAAAGTCTCCCATGGGACATTTTACACCAACCACAGATTTGGACTAATCATAATTTTAAATGATTTTCTCCAACATGCTGTCAATCATATTTTAATGAGTGAGTGAAATAACTATTATCTTCCAGCAGGAGGCTGCTCAGATTTATTTTAGTTCAGTTCTGTCAAATGGCCCAAACAGGCATCAGAACCACCAATCTAATCATTTCTATTATATTGTGTGTGTTGACTGGCCTGTTTTAAGCCTCTGTAAAACACTTGTTGCTACACTTTTATCTACCAATAAAGACGATTTCACATTTAAAGGCGCCACTCTTAGATAGGTGGCCATGTCATAAGCCGTTGATGATAAAGGGCTGCTGCAGAGTTTACCTGAAGTCATACGTGAGACCGAGCTGTGGGTTCAAACCAGGAGAGAGAAGAAACACAGAAGAACAGGTTCCATTAGAGAAAGGCTTGTTGTTGTTGTTATGATGTTCTGCACCTGGAACAAAGAAGGGGAAAGAAAATTGAAGTAAGGAAAAAGAAAAGAGAAAACAATGCTGTTAAAAATAAAACACCTATTAATCCAACACACCTGTCCCATTAGCTTGTAGCCTTTCTGTGGAATCCTCCACACTTTCCGTCGTTATGGCTTTAGGAGTCGATGTGAACCGATGACTCCTCTGTGTGGAGCTGTTGTGTTTGTAGCGATCCATTGAGAGATACTCTGTGAACTGGACGTGCTCCTGTCTCTTGATGGGCGTTCCTTCACTGGACCACGTCAGTCTTTGTAGGTGGATGCAGAGGCACTGAGGGAGCTTAAAATACATCAAATAAGGGTTGCATTCCTTTCCCCTCAATGAATAAAAATATGAAACACACATTCATTGTGCACTAGTAACTAAAATCCCAAATGGTGTAGGAAGAAAACTTAGATAAATACCTTTCCAAGTTTAAGCTGTTTAACAAAAGTTGTCTTCTGGCTTTCGAAAACTTGCCCATTTCTTGTCGAGCTTTGTTGAAGCTGAAGGACAACATAAAGACAATAAAGATCAAATCCCACCATGTCTGTTCATAAACAATGGAATTATTTTGCAGATACCAAAGTACCTTTGTGCAGTTTTCACACTCCACCTCTTTGATTGTCTCTGACGAAATGAAATGCTGCAGACACTGATCTAGAGAGAGAGGCCGACCCTGAGGAAAGATGTTTGAAGTGAATAGACAATGATGCACTAACCAATCATGTAAAGTGCTACATTAATAATCCTGTCATTTTAGCTTACCCACTGAGGAAGAGGGATGGACAAAGAGAGGCTCTCAAATGAGTCGTACCTTACTGGACTCTATTAATGAACAAAGTTGAGTTGTTATTCACAAATTAATCAAAACTGGCATGTTACTTAGTTCTATGTCTCATAAAGAAACACACTTGAATTTCACAGTGCTTGCACGACATATTGCTTGTTAGACGGCCATGAAAAGGATGCTGGAACTTCCAGAGACCCGGTATCGGATGAAGAGGAGCTGCAGAGAAAATGAACTAAATATAACACGCTCATTGCTGGTATTCTTACTCATTTGGTCTCTTGATTTTTATTTCTCTTCATACCTCGACTAATGCAAGCCACAGTTTTGTCCTCTTCATCAGGAAGAGACTAGAAACAAAGCAAACACAAAGTAGGAGAACATTTAACTAAAAAAAAAAAAAAAAAAAAAAAAAAAAACCCAGAAAGATTTGGGATTCCCAGTGGACGTGGAGACAACTTACCTCCAGGGACTGCATGTCAAACAAATGTGTGACTTTAGGTTGTCGATTTCGCTCCTCCTCTAGAGAAGACGTGAGGACGTGAAAAAGTTCGTGTGCATCCTTAAAAGGGAAGAAATCTGACTTTAAGATGTTGCATGATAAGCTGAAGCTCCATTCAGAAGTTTACACTTGCATCTCATCAGCAAGTTTGGGCTTTTAAATATGCATTTAATCACTTATTTTAAAAAATGCAAACGCACCACAGGTTTGTTTTGTGGCTTTTAGCAAGCTTCTGGCACAATTCTGCTTGAATATCTGTGAACTTTTTAAAATTAGAATAAACAGAATGCCTTTAAGTCATTCTTTTAAGTAAGCCAGAACTTTAACTACAGCTGCTATAAGGACTTTATTCAGAAGGCTTAATCAAAGCCTTTGTTCATGTGTGTTTTAGATCATCTTGCTGCCAATAGTGCTGGCGAGTATAAAAGAGTATATAATGTAAGGAAGAAGGACAACAATTTCCAAGTTCTTCAATTTGACCTCAGGTCATGAAGGTGAAAACTTGAACTCATTGATGTATGTTTCAACTGGGCATTTACCCAAACACACATGAGATCTGGATTTAGAATGGGTGATTCAGGGAAACCAAGTTTAAAGAATGATCATCCTGAAGCACTGATCTACGTCCATCTGAAAATTTTTCAACTGTCCATAAATGTCAGGTCAGTGGCAAGACAGGAACAGATTTAAAATGCAAATATCCATCCATAGTTATTAAAGAGACTTGTTGATGTTTCAAAAGTGAATGGTCAGGTGCAACTTGTTGTTTAATCATTCCACCCAGAAAGAAAAGTTATGAACAGGACATTCATGCTGATGTTCAGTTTATATTAGGTTCTGATCACAAATGATTGAAAAAGCAGTCCAACCTGCTCTTCAAATGAGCTGATGTGCCAGCGATACAGTCTGAGAACATCCAGGAGGCATCCAGCATCTAAAACCTCCTCGTCTCCAGGATCCGCGCTGGACAGAGCTGTCAGACCACAAACCGTGAGGGAGAGGCGGGGGAACTAACATTGATAGGTTCTTTATGCTCTACTTATTTCATGCGACAGCCCTTGCATACCTACCTTTGAGTAGTTGCAGCAGCGTGGAGGACAGCTGGTTGTCTTTGCATGACTGGATCGAGGGCAGGCCTGAAAACCTCTCCAGCCATTTGACGAAAGACGGACATGCTGCCAAACCCTGAAGCAAGGAGTTCAAGAAGCAGGTGTTGCCCAAGTTCAGCAGACCTGGGACCATTCCTGTGGAGAAACGCAAACCACAGCCAGACATGTTGAGCTCTACCTGCACGCTCTGTTTCTATAACTGCAGGGATAGTAGGCATTATTTTTTCTTAAAACTTTGAGATTAGTTCTAACTTGTGCTCTCGTAACATACGTGACATTGTTACTAAGTAGTTCTAACGATTAAATCAGTGAGGGAGGTTGCTTATATGGGGGAGAAGCCAGCCAACTTTCCAAAGCCAATCTAATCTCCCAATCAACTGACAAAGAAGCTGCTGATGTAACACAGCAGCAAATGAGAGGAAAAGAGCATTGCTACTTGCAAGCAATACCAATAAATTAGATGAAACTGAGGGAATATTGATCCCGTATCTGCATTTACCAAACTCTACAAACCTGCATTTCAAACGATGCGGTTACTTGTTTAGCTCTGCGTACACACAATCACCATAACACCTCATTTGTTATAGTTATATAAAGTTGACAGTAGCTATTCTCAATATTATGTTCAATGGTTAATGGTCTGTATTTATGTAGTGCTGTACCAAGTCCAGAGGATTCCAAAGCGCTTCATACTAGTCATCACTCTTTCACTCATTCACACACACATTCATGCTCTGATAGTTCATTACAGAACTCTAAAATCTGTCCTGGAGTATAAAACAGGTTCAGTTTAAATCCTGTCAGTACTCACCTCTCTTCCTCTTCTTCCTGTCGGTGATCGGGCCCCACAGGACATATACTCCAGCTGCAATAGCAGCCGCGATCCCTCCGACTAGACCCCAGTTTTTTATCATCTTGTTCCTGAAAAATAAAGACAACGGAAAATGGACACACATGTAGGGAGATAGCTGACAGGCACTGAAAGTCCATTCAGCTGGGTAAATACACTACTGCCACACAGAGAGTAATAGCAAATAGAATTTGTCAACCAGAATGTTTTTTGTGAATGTGCTGTTAAAAAAATTGCATTGCAAAGATGACTGTGACTCTGCTAACAATTCTAAAAAGATTTGGACGCCTCACAAAAGTCAGTGTTTGTAAGTCTGGAGAGGGATTTAAAAAGATCTCAGAAGAATTTGAAATCAGCCATTCGACTAAATGGAAAGCAGTTTACAAGAAGCACATTCTAAACACTTGCCAACATGCTCAGGTCTGGCTACGAAACTAAAGACATTCTTATGTGAATAAGCTGCGAGAAAAATTGCAAAGGAGATGGAGATTTTACTCTGTATAGCACCTTCCTCACTTATTGCTGTGCACTGCTGTTGAGCTGCCTGAAAGATGTCTCCTGGACTTTGCCAGAAAGACTAACTGGAGTTTAGAACAATGTTCAGTAATCAGACATTTTAGGTAAGGAAACTAAAAGGCCATCATCCATCTTTACAATTCTGAAACTATACAAGTTTGCTTGGAAATCCCTGTAAATTTGAGCCGGTGTTTCTTTATATTAATACCACTATTATTATATCATTCCACATTTATTTTGTCACCTGAACTACTTTTTCAGTATCAGTCTTTATTGGGAATACAGATTCTATTATTACATTGTTTTGACAAATCACTATTCTATAACTAAAAAAAATGAACAATGCATTTGAGGCTCTCTGTAAGTCATTTCATTCACACATATCAGGTTGAGTTAAATGACCAACTGACCAAAAATAAAAGAATGAAAATCCTTTTTCAAATCCCACATCGCCATAAAGAAAATGAATTGCGTGAACAATGATCCATTCAAGAGCACTATGTGAGTGTTGGACTTAATTTGAATCAAGGTTTACATCGTTGCTAATGACATCAGATAATCACGACTTTAACACGAGTTGATCTCGTCAACTTCAGGGTCTGTCATGTGTGAAATGAGCTAGGTTTAGCCTCCAGGCTAACTTACCAACAACACCGAGGCCAGGCTCCGCTCCGAACACTTTAGTAACTTCGCAAATGCAGAACATTCAGATAATATCCCCAAAACACAAGTAAACACGCTAAAGTGTCACTAACCGCTCTCGGGCGAGAGGTTTAGGAGCACAACTCAGACTGCGTGCTTTGCTCTCCTGGCCATAGGCGGCCCAGACGGCCTGCTAACCTACACTTACAGCTGCCCTGCTGAGAGCTGACCCTGATCACTAACTTGTTGTTTACCACATGGAGATCTTACCTGATCGTGGGCCCTGTGCCAAGAAACTCCCCCACAAGCTTATCCGAGCTTTCTGGTCTGCACCACAACATTCTGTTGTCCACGTGGAACCACCGTCCTGAGCAGCATGTTTCCACACGAACTTGTTCAAGAGCGCAACCAAACAAACAAACACAAAGGCTTGTATTTCAGCCGTTGCTTTGGTTCTTTAAATTAATGTCACATAAAAAAATAAATAGAAATAAGTCTTATTTATTTTTTACAGTATATCGCCAATGACACTGGAATATCGGTTTAATTTATTATATTATAGTGAATTATAATATACTACACTGATATATATAGATAGATAGATAGATAGATAGATAGATAGATAGATAGATAGATAGATAGATAGATAGATAGATAGATAGATAGATAGATAGATAGATAGATAGATAGATAGATAGATAGATAGATAGATAGATAGATATAGATAGATAGTAGATAGATAGATAGATAGATAGATGATAGATAGATAGATAGATAGATAGATAGATAGATAGATAGATAGATAGATAGATAGATAGATAGATAGATAGATAGATAGATAGATAGATAGATAGATAGATAGATAGATAGATAGATAGATAGATAGATAGATAGATAGATAGATAGATAGATAGATAGATAGATAGATAGATAGATAGATAGATAGATATAGATAGATAGATAGATAGATAGATAGATAGATAGATAGATAGATAGATAGATAGATAGATAGATATAGATAGATAGATAGATAGATAGATATAGATAGATAGATAGATAGATAGATAGATAGATAGATAGATAGATAGATAGATAGATAGATAGATAGATAGATAGATAGATAGATAGATAGATAGATAGATAGATAGATAGATAGATAGATAGATAGATAGATAGATAGATAGATAGATAGATAGATAGATAGATAGATAGATAGATAGATAGATAGATAGATAGATAGATAGATAGAGATAGATAGATAGATAGATAGATAGATAGATAGATAGATAGATAGATAGATAGATAGATAGATAGATAGATAGATAGATAGATAGATAGATAGATAGATCTCATGAGCCAAACTCCGCAACAGTGACCTGACAATGGCGCCACCTGTTGGAAACTTCTCTGTGGCCCCTGAGAGCTTTTACTCTGACGCCATGTTTTCTGATTTCAACCATATTTACTCGCATATTGAGTAAATATGCGAGTAAATCAAATCAAGTGCAGCCAACTTCAGTTACAACGATTAAAGTTAAAGTTAAAGTCAAAGGACATTTATTAACGCTATTCTTAAGAGAAAGCAACAAAAATGTCATCAACCATGGGGCTTTCTGGAAGTGTCACACTGTTCAGTGCAGAGAGCACACCATAGCTCTTCTTGTCCCACTCCCTCTCATTTCATCTGACGTCACTCCTCACAGTTTCATTTACTGTCACTTTTTTCTCTGTCTTCTCTTTTCATGTAGATGCCTCCTATCTTTAAACTCCATTAATACATTTTTAAAATCTTATACTGAGGTGCTTAACTGTAGTTTCGCAAACGCTTCAGAACATCAATGCTTGCTTTGTGTTTGCAAATGCCTTTCAAAATCTTTGCAAAGAATAAAATGCTCATAAAATGTGCATGAAATATTAAGATTTCACACCCACAAAGATATGGCAATCAACCTCATCTGACAAGTTGAAGAAGAGGAATACAAATCGTAAGAGCAGCCAAGAGATGCCTGACTGAAGAAAGAAAGGGCTAATTAAAGACGACTGGGCAATACTTGGAGCCTGCAGATGTGAAAAGCTGGTGGATGCATATCCAAAAACCACCTTCACCTGTGAAAGATGGTTTTCCAAAGTTTGGACACAGGAGTGGAGATGCCCTGGACTGAATGAAAATTCACCCATAATCGATCAAACAACGATTTAAACTATGTATGATTTTCCTTCTGTGTCACGACAATAAATACTTTCCATTTTGGATCTGTAATGTAACAACATGAAGAGATGTGGAGGGTGAAGAAATATTATTTGTCGATATTTCAACCAGTTTTCATCATTTAAATCTGATTGGATTCAAATTCTAACTCACTTCTGTCCGATTGTAAACGATTTAAAATCGTTTGAATGTCGATATGCCCTTTTTTATCTGGACACCTGTCTTCGTCTCCCCCTCTGTGAAGGTTGCGGAGTCTTGTGTTGACCCCCCTCTTTGATCAGGAGTCACGTGGTTTCTCCCCTGAGCTCCGCCAGCGCGGCCTCTGATTGGCTGCCGGCAGACGCCGGACCGAGTCGCTCTCCTCGGTGCTGAAATCGCCGACCGTCGCGAGAATGTAAACGGCGATGAGGCCAAACGGAGCACCATTAAAAACACACACGAAATGGACGATGACCTGTTTCAGTTGAGACAACTTCCGTGAGTAGAGCACAGTTAATATATCGATGCCGGCCTGGTTTTAAATCGCAGATTTTCGACCGTGACAGCCCGATGCGTCGCTCTCTGATTGCTTCGTGTTTGTTTCATTAGCTCACCACAAATAGCCTGGCAGTCCTCAAACACAACACTGATTCAAACACCGAGACTGCAAGAACAGTGTTAGCCTCATGAAATTAATATCAAACTGTTATTTTGCATTATTTTTTTTGTGCACACAGTTCTTAACAAGCGTGTTTGTTGTGTTCTGCAGACTGATCGACACTTGCTGTCGACTTTACAGTCATGACTCAGTGCATAACATGGTTTATGTAAACCTGTCTACGTATAAATCAGTTCAACTGAAGGCTGGTTCCTTACAGTGGCTGCATTCTTCTTCCTCAACAACTAATTATTTATGCTAGAAATATAAATGTGTTAAATATGTGGATTGTAAATATACTTATTGGCTTATTTATAATTAGTAAAGAATAGCACTGGTTTGATTTTGCCATTTTGTGTATTCTGAAGGACATCTTCATGGATCTCACACACTTAAACGCAACCCTGACGCTTCACATAGCCTGGAGGTCATGTTTTGTAATTACTGTGATTAAGACATCGCAGGTGCTCTCTATTATTTGTGAGTGCAACTAGCAATCTTTTTGAATGTGGGGGAAGATTATATGTTGCCTACCATCTGGGTTTCTAACCTCTCATAGGGATTTTCTGTAGCCGAGTTTGCACCATTTGAAAGTCCAGATATCGTTTCCACAATATTGTTTTGTTTGCAGATTTACAGCCAACAAAGGTTCACATAACAAAGTCTACTCCTCTAATTTGATTTGTGCCAACAATATCGAACATTAAATTATCTTGGTGTTTCTTTTTTACAAGAAATAATTTGTGTTTTATCGCTAGAACTTGTCATAAATCAACTCTACCTCAACTGTTGGACATTGTTTAGTACTTTCAGCACATATTCAAAGTCTTTATAGGCAAAGCTAGAAAACACGGTGTTGATATTATTTCTTTCACACATACAAAAGTGAGGAAGTAGCCTGCATCATCATTGCTGCTCCCAAATCATGGATCAAAATATAATTTCTAGACCTGCTAGAAGGTAAACAAAAAACAAAACAAAAAAAAAGATCTTCCAATCTTTTAAGTTTTGTTTAACAAAAATGTTATATTTTGTTGATCTTTGAAGTAAAGTGAGTAAGAGACATTTTATTTTCCTTGTGGTTGAAGACTTTGGCACTACAATACAAGCATCAACTACAAATGTGACTTTACCTAAAGAACTGTTCAAATGAACTGGATCTTTTCTTTGTAGTTTTATTAATAATTCATGATCTTTTATTTCACTTTGCTTTTTGTTTTTGTTTTTTTGCAGTGTTGTCCGTTTCCGTCGCACAGGTGAGAGCACACGATCTGAGGAAGATGTCGAAAGCAGAGGGCAGGAGGTCAGGCCAGCCGAGCCTGCCGATCTGGAGTCTGTGGCACTGGCAGAAGACGCTCCTGTGCCTCGAGAGTTTGCTAATCCTACCGACGGTGCGTTCTCTTAGAAATCTGCTCCTTTTCTCAAAATCCTATACTTTTCTATTCAATTAAAGTAATGATTACTCAGATTACTACCAAATTATCTTGATTATTTTCTCAGACACGTTCATGGTAGAAGATGCTGTGGAGGCCATAGGTTTTGGCACATTTCAGTGGAAACTTTCCATCCTCACTGGTTTATCCTGGGTGAGAATCGTTCAAACTCCCCGCAAGCTTGACAGAAGTTGTTCTTGCCCACTCCCACACTAATTTCCTGAGTGTGTCTTGGTTCCCTGTTTGTGCAGATGGCTGATGCCATGGAGATGATGATCCTCAGCATCTTAGCCCCACAGCTCCACTGTGAATGGAGACTACCAAGCCTTGAGGTGGCTCTGCTCACATCGGTAAGAGTTTCCCAAAGTTTGTAAAGTGATCCTGCTCATAGCGCTTAATGAATGTGCTGGCAATTGAGTTAAATGAGAATACCGGGGTTTATTCGAAAATTAACAGGAAAATTGGAAAGCATTTTTCAGGTTTCACAATAAAAGGTAAACAGAGAATCTGACAAACAACCACGACAACCACATATATCAATGGAAGTGCGAGCAGACGGCTAACATGATGCAAGTAAGGGAAGCTAATATAAATGACTCTTGTAGAAATCTAAATACTGTAAAATGAAACATGATTCATACAGAAAGATTAAACCCCAAAACAGTAAAACTCAGGCTACAATGATATCCTCATAACCATTGTTAAATTGTTATTCACCAAGACTGCAGAGACATTAAACTGTCCTACTAAACCTTCTCACACAAAATGCTAATCACCTTTTTCCGTTAATGATGCAGGCGGTGTTCATTGGGATGATGATCAGCTCTTCTCTTTGGGGAAACATATCTGATAAATATGGCAGAAAAATGGTGAGTTCCACTGAAAATCTTGTGAAAATGATTCATGCAATTCACTGGAAAGGTGTTCAGAACCCCTGAAGCATTAAATTTCCCAAACTTTATTGGGACTATATTTGATTGAACATGCATCCCACTAATCTACACAACACCTTAGGCGCATAAAACTGACTTGCAGCTTTTCACATCTTGACTTGACCCTTCGTAGACTTTCCTCACCTGAAGTGTTGAAAGGTACAAAATAGTGGTGGGGAGGGAGGCAGTGGACTAGATTCCTTTAAAGTGAGAGATGTGGATGATGGCTGAAGAAGTGCAAAGTTGATGTTACAGCATTGGGAAAACTCAAGATTTTAATGGACTCAACAAAGTCCAGATATTTCACTCTTGGTTGTCTCCCTGATCCAACACACCTGAATCCAATGGCTGAATCACCTCCTAAATGCAATTAAGTTCTCCAGAGTCCTGCTAATGACCTCATTATTTGACTCAGGTGTGTTGAAGTAGAGATACATCTAAAAGTTGCAGGAGACCGGGCCTCGAGGACTTGGAGTGCCCACCCCTGCCTCAGTGTAAATTACATTGAGAAATAATGAGATTGGGTTATATAAAGACAGGTTTTAATGCCGAAAAATTATCACATGTTACAAGCCTTACATGGAACAGACAGAGTTACATTCACCGTGCAGCAAACTTTCAGATGACGCAGCAAGATCCATGCATAAAATTTCTTTTTGAAAAAATTCCAAGTAAGAATAATTATTCTTTGCTAGCTATTCTTCTGCCGTTCTGGAGTTTCATGCTGATTGCGCAAAGCTATAGCTTCAAAGGAATGGTGACCAGAGCTGCACTGTTTTTCACTTCTTCAATGCGTTCTTCCAAGAAACATGCTGCTTGCAGAAATGCAAAATCACCGTCATTTTGCTCCAAAAATTTACACGTGCTTGTGACACTGCTCAATATTTAACTAGCATGTTTACCCATCCGCTGCAGTGGTTGAGATTTTGTTTGGTGTTTGCAGTGATGTAAATCATGTGTCAGTCAACAAAAGGGGGTGAATGATGCCCGAAAGGTGGGAAGTTCCAAGAACAAAAGCAGTGAGTCATTAAAGATAATGGGTCAAACTGAGCTCCCTACAGCCTGGGGGCCTTGGCTTCTTGGCTCTTGCAATCATCATGTTGCTCTGCAGCAGCTGAATTTCTTTCTTTAGATGTTTGTTCAATCGCTAATTTTCTTTTTTCTGGACTGTTCTCAACTCCTTCAAATAATGAGCGTGTACGTATTTGTAAAAGATTTTGTAAACCAGATTTAACTTTTCTCCTTAATGCTTGTATAGTACAAATCATTGGCTTATAAAATAAAACCTCAATAAAATGCTATATTTGTGGTTACAACAGAAAAGCTTAAAGGGATTGGATACTTTTCCAGGCTACTGCTTGGGTAGTGGTGCTTATGACAGTGTTTCTAGATTTTAAAATTAGGATTAGGAAAATATCATGTGTTATACGAGTAACATACTGATCATATCTACTAACAGGGCTTGACTCTGAGTGTGCTTTGGACCATGTTCTATGGCCTCATGAGTGCATTTGCACCCATTTACGGGTGGATCCTGGTCCTGCGTGCGCTGGTGGGCTTTGGTATCGGAGGGGCGCCTCAGTCGTGAGTACCTCATTCACTTCTCTGAAAGCAACAGTGAAACATATGAACTGAGTTGGTATTTACACTGAAGTTCTTTTAAGGGTGACTCTGTATGCTGAGTTTCTTCCTATGAGATCCAGAGCCACGTGTATTTTGCTGATTGAGGTATGAGTTGCTCCAGACTATCACACTGTAGCAAGTGTCCTTTTCCCTTTAACCACTTTTGTATCTTGTTCTTTTCATATTTTATTTAGATCTTTTGGGCAATTGGTACAGTTTTTGAGGTCCTATTGGCGATCCTCGTGATGCCCACTCTGGGCTGGCGCTGGCTGCTCGGCCTTTCCACCATCCCTCTCTTCATTTTCGCCTTTCTGTGCTATGTAGGTACAGCAGTTTAACAGGCTGTTAATCTGTACGTAGTGACATGTTAATTGCCGGTGTGTGTGTGTGTGCGTGTGTTCACAGTGGCTGCCAGAGAGTGCTCGGTATGATGTGCTGACGGGGAATCAGGAAAAGGCTCTGGCAACTCTGAAACGTATTGCCACAGAGAACGGCGTCCCCATGCCTCTGGGGAAACTTATTGCTGCCAGACAGGTGCAGCACAGCTCGGGCTGGCAGGACATGCATGCTCTAACAATGACTCTTCTCCCTGTAATCCACTTATTCAGGCATTTATCTATTGTTTTTTTTGTATCTGTTCTTTCTCATTAGGAAGATCGGGGGAAGATCCGAGACTTATTTTCGTCACACTTCCGATGTACCACGGTTCTGCTCTGGTTCATTTGGTAAATGAAACAAATGCTAAAGCAGCACAATGTCCTCTTCAAGACCTTCTCACGCTTCAGGATTTTAGTGTTTACTATTTTAATCATTTTTTTAAATGCATAGTGGCTTGTAAAAATATTCGCACCCCTTAAACTCTTAAATATTTTGTCCACAAAATTTAATGTATTTTATTGTATTGATAAATAGACCAACACAAAGTAATGAGTATTTGTGGAAATTAAGACGTGTGCTTTTCAACAGGTTTTACAATTAAATATCTAAAAATAGATGTTTGATGTTTGTGGCTGTGATGTATCAAAACATGGAAAAGGTCAAAGGACATGAATACTTTTGCCAGGCGCAGAATCTGATTTAATTTTGCGTCTCTGTCAGTGCAGGTTTGCAAACGCCTTCTCTTACTACGGACTGGTGCTGCTCACTACAGAGTTGTTTCAGGAAGGAGGTGCATGTGGAAGTGAGTCAGCGAGGTCATCACACAAACAGAAGCAGTCATGTTTTAGCAGAAAGCATTACCAAAACATGTCAGACTTTAGACTGAGAGATGCGCTTTGCTGCTTCATGTCTCCCTCTAGTGCCCAAAGGCGGAAAAAAGGAGCTCAGATGCAACTTGGAGTGTAAATATCTAAATTCTGATGACTATAAAGACCTGCTCTGGACTACATTGTCTGAATTCCCAGGTAAATAAATCAAATATGTTTTGCTATGTCATTGTCATTAACAAATGTGTTTCCTCTGCAGTATCTTGGACAAAAAAAAACATAAAAGATTGTTTTGAAAAGATGCACAAGACTAAATTTTAAAACAACACATCATTCTCATCAAAAAAAGATCACTTTACTCAGACACATCTTTTTAAGTTGTATTCAACAAATGTTTATAGATTTTTATTTCTTTATTGATTACTCTAGCATCTTCTTCTGTTGCATGTATTTGACACAAGCTTGAGTTTTTACAGGTGTAAGTTAAAACAGAATATAAAAGCTAGAACATTTCTGAAGAAACTTAAATGGGGTTAAAAATTAGAATCAATGTTAAAGTAAGCTACAATGTACTCGATGGAGTGAGTTCACTGATTTTCACTTTCGTAAAAGTAAAAATCAGACGTGGCACTTGGTTACCAGAAAACACGCTAATCTCTTAGCAACAGATTAACAACAAATATTGTTATTGTTCAAAAAACATAAGATTTCTTCTCCTCTTTTGAAATTCTATTTATCTTACACTACTTACTACTTAAGAATTGTGCAGTTGGTGAATTTCAGCTAACAGAGGTTTTTGTTAGCCGTAATAATAAAAAATAAATCCATCTATCCATTTTCTGTTCACCGTTTTCCCTAGTGGGGTTGGGAGTTGCCTCTCTCCAGCTACGTTCCGGGCGAGAGGCGGGGTCACCCTGGACAGGTCGCCAGCCTGTCGCAGGGCTTAATAAAAAATAAATAGAAATCAATTCTTGAAAAATTTCTGTGTGTTCGTACTGAATCTGTATCAGCTGTACTTGATTCTTTTCAATGTTTTTCTAAGGTAAAAAAATGCGCCTGTATGTTTATGTTAGTAGTTTAAGGAGAGGATCTCACACACAGTGAAATATACATTAATACACTTTTTGTTATAGTCCAAAAAGGTCATTTTCTCTGTCAGTTCTCTGCTATAATAAATAATGCTCACATTATTTATCACACATTGAAGTGACTGTGCTGACTTCCTGCAGGCCTGCTGGTCACACTGTGGGCTATTGATCGATTGGGACGGAGAAAGACCATGGCATTGTGTTTTCTTGTGTTCTCTCTGTGTATCATCCCTCTGTATGGATGTGTTGGGAGGTAAATACAGCTTTTACATCTTATGGATTGTTTATCATGTTATCATTGTTTTATGTTTATCTGCTCCTTTTGACACACGTTTTCTTTTGCAGAGTGTCAATGACGGTGTTGATATTCATAGCCAGAGCATTTATTGCTGGAGGCTTCCAGGCAGCCTATGTTTATACTCCAGAGGTAATACATCCTTGCAGACTGTTGCATGAGCTTACACTATGAGAAACAGTGAAAGCAAGGTGATAGATGGCACGAGGTGGCCGTTTTTCCTGCAGGTTTATCCAACAGCAACCAGGGCTTTGGGTCTGGGAACAAGCAGTGGGATGGCCAGAGTTGGTGCCCTCATCACTCCTTTTGTTGCACAGGTAACACCTAAATAAAAAGTACTGATTATTCAAAGTGAACTGGCTGCATGAGTTTATTCATCTTGGTTTTCTTGGACTTTCATCCTGCAGGTGATGTTGGAGTCTTCGGTGTACCTGGCCCTCTCTGTGTACTGCTGCTGCTGTCTGTTCGCTGCTGTCGCCTCCTGTGCTCTGCCCATTGAAACCACAGGTCGGGGTCTGCAGGAGTCTAGCAATCGTGAGTGGGGACAGGAGATGGTAGGCCACAAATCAGAAGAAATCCCACACTCCAGCTCTGCTTCTCAGAGTTGAGGACATGCTCACTGTGGTACGAGTTGGAGGCGAGACAAGATGAGAGGAGAGGAGAAAGCTAAACCAGCTTTCTGCCCTTCTTGTATGTTTCTCCCAAGAGCCAGGCAGCACCATTTTTACATCACATTTCTGTATGTAAAGTCTTTAAACACCATCGGTGTCACAGGGTTGCCACTGTAAAACTACGTACGCACAGGACGAGTTAGAAAGACCAAGCGATGTTGAGGATTACCAGAGATGATGGTGAAAATGGGAAAAGTTTCTGAAAAGGGGAAGATGGAAGGTGTGAAAGTTTTGCAATTTGTCTTCATACAGCTACCTTCCTTTGAAAGAGCCTTAAAACAACCTATTGAGTAGGTGACAAAAACCATCTTGGAAACCAATGAGAAAACAGCCTCTGTAGTACACAAAGCATACTGAATATACCATCTCCAAAGTATTCTTAGCAAAAAAAAAACAAAAAAAAACATCATCTCATGTACATGGAAATTGCCTGCTGAAATGCACTTTAACTTAAAAAAAGTATCATTGAAGAACATAAATAACTCCTCAGATGAACTGACCAGATTAGGTTTTTTTTCACCGAACATTCCTAATTATCAAGGTAAACATGGATCCTATGTAGGATCCTTTGATTTTATTGCAAATATCAGCCCTTTTAAGGAATGATTTGCTTCACTTTCATCAGTTTCCTAATGCAAATGCACATATAAATGACTGAAATTAGGATTTTGAAAAGTTTAATTATGATGTGATTGTTTTACCTATGATAGACTTTGTTGGTCTGTCACATAAAATATCCTAGTTTGTGATTTTAATGTGAACAAATGTGAAAAGGCTCAAAGGGTATGGATATTTTCACAACCACTCCATAGAACCTCAATCTGAACTTCTTAAACATGTTCTACTTTTTAAGTGTTAATTCCTCCAAAATATGCTATAACAGGGCAAAGGTTTATCAAAAGGTTTATCAAAGCGAAGGTAAAGTCCAGATGAAAAAGTTAGAGTCTGTTACACATTTACTTAATTTCAGGCCCAGCAAAAGTCAGGAATTTGACCATTTTACCTTGAAAGTACATTTCCAGCTGCATCGTGTAATTATTTCTCCTCACATGGAGACAAGTTTGGAGGATTGGGAAGTTTTCTAGAAAACGACATGTGCATTAATAAAACATTTAGGCTTTATTTCTTGAAGACTATGAGAAGTTGACAAATAATCCAGAAATTCAGCCTTAGTATTCATGTGGTCAGCCAAAATGGACTGCCTATGGAGGGCTCTATAGTAATGATGTTATTACTCATGTATCAACTATTCCTCCACTGATCCAGACTTTTAACAGCATACTCCCATACATAGACCCGAGCTGTGAACGTTTACTGGATGTCATGTTCTCGATGTAAGTGAGAAGAAAACACAACCCCTTGTTCGGTTGTTGTCTTTTGTTTGTTATTGATGAAGAGATAGAGGCACTTTCGTTATTCTAACAGACGAGATATCACCACACACGGGTCCACCAAGATGCTTCGACTCGCCAGTGTTTGAGATATCGTGCAGCATTAAGTGTCAATGCACTAGATGTAAATGTGTATGATATTATAATAAAAAACATTAAAAATGCAAATGGAGTCATTTTTTTATTATTATTTATAAAATTAGAAGAGAAATTTTATATTCTAGAATCAATGGATTTACAACAAACTACAAAAACATAAAACACTGACAATTATTTTTTAACTCAAACTCATTTGTTGAAAGGCATCTCAGGTTGTAATGATTGTCAGCATAGTTTGCTTTGTTAAAGAGTCCCAATCCCTGTTGCTGGACTCAGGCCTACAGGCGAGCTTTGGGGCGTTTGCCCTTCTGCGCCACAATCTGACCGAACAGTCTTGCTGTCTCCTGAGCACAACCCCGGTGAATGGTGAGCCCAAAGCCACCATGGCCGTAGTTGTGTACGACCTGAAAGAGAGAACCACTGGGTTTTTTAGGAAGCTGGGCAGCAGAAAGTCAACAATCAACTGCTGATTTTCTGCTCAGTTTTACCTCAATTGTGGAGCCACCGGATTGTATGGTCTCTCGCTCCAGTCGGACTTTGCTGCGAACAGGCCTGAGACCGGCCCAGTCCTCTACTATCTTGGCATGCTGAGAAGAAACAAAAACCAACTCATGTGGAAGAAAAAGTCATTTTTCTCTCACTTTTGACCCCACCTCACAAAATAGGTACAGTGGGTTACAATAGTTTAGATAATGTCATGCTGATGTGTCAGAATGGTCTAGTCAAAGTTCAGGCAGAATGCAGACACTTATACTTTTCGCATTTTATTGGTTACAAATGTGCAGTCTTTTTCCTTCAGAATGACGTGTTTTAGTCCATCAAAAAATCCTATTAAAATAAGTTCAGATTTGTGGTTTTAATGTTACAACATCTTAGCAAGTTTAACAGCTACTAATACTGCATGACAATCAGATGCAAGTCACTACATCTGATTATCATGACTTTTTGTTTGTTCATTTTATTGCTCTGTCAATTCTTATCTTCTGCATTTTTTGAAATGTGCCTAAAAGTGACTAAGGAAAGATTAAAAGTGTCTCATCACAGAAGGGTCATTATGAATAATTAACTTCAGCGGAAACAAAGTGGCTCTTTTTGGCCTTCTGACGCCAGCTCACCTTGAGACTGGGCTCAAGCCGACAGGCAGTCTTCCAGATGTTCTCATGGTCAGTGGAGTTGTTCTGCTCACTCCAGTTTCCCAGCTGGAAAACCCCTCCCACAGTCACAAGACGGCTCCTGCGGACACAGAGGCTCTGTGAGCGGAAGAAAACAGGTCTGACTTTCTGACCTCACTGCACAACAATCCCAAAGCAGCCCAAACAAGGTCTGCAGCTACAAATCAACACCACCAGAAAAGAATGAGGTAAAACTGCCCACTGAAAAACATCTGAGGCATGGTGTTTAAAAGTTAATCAGGTGTGTCACTGGAAATACCCTGGGATGATATACGGTGAATTGTACACTCCAGCTTTGGTGCTGTGGGTAATAATCCAATGCTTCAGCCAGGGGGCGTCCACCTAAAACCCAGAAAAGAAAGTAACAATATCAGTTTCTGTATCGTCTGCACAGGCTATTCAAGGCGTCTTCAGCTCACCTTAACTATCTGGCCGCGGCCTGGTGTTAGGTCCGGGTCAGGCTGCAGCTCCCCAGATCTTATCCCAGTGCAGTTTATTATCACATCCACCCCAGCATCAGAAAGCTAAAGGAGTCATGGAGAATATGTAAAACAATCAATATACATGAAACACAAAAAGTTCAATTGTAAACATGATAGAGTTGACACTTGCCTCTTTAAATGACTCTATCTTCTTGTGATAAAATTTGACGCCCCTCTCTTTCAACCTACAAAAAAGTTTTTTTTTTTTTTTTTAAGGCTGAACATTAGCATGACCTCTGTGGAAATAAAGATTTGTGACAAGTTACATATTGTGATTTTATGTATAATCTTGGTTATCTTGAATAAAACTTAGTGCAAGCAATGGCCTTTAGAGGTCAAACTACATTGTAATGCAGAGCTTCGTGCCTTAGGAGGGAGATTCTGTCTTTATGAAGAGTGGCAAAAAGAAAGCCGTTGATGTTGACCTCCACTATAACACATGGGAGTGGTAGGGTCATGCTGTGGCAGATGCAAGAAATGTTGAAGGCGAATAGGGAGAGGACCGTGTAATTGTTTCCTTCTGCTAAATTATGCATCAATAAGTGTGGATCCATTACATAAAAAAACAAATGTTTCAGTAGGACAGCAACCCCAAAACACCACACCAAAGCCACATTGGAGCAGCTTAGGTCCAAGCACACACTTCTGGGAATGGCCCAGTTAAAGTCCAGCTCAATTTCCAATTGAAAATATACGGTAAAACTGGAAAATTGCAGTTCTCAGGTTCCTTTATGTCACATCTGACAGAGGTTGAGCAATTAAAAATGAAGTGACATCAGACTTGTGTTGCTCTGTCACAGGCACAAAGGAATGAACTGATGTGGAAAGTTGTGAAATGAAAAACTGTGAATGTTACAAGATCATGAATCATCTTGTGACACTTTGCATATCCAAGTCAATGCAAAATATTGTAGACAGTTAAATTTTTACAAAGTTTTAAAAAACCAGAGCCAATAAAATCTCAAATAAAATCCAATAGATACTTGTTTTTAAATATACTGTAAATTACTTTTGACTGTGTTGCTACACAATTTAAATCCATGCAAACATTAACAAATATAACATAAATATAAAGGAAGACAAACAAGGAAGTGAGAAAAAAAAGCATTCTCACCACTTCATCAGCCATGGTAAATAGGTTTTACCTTCCACCATGAGAGCTGTGTTGAACCAGCCAAACCTGAAGAAAAAATGTATTTAATGATAATCTGCTATTTAGAAAATAAGAACAAACTAGGAATACAAATTACGTGTCAGGAAGAAGTTAAGTTTAATCACATCTACTGAAAAATTTGTTTATTTTCTTTATGTGTGCCACTGGAAAGTATGGGCTTCGTTTTAATATTTGCTGTTACACTGGGAACCTGATAAGAGGTGCAGATGGTGGCTTGCCCGGGTTTTATGGCTGTTTTTGAAGGAACTCACTTGTATCCAGGAAACATTTGCAGCTCCCGCTCTGTGAGCTGTCTGAAGCCCAGGACGATGTCTTTAAACGATGGCTCCTGGAATCAAAAACAGGTTTACTGAGAAAATGCAACACAAAAATGACCTTTTCTGTGTGACTGTACAGATCCACAATTAACTCTGTGTGAATCCCCAACCACTGCTGGCAGCCATCTTTTGTTTGTCTGAAAAAAAGCTGTGCTTCAGTGTAGCTGAAAACCATTGTACTATTATCTATGACCGACAATGAACCAATCTGTAATAATTATGCAAATAATCTTTGGGAGGTTAAAATTTAGCTTTGCTCTTTGTTGTAAAAAACGGCTAACAAGTCCAAGTCTTATCTTTATGGTCAGACTTGTGGTGCATTTTACAAGTTCAAAGCAGAACTCACTGGAAGGGGTTCGGTGCAGAGGTTGTAACCTGATTGGAGGAATATGCCCATTTTTACTGCCTCAGGTGAGCTCAGCCAGTTTAGCAGGTAATCAAAGGTCTCCTTATTCCACTTTCTAAAGACACAAAGAGAAAAAGTGTCATATTTGGAATTAAAGAAAAAACAAACATGAATTGACAATTATAGAGACTGCACTCACGTCTCCTGGATGTTGCCCTTATCATAGAGGTATGGCTGCCAGAAGCCAGCGGCTCCATCGCTGGTGGTCAGAGGGGTGAAGCGGTCTGCATACACCTCAATGGTCAGTGGGCTGACTATGGAGTGGTACTGCTCATATATACTCTGAGCTGCTGACAGGCCAATGACTCCAGCTCCAATCACTGCTACTCGCATCTTTGCACTGAAACGAGACACAGTAACACTGAATGATCTGAAATTACTGCTTTATGCGCACAGTTATACTCCACACAGTTGGTAAATAGCGCCCCATAAAACTTTACAAAGCTGCTGAGGCCCCGTGCATCTGCTCTAATATTGCACGCTGTGGCATGAAATTGTGCATGAATGAAGTCAGATGTACTGAAAGGCAAAAGTGACACAATTCTGGGGAAAGTTTAAATGGTTGACCAGACCCAGCAAAAACAAAAAGGCTATGCTCTGCAGCTCTCCGAACTTTGTGCAGTCTCCGTGGTGTTTATGTAACAGGGGGCGACGAGTTTATAAGTAACAGGAAAAGCAGTAGAATCCACACAAATTTAAGAGATATGCCTTAAATCACAAAACGGACGTTTATGAAAAAAAGTTATTTTCTTACCTTTGGATCAAGTCTCTACTGACCACTTTCAACGACCAGTCACTGACTTCTACTTCTTTTGTTTTTTACTGGTGGATGGCAACTTAAGGTGCATTTACCATCCCCGACCACCAGTCACTGACTGAATCCCATTTTGCTCCATGTATCACATGGAGGGGGGCGGAGTCTGCAGCCGAGCAACTGCGTGCGTGTTGCGTTCACGTCCCGTCGTTGAAAGCACAACCATAGCGGACGCGTGGGGGCACACGTCACCAATAATTTAACGTCACCAACATGGTATTTAATAGCTTTTTATAAATAAATAAAAACCTTATTGTTTACGAGATTATGCGACCACAATTAAAACGTGTTACAAATTTTTATTTATTAACACTTATCACTTTAAATAAACTCGGTCCGCATGAAACAATTTTTTTTTTCAAGAAAGAGCCATTCATATCCGGCTCATGTTCATGAAATCAAACTAAAACGGTTTTGGCTGAAAAAACTGAAAAGGTTTAAGCTAAAAAAAAAACAAAACAAACAAACAAAAAAGCAAACAAACAAACAAACAAAAAAAGATATCAACACTCATTTGATGACCCGTTCAGGGAGTACCCTCTCTCTTCGTATTTGTTTTTCTTTTATAAAATATACTGCAATATGTTACATGTAATTTTTGTGCTCGGATTTATTTGTGTGACTGCCACTTTACAAATAAATTTAATATTTTTTGCTTCTATATATTTCAATTTCTGTTATATATTCACATCAGTTATAATAAAACAGGCCTCAACCTTCCAATCTGGAAATCACCTGTTCCACAATTTCTAGCAAATTATATATTGACTGAACTTGCATATGATGAAACATAATAGTCCTGTCTTAAGACCTGTTCTCTTCATTTAAGTTACATAGTAGCTATAAAAGGTCACAACAAAGGAATTTATTTCAGTCATGTCTGCAGCAATGGCCTGTAAAATGATGCAATGCTGCTCTTATCTCAACAATCATGGTGTAATAAGATCAGTGTCAAGTTAGACTTTTACTGTGTCTCAGAAACCAAGTACATCCCAAACTCAGGTACCAAAGCTAATAGGAATGAGAAAAGATTGACAGTTAAGTATGAATGAAAGTAATAAAAAAAACTGAAATAGTGTACAAGTATATCCTTTATTTCAATGCACTTCAATATTTTAGAGAATAAATGTTTTTATTTAGAACTGTTATGTTTATTTATAGTGCCTATTACTACTGTGCACTTGGTTTATTCTGTTGTAGTAGTATCAGATTATTTTTATACTTGGTTAATTAGTTTTAAATCAATTTTGATATGAAACAAGCCTTAAAAACTACAATATGTCTGACAACAATAAGTTGCAATACATGAAGCCTTGAAGGTAGCTCTTCCTGCACACACACACACACACACACACACACACACACACACACACACACACACACACACACACACACACACACACACACACACACACAGAGTCTCATTCTACAAGATAACACCCCGGTCTGCCTCCCTCCTCCACACCCCGTTAGCCCCGGCAGCTAGCTGCAGCTCTCCAGGCCACAGCGGCCGCCCCGGTGTCGGTGCAGCATCCCCAGCCTCCTGCCATGGCGTTGGTAACATTGCAGCGGTCCCCGACTCCGAGCGCCGCGTCCACCGCCAGCACAGCGACCACGACTGCGGGGGAGGTCAGTTTCGGTCCTTACCAGGAGGGGCAGCTAAAGCGATGCTCCGGTGTGGTGGTCTAGCCGGGAAGCAGTGAGGATGAGGGGGACGTTGCTGGAGGAAGGGCCGGTGATTGAAGCTAAATTAGCACCGTTAGTTATGTTATGCTAGGCTTTATCACGTTATGCTAAGCTGTTAGCCATCAAACGCGTTCCTTACTTTGATTTAAAAATGAACCAGCAGTGTGTAATAAGTCAGCATGTCATTATGCTGGATGACACAAAGTGTTAAGTTCGTCTGTTTCAATGTTGATATGTGCTAATGTTGGCTGAATATAATCCTTAATATTTTATGAATGGTGGAAGCAAGCAGCAGCTAGCCATAATGTTAGCTGTTTATGACTGACTCGTTTAATAATCTGGTTTACATTTTATTTATTAAAACAAAAAAGAGTAACAGAATGTTGTTTACAAAGAAGTGCATCTGATAAATGAGGGATTTCCTTGATAAAATTTTAATTATACTGTCTTGGCAGCTAATTTACAGGAAAAGTGTTTAATTTTAAATTAAAAAACGCGAAACATTGCTCTGGATACGTGTGTTTTATGCGCTATTGGTCATTTCCTCTGTGAGAAGTAGATTTCCGGATTGACACACCTTCTTTAAGAGAGAGAAAAAAATCAGATTACTTATAACTTATATTGATCTGCAGTAGGCAATGCTTGTATTTGGAGTTTCTTGTTTGCAGGTCACTATGCAGAAAAAGTCAAAGTCTATTCCACACATTTATCAATCACAATCAGGTTTCTTTACTATGTCCGCGCACAGATAATCGTAGCCAGGTGAGGGCGCTACTTACTACTTACAAACACATGAGCTCACCTTGTTTTCCTTTGCATACAGCCAGGAATTAATTTGCATTTATTTACAGCTGCTGATATGAAGACCATATTTTTGTGTCTGAGCTTTTCTTTGGGATAAATATGTTTTGTCCCCACAACCCCCCAAAAAACTTTTGTCAATATTAAATGTTGAGGCTTTTACAGCACTTGATCTGTCTCAGCAGAGTTGCTTTTTAAAAATAGACCCTGCCCTGTGTAGGATTAGCTTTGTGTTGTCTGTGTACCTTGTTACTGCTTTGAATGTTGTGCTCAGGTGTGACAGAAAATGCTGAGTGAAATCTGCCGCAGCCATGATGTCATCTGTTCACAAGGGGTGGGAGGGCTGGAGGAGCGGCGCTGTGCAGGAGTGAAGGAAAAAAGAGCTTATGTAAACAGGCACATAGGGGGACGCTGGCATGAAGTGATGAGGCAGCTGAGACAATTTAACCCTGATGCACACTAATGAAGACAAACATAGTCATGCATTTTGTTCAGTGAATAACTGGATTTGTGCCCAGTAAGTCTCATGCATTTCTCGTATTAACTAACTATTTATTTATTTTTTAAGAATACCTCATTGTTAGATAGAAAGTTACAGTAAAATTCTTTGCTGTTAAATAATAGTAGTGATAACAACACAAAACAAGCAACATTTTTCATGGCTGTGTGTGAATTTGCTTGCAGGATCATGTTTGAAAACCGTCACTGTGTGACTCAAGTTCATCTTCTGGCCTAAAAGGACTTTACTCTCAATGCATTTGTGCTGCCTGCTCCAGTGTGATGAACAAGGAACATTGTCACTAAACTCTGACTTATTGTTGGGCAAAATTGTCATATTTCGCAGAGAATATACATAGAACATACAGGTTTGCCTCAGATATATATATAATATATATATATATATATATATATATATATATATATATATATATATATATCTATATAGATATATAGATATATCTATATATATATAGATAGATCTATATATCTATATAGATATATCTATATATATATATATAGATATATCTATATATATATATATATTTGATTTGTAGGCATTGAGAGGTCAGGCTACAGTTATAAAAAGTTAAGATTTAGTTTAAGGTTAAGATTTTCTTGAAGAGCCCAACAATTCAGCATGGAAAAATGTTTGAATTTCCAGAAATTATCAGCCATAAACATCAACAGTATTTGTTATACAATTTTATATTTAAATTATACAATTTTACTCCTAAGTTTTATTTGCCAAATCATAACTACATTTGAACACTTTGACCATTTTACTTTCTCAGTCTCTTGATCAGAACATCAAGTATATGCACACTCATTTGGACATTTACCAAACCACAGCTTCTTTTTTTACGCTATGTTATTTTAAATCTAAACAAAATCTTTCGTACTCAAACTTGTGTTTCTGAATAAGTTCCACTCAGGATGAAGCATCTTTCCAACAGCTTAAAGTGTGTTTCACGATCATAATTAAATCAGTTTACTATCAATCATTTCTTCTTATCTTTGCAGGACTTTGGGAGTGACGATGAACGGCGAATAAATCAGAGGTATGTTTATCGTAAAGTGCAGCTACGCTTCTCTGTGGCATAGCATTGAGCAAGGTCTCACATTTATTAAGCAGGTGTTATTTACAGACTACCAGCATCTGTACTTGACTCATGCTGTGAAATCGTGAGGGGCGGCAGACTCTCTGGCATCGGCAAATAAGAGCAAGTGTCGTAAAACACTTGTTTGTCTGTCTGCTTGGCACGTTTGTTTCTGTTTAATTGCCAACTGCAACATTTGTGTTACTTTCCCTGAAGGAATATATTGAATGGTGTGTCTGTTTGTGTTTTCGTTTTGTGGTCTTTAAACAGACCATCTGTTTGTTACAGATTGACAACTAAGAATGAATAAGTTGACAATATTTTACGTTTTCTTTCATTGACTAAGTTGGGTGTTGCTGCACATGATTTTTTTTTCAAGCCATTTAGTATTTACATTCAAAGAGGAAAAATATGCAACAATAACATCTTTATATAATGGCAAATCTGATGTGCATCTTTGTTTTTTGCAGTTGTGTACTCTCACCACAATGCCAAAATTCATACATAGTAACACTGAGTTAAATTATTTAGGTTCTTTAACAAAAAACACTAATAAGTCAAATAATAGAACTAAAATAAAAAATAATATAAAGAAAATTCAGAGTAGTGATAAATGTAGCTGTAGTGTTGTAATGCTAACTTTGTAATCAATTCTTTGGTCCAAATTTGAGTGTTGCATCATAAGGATGAGAAATTATTATATCAAAGAAACTCAAATTAGAATTTGAACTTCATCTTTATTGCTATAAATCATAAATCTTGATAAAATGTTAAGCCACCCATTGCTAGCTTTGACTTATGCTAACTTAGCAGTTGAAAGGCTCATTTTATTTTAAAGGGAGGGCATTTTATAAAGTACATTTTTTTAGCTTTATTTCATGTTATGAAGTTATTCTCTCATTCAAAAACATACCTGGAGTGTTACTTTGATTCTTTCATGCATATTTGAGAAATCCTTGAATCTCCCGTGGCAAGCATTCGCGGATCTCTAAACGCTGGCAAACACCATCGATTTATACAAAGCTCCTTCTTGGAGCTGCAGTCCCAAGCTTCAATATACAGTATTTTTTTTAACAACTGAAGCTAACATAGTTACTTGATTATGTGATAAAATGGCACCATGTGCTTGGAAAATACTGAAGAGTGTAAAGTCATTAACACAACCCACTAATACTGATATCATTATACACCGTAATTATACTATGCCATCATTTGTTTTTCTTCTTGTGGGAGAAATTTATTAAAAAGTGATGAGGTTGTAAAGTTTTATTTTTGGTAGACTGAAGAATTATGAGGCTCCTTCTAGTCTTTAGTTGAAACTACCCATCTATTGCACACTCAGTGCACACTCAGTCCAAACAGTGCACACTCAGTTTTTGGGTTAATGAAAAAATCCAGCAGGTTTCTGCATGTGTGCTGACCAAAATAATTTTACTTATCAATCAGGCCTAGTAGATTTAATCACACAAGCCTCAGAACAAAACACGGTAACAATTTATTATGATGTAAATATTTGTTGTAATTATGCAAAGCAAGTACAGTCAAGCTCAGTTGGACACCATTGTAACCCAGCCTCTGTGGAGCAAACCCAGGGATTTAATTTCAATTCAGAGCTTATCAGGACAAAAGCTTCTTTAATAGCATGTTAGCCCAAAACTTAGTTGTCAAGAAGATAACAATGTGGGAGTTTATGTGTCACTCACTTTGACAGGTCTTTTTCTCTTGTGAACAATGGTGTGTCCTTTTATGAGCCCTATAATTCCACACACATTTATTCCTGAAAACGTTGCCTCACAAGAAATGTGAACTGAGGGAAACTACATCATAAGAACTTTTCTGTTTGTTTTCCGTTATGCAACAGCCTATGGAATGTCCTCGGGTAATGCATGATCTATGTGGTGCGAGTCCTGACTTGCGTCTAGATTTCTGCCATTCTTTGAAGGCTCTGTAAGCCATGTTGGGTAATAAAACTGGCAGTAAATTGATGTTTATAGTGTAAATGTATTAAGTTGACGCATATTTGATAGATGTACTTAGCAGGGTGTGCTCACCTGACATACAACTTGAGAGGTAGCATCTGTTGATGGACAGCTGATGTTCTGCCAAATGGGGATGTTTGTGCTTGCTGGCTGACCTTAATGATGAACAACCAAGATACTTGATGAGGGCCAACATAAACATTGTGCAGGTGTCTTTGGAAGTTAACCAAAGAATGATTTCATTCAACTGGCTTGTAAACTGAAAAAAACGGGCAAGGTACTTTAGTTCAAGGTTAAGGCCAGTGTCTCACTTTCAAGGTTATTTGAAATATTACCAAAGATTTAGGCAAAGATTGAATTAGCTATTTTCCCTTGATCAGCTTAGACTGACTATAACTTTCCTCCCTTCTAAATATTACCAAAGATTAGGCAAGATTGAATTAGCTATTTTCCCTTGATCAGCTTAGACTGACTATAACTTTCCTCCCTTCTATTTTTTTTTTTTTTTCAAAAAAAAAAAAAAAAAAACAATTTAGGTTGCTTTCTGACATTAATCAACCATTACTTAGTATTCTTGATTTATTGTCTTCACAGTTATGTAAAAAAATGTTAAGTATTTCTGGCATTTTTATATTTCCAAAAGTAAGTGATTTGATTGCTGCTAAATAACGAGTCTCGCTTTACTCATCAAATAAAACATATTAACCGCAATGTTCACTGAATTGTTTTGGGTTACTGTCAAGTTGCAGCAGTTCTGCTTCAGCTGTATTATTATTAGTATTATTAGTAGTAGTTTTTTACAGAACATTAAAGCACATGTTTCTGAAGCACCTTTAGATGCACCATAGAATCCATGGGGGGTTTTAAGGTTTTCATATTTGTCACATTTTCTTCTCCTGTATTTTTCCTCAGTATGTTCATGATGTTATTTTTCTTGCTCGGCCCATCATCTGATACCTGATGAGGTGCAGAAGTGAGGTGGTTGCTCACTTCTGCACCTCTCCCTTAATTTTCTGAGTGAAGTGTCAGTGAGAAAAATGGCGGTGTTATGCAACGGAGAGCCTCCAGAGGGGTTTATTTTTTCTATTTTCTCTCCCCTCATTGCTGTGTGTGAAACATGACTAAACCAACCTGGTAACAGCTTCTGAGTGGCCTCTTTAAAGAGTAACTCGGAGCAGCTGTCTCACACGTTCGCCCAGCAACTCAAGGTGGCGGCTCAGAGGACATCTGGTCCTGTTTTGCCCCGTCCAGATCCATCTGGATGCCTACAGAGCAACAAACCCTGCTCTAACGCAGAGCTACGTCATCATCTACACCAAATTCTTCTAAAGCTGGACCTTAGTTTTACAGGGAAGTTGCTTTACGCTTCAGGAGGAAAATGAAGTTTCAAATGAACATTACTGAACCTCTGCTAATGTGTACAGTGCTCTGTAAGTCATTGACATGATGTTGCTCAGAAAAAAGTTGTGTTGGACGTCTGTTTTGTTATCAGGATCTCATTAAAGCATATTTGTTTGACTTTATTCATTATGAATTATATTTACAGAATATAATTGTGAATTATATATGAATACAATAATTAAAAAGTATTTTTTTACAATACTTTACACATCTAAAAAATATTCTGCAGAGTTTGGGGACAAACGGGACATAAAAGGTATGTCCTCCTTAACCGGCTATAATCTCTAATAATCTCAGATGGCATGTTTGATGGCATGTGAGTGAGTGAGTGACAACTAGCACCAGGCACTTGAAGGAAGGAGATAATCCTTAAGCTCGTCTGTAATGAGATTTGGGGGTTTTGGGACAATGCCAGTTCTTCTCAGTGCCTGCTCCACCTTTTGCTTGACTTCTGCTGAGACACTACCATGAAGTTTGAAGACCACTGATGTGGTTTTCAGAATTAGATGTCTAATTTTGATTATTTTTAGCGAAAGCCAGAGGCATAAAGATTGGCTTTGGTTAAGTTGTATTTTTATTTTTATCACAACTGTTTTTGAAAATGACATTCTTCCCTTGCCTTAGGAGGGAGCCTTTACCTTGTTCATATTTTGACCTGAAGTTTAAGGAAACTTTGAAGACAAGTTCTGATGGGAAGAGACATCCACCTCCTGAGTTGTTCTGAGCTTTTAGATTCTTGCTCATAGACTTCTCTACACTACAGAGAGATTGTGACAGAGACGAGACAGACTGAGGGACTTAAGGAGACAGCTCATGTGCGCCGTAGGCACCGGGTGGAGTGTGTCCCTGCATGCAAGTGGGCTGACTCAAATGGAGACGCTCAGATGAAGGGGAGGAGGAAGAGGAGATCAGGGGGAGGGGCCTCTGAACAGACGGCACTGCTTCGCTGAGCAGCCCAGATGAGTTCGGATTGTCTGTCACTCAAAACCTCTGGGACCGACCCGAAGCTGTAATTACTCCTCTTTTCTCCTCCTCAACTGTTTCTGGATGTGGATGCAGAGGCATTAACTGGGTACCAGGCACACCGAGGTGACACTCTGGGGAGCAGGATGCATCTGGTCGTGGAGCCCTTTCAGGAGGCCGTGATGAAGATGCTACCTTATTTTGTGGAGAATGCCGTTTTGACCCAGAATGAGATAAATCGCATGTAAGTGTTGATGGTGTTTTGGGAGAAATGTAGATCAGCTTGTAAATTAATGAAATTTTCAACAGCTTGAGAAGTAGTTACTGTTTGATTATTATCTATGTTTTTAACTTTTTACCTGAGAGTTCTCACTCTTTAGCAGAAGTTGTAGGTGTGTTGATGGTGAGCAGGTTTTCTGCTAAAGTCTGGACTTTCTTTGATAGTAGATGTATTTTTAGCCCCAGCATTTGTGGAGAAGCTGATAGCAGGGTGCTGCAGGGAAAGAGCAGAACTTAGGCTGTTTGGTTGGAGCGTCTGCAGTTGGACAGCTCGTGACTTAAAGCATAAAAACAAGTTTTATGTTTTAAAACCCGTTTTAAATTTCACATGTCTAGAAAAGTGAACAATTATTAACCTGAATTCGGACAGAATCTTGGTTTGACGAGGCGGCTGCCTCAGTCTTGTTCTACTAGAGACTCTCCATCATAAACATCAAACATAAAACAAAGTAAGGCCATAAATGTACTGAAGAGACACAAAAGCTCTCTTTGAAAATTGTCCACCCCTCGTGCCTTGTCACTGTTTTCTTCTCCTTTATAGCAGCTCTGGGGGTGGTGCACAAAATGAAACTCATTGTTCCTTCATAATGTTCAGTTTGGTTCAGGCTTTTTAGCTGCATGTGGGGTTTGATTGTCGGACCAAAATGACAGGAAGCTTAGTCAGATTTCTCTTGGAGGTCTACAGGGCGATGCATCGTAACATTTTCAGAATGACTATTTACTGAACAGACAAACTCAGTGCAATTGGAACATCGAACCAATTTAAAAAATAGTTTGAACAAGTAAACACAAAATTCAGTTCCTTTTATTAAGGGAGAAAAAGCCAAACCTACATGGCTCTATGTGAAAAAGTGATTGGCTCTAAAACGTGATAACTGTTTGCATCACCCCCACTATATTAAAGAATAGAAACATCCTTTATTGTGTCTTGGAGGGAAAATTTAGGTATAAAATCAGCATCAGATATGTAGGTTCACACAACACATTCCAACAATTGTAGTTGTAATAATATATTGTTAAAGATTAAATAAATATACTGTGCAGTTATCAGGAATAAAAAGAGCTTACTCTGATCCAAGAGATGTGCAGCTGAGTCGCATGAAATTCTTACAAAAATGTACATAATTGTGCAGGTATATTGAACCTTCGCAATAACAACTGCAATCAAGTATTTGTGTTCGCACTGCTGCCTTGTAGCAAGAAGGTCCTGGGTTCGAATCCATGGCTGGTATCTTTCTGCATGGAGTTTACATGTTCTCACTGTTCATGGGTGGGTTTCTCCCAGCTTCTTCTTACAGTTTAGAAACATCACTGTTAGGTTAATTGATCTCTCTAAATTGTGTGTGTGGTTTGTTGTCCAGTGTGTTTCTATGTTGTTGTCACTCTGCAACGGGCTGGCAACCTTATCTATGTGTACCCTGCCTACATGTACACAGTTATATGTCCAGTGTCAGAGTTACAAACGACTGCTTGATGGCAGTATTTGACATATTTCCAGTGTTGTGCATTAATTCTGTGCTCATAAATACCGAGATGCAAAAACTGAAGGAGAGCAGTGGGGAAGTCATGACGATGAGATAGAAAGAAGAGTGAAGGAAACTAATCGCTATCGTCACTCCATTTATAATGAAATGTTTTAGTTTTCCCTGAATGTTAATAAAATTAAATTGGAATAACCAAAAAGAGCCCGCTTCTTCTGCATGGGCTCTTTTTGCCTCCCTCAGCACACAATGATGTCATAGCAGCAGCATTTACAGACAGGTTTGTCTTCAGCACATGTAAGGATTTGTTTTGATTTTGTCACTCATCAGTTTTGTACTTTCCTGATGATGACCTGGTTTGCCAGACTGCACACGTTGAATACATGGAACATGTGTTCCGCCCTGCTGTCAGGTAGATTTACGGACATGTTCACATTTCTCTCCATTAAATTCAAGTGATTGAACTCAGCCTGTGGAAAACATCTCACTGTTTTTATTAGAGCTCCTCATATGCACTGGAGACTTATTCAAAAAAAGTGAAAGAACTGTAGTTCGGTCAATATTCAGGTCCTTACTGCAGTAGACCCAGCCAGCAAACACCTGACAAGACAAATCAGAGTGTGAAGCCCACACAGCAGAAAGAAGATAGATAAGCACTCAGTTCAAAGCATCAATCCTGAGGTCGGCCTCTGTAACGTGGCAGCTTGGCTTCTCCTCTCAGCTGTTGAGTGAATTGGCCAGAAGCAGACAGGCATGATTTACGATTGTCTCGTTGGCTCCATCGAACTGAACAAAACAATCCTATTAAAACTGAAAATGTTTTGTTTTTTTTCCTCCTTGAGTTTTCTCGCTGTTTCATTTATTTGCTCATTATTAACCTGAATCATGGAATCTGACTTGCCGTTTCTCTGTTTTCAAATTTCTCTTCCCTGTTTTGTTTTTTTTTTTTTTGCAGTTTGAGCGAGAGCTTCTTCATGGTGAAGGGCGCCGCTCTCTTCTTGCAGCAAGGAAGCAGTCAGCAAGGCCAAAAAGCACAGCCACCTCACAAACATGCAGGTGAGAATAAAACATGTTTTCTGTGTTAATCACTCAACTTGATCTTCTGTCGTCTCGGTGTATGAGGAGTTCAGCTGTGGCGCTTCTTAGCGATGCAGCAGATGTTTATAGCAGGGGTGAGAAGGATGGCGGGTGCGTCGTTGATAAGCGTGTTCCAGACCCGTAGCTTAGGCAGATTACAGCTTAAATCCAGCATATGTTAGCACTATTAGAGGAACCTCTGTGGACGATTTAAAGAGGGCCCGACCATTTGTGAAGACTCACGTGTTTTCTTCTTTTCTTAAAACTTAAGATTCATAACATTTATTCCAGCAATACCACAGTAGCAATCCTAGTGTGTAATTTAGAGATTTGTTTTTCTTCTACTGTAACTCTGGAAGAGAAGTTACCTTTGCAAAAGAATAAACCTGTTGTGAAGTGGCTGTATGGCTTATTGCGTTGACTGAAGTCAGTCTGAATGCCAGTATCTGTAAAGGTTTTCTTTTTGAAAGCCACAATCGCTCCTTTAAAGACACAAAGCCTACCTGCCAGCACACATTCATGATGGGAATTCACCATGAGCCAACAGCACATCTGCTGCCAAGTCATTTGGCAAACTGTGACTGCTCCTGGCAACTTTGACCGTATTTACTGGCCACTTTGTAAGGTAGCTCAACATATCTGCCAGACGTACTGTGTCGTCGGGAACTTTTGCCAGGGGAAATAGCTGTGTCATTTCTCAGGAACTGTGGTATTTAACCCAGAAGTGGGAGACAAGGAGGTTGACCTATAGAGAGTTCTTCAATAAGGGCTTTCTTGCTCTAAGACCTGCTACCTTAACGTTCATCACTGAACATCTACGCGACAGACCCTGCTAGTGCACACAAGTCTCTCTAGTTCCTGAGGGTATTTATCCAGCTGGGCACAACCTGGACACATTTGGAAAATGGAAAGAGAAACAGAGTTAATAAGTATGAACACTGCAAAAATGTAGCATTTCCAGAAATCTTTAAACATGTTCAGCATCAAGATGAAAAAAAATTAAACTTGAACTTAATTGAGCTCTTCTTATGAAAAAGAAGTAAACGATGTAATTGCAGAAAATGCTTTTGTTTTGATCAGGCATAGAGGGCCATCCTAGAGATGCACCAGTGACAGTTTTGAGAATTTTTTTTTCAATTTTAAGATTGATAATGGTGAATATGTTTTGCTCTGTTGTTCCTGCCTTGTGCAGTTTGTCTCTGTGATATAAATACTGTGCATTTACTGTATATCACAGTCATTTTACCTGTTGTGACACAAAATTCTGCAAATTTCTGTACTTTGTCTTACATTGCAATTATTTCGATGTCAAATTTGTACAGTTGTCTATTCATTTCTGTTTCTATGTAGCTTATTAAGTTAATTATAGCTTTAATATTTTAATCTTGTTATTTAAGTTTATTCTGTGTAATAAAGTGAAATCACAGCATGATTTAAATTTTAATATCTTAACAGCCAGTGACCATATATGGATTTATTAGGAGTAGGATGAGATCGTAACATGCTGCTGGAAGTCAGTCAGTAGAATAATAAACTTTTTTTTACTCTTGTTTACCCACCAGGGTTGTACATCTTGCATCATTACTGTATTTCTGATAGTTCACCTTGTTTCATGACCATCTGTCAAAGGGAGCCGTAAGGGTAGGAGAATGGACAAAGACAAGTTCTTGAGTTCAGCTTTTGTGGTTGATGAACTTCACTTTGTAAAGTCTGGAGGCTTCTTTTGGTTTAGTTAACAACATGTGACTTGACTCACATTGAAATTGAATTAATCATTGACCAATATTCACTGAATGTGTTAAGTACTGTTTTTAAAAATCAGCAGTTAACGCTTAGAAAACCTTTTTGCTTTATAAGTTCATAATGGCTACAGCATACAATGGACTCCCATTTTTGCTTAATGATGTTAATTTATAATAACTGACTATAAAAACACTCTCCTTCCTTCTTGGACAGGTGAACTACCTCAGCACCTGCAGGTGATGATAAACATTCTCCGCTCAGAGGACAGAATCAAACTGGTGAGAGACATCAGAAATATAAAACCTAATCAAGACAGTGACTTTAAGATCATTTTAACAAGCAAATTGCAATTTATTATGCACTTTGGCGCTGATCGGCTCAGTGTTATTGTTGTTTCATGAGGGTGTTGAAGAGTAGTGCAAGGTGACATAAAATAAATATTGATATCCATCAATTATGTATTTTGACACGTTACTTTTATAGCAGATGTTTTTATTGAGTCTTTGTTACAATAATTGTTATAAACAAGCAAAGATTTTCACCAGCATGTGGCTTACACAGGATTTTTAATTTTATTTCACCTTTGATTTCTTATTTGAACCTTCTAGCTTCTTTTTCAACAACAGTCATTGCAGTCACTGTTTTATTTTTGTGACGTTAATAAATTAAACAAGAAAGTTGGGAGTAATCTGCCTGTTCCCTTTGCAGGCAGTGCGTTTGGAGAGTGCGTGGTCGGATCGGGTGCGGTACATGGTGGTGGTGTACACCAGCGGGCGACAGGACACAGAGGAGAACATCCTTTTGGGAATCGACTTCACCAACAAAGACTGGTACAAATACGCTTGGTTTCTTGAGTTTAACGCAGTAAAGGCTCTGTTTTGCTTTGAGTCATTTTTTTGGTGTCACTAAGCAAAAGTTAGAAGTATGGAATTCCTTTTCTTAAACATATAGTTTCTTATTTATTAAATTCTTAGACTCTTAGTTTTTTTTTGTGTTTATGGCAGTAAAAGCTGTTCAGTCGGCATGGTGCTACCTCTTTGGAGTGATACAAAGATCCATCTGGATGGAGACGGGTGAGCTTTTTAAATTTCCCCATCGGAAAGAACAGAGGACAAAAGTACAGCATTGGTTGTTTTATTTTTTTCCAGATTTTTATCAAATCTTGCACCAATTCTCTGACACCTCAGACGAATTTGATTCACACAAAGCAGCAACTCTCTCCACACTCAGTCAGTCTCCCATCTGTTTTGTCTGCTCCTCAGGGGCTTCACTGTGAACACAGCAGGTCGGACTCATGTTTTCAAGCCCGTGTCGGTGCAGGCTATGTGGTGAGTAATGATTAACCTGTTGAGTCACCGTGATTGTCTGCTGCAGTTTACCTGTAATGGAATAGCACAGTAATTCCCCCCTGACATCCAGTCAGATGGGCTACAGTGATGCATGGAAAATAAGTGTGCCACCTGCTGGCAGGAGAACGTACCTGCGTCTGTTTAGTCAACTTCTGAACATTTCAATCCTTTTTATATCCTAAAACGAATCTTCATTTGTGTGATCAATGATCTAGGTCGGCGTTGCAAGTGCTGCACAAGGCTTGTGAAGTGTCGCGCAGGTTCAACTACTTCCCCGGAGGCATGGCCCTCACCTGGATGGGATACTATGAGAGCTGCATCGCCTCTGAGCAGAGCTGCATCAACGAGTGGAACGCCATGAAGGACTTAGAAACCACGCGGCCAGACTCACCCATTATGTTTGTCGACAAGTGAGGAAACTCTATTTACCTTAGCAGCACCTCTCTTAGTGAATATTTCAACAATTTAACTGGGATGTGCTTTGATTTGATGGGCAGCAAATTTTCTGTGCGTTGCAGTTCAGATTGTTAAGATGCTGTTTTATTTCTAGGCCTTCAGAGAGGGAAAGGACAGAGTGCCTTATTAAATCCAAACTAAGAAGCATTATGACCTCCCAGGACCTTGAGAACGTCACCTGCAAACAGGTACAAGCATAAATGTTAGGAGTGGAATAAAAAATCTCATGCCAAGGTGTCTCCTGATATTGTTTTATAAACAGCGGAAGAAAGCATTGATTTCTTCAGTGCTTTCTTCCCGACTGACTTAAAATGCTGCAGCTTCCAGTTTGTAGCTCAAAGTACTAATGAGATGCATCAAACTTTAATCAGTTATTTATCCTGTTTACAGATTATTCAAAATGCAGTTTGAGTCTCTGACTTCTTAAACGTCTTTATAAACCAGGTGATTGCTTTTACCTGTAGACTTAACACTCCCTGTGCTTATCAATTACTAAAAATTAATCAGTTTTTGATATTTATAACCTTTACACTATTTGGAAATTTGGAAAATTTACTTTTTTTTAAGTTAATATTGAATCATTGTTGAAACAGCAATTCATTCAGAAGTCAAACCTGTACATAATCAGGTTTTTCTTCAAGGTTTTTCTTCATATGTTTTATATGGTAAAACTATTGAGACGCAAACAAAGGCATTCCATTTTCGTCTTTCTCTCAGATCCGAACTGAACTGGAGCAGCACATGAACTGCAACTTGAAAGAATACAAGGAGTTCATCGACAACGAGATGCTGCTGATTCTCGGCCAGATGGACAAAGCCACTCTCATTTTTGACCATGTCTACTTGGTGAGCAACGTTAAACTCTCTTCTACCATCACAAAAAATGTCTGCTGGACTTGTTGATGTAAATAACGTTGAAAATGTTCAATTTCCTTAATGCTCAAGAAACAGATTTCTGCTTGATTAATCTTCTCAGTGAAATACTTGTCGTGAAGAGAAAAACAACCCTAAACAGAGTTAAAAACACACTCAGACTAAACAGAACTTTCTCTCATTTGTTTTTAGGGATCTGAATGGAATGCATCTAATTTGGAGGAGCTGCAGGAGACAGGGTGATTTGTTTTAGATTATGCGAGAACTAATATAGCCACACACAACACATATTTTCATTACGATCTAAGCAAAAAGGAATGCTGGTGATAAGTTAGTGCTATGTTTCTTCTCCAGGGTGGGCTACATCCTCAACGTTACCAGGGAAATCGACAACTTCTTCCCAGGGACGTTCTGTTATCACAACATCCGCGTTTACGATGAAGACGCCACGGATCTTCTAGCTCACTGGAACGACACGTATAACTTCATCGTGAAAGCAAAGTGAGTTGCAGAATTTTATAGACAATAGTTGTTGACTCTTTTCTGTTGCTGTGTAAACGGCCTACATTTTTGGGTGGTGGAACCCAACAATGAAGCTCTCCAGTTAGGAATAAAATGTATATTTTATTTTTGACAGATCAAGATAAAATCTCAAATTACTCAACTAATAACTTTAAAACTTACCAGCAAAGAAAACCAATGTGGATGCTTGGCTATTCATAAAATCTGATATGTAAGGAAATTTTTTATTCAGCTACAGTAGCAATGGAATATTTTTCAACACTTGATTACTCACTATAGATGAATTCAAGCTGCACGTGAACACAGGAGAAAAAAGGAGCTAAAGTCCAGGTCTTGCTACCTGAAGTAGGAGCTGAATGTTTTTTTAAAGGTGCGTTCAGGGACAGCTCGTACATCAGAATTACCCCAATATGATGTAGGCATTTTCCATTTTCAAATACCAGCGCAGTCTTATTTAGTAAATTCTTAAATAACAACCTTGACTTTTTTCAGGTGTTTTTTTTATTGTCATATTAAGTGCCTCTAAATCCTGGAATAGTTTTTTTTTTTAATCCATTATCATCTGTTTTTCTACTTTATCTAGCTTTTAAAGTCAATTTAAAAGACAAAGTTGATTGCCAAAAAATAGGCCAGTTTCCTCTTGCTGTAAGATGTAGGATACATACAGATATTACACAGCTGTATGTGTAATTCTTACCCACAGAAAGAACGACTCCAAGTGTCTCGTCCACTGTAAGATGGGCGTCAGTCGCTCTGCCTCCACCGTCATTGCTTATGCTATGAAGGAGTACGGCTGGTCTCTGGAGAAAGCGTATAACTTTGTGAAGCAGAAGAGGAACATCACACGACCCAACGCAGGTTTCATGAGGCAGCTGGCAGAGTATGAGGGCATTTTAGATGCCAGGTACGCTCATTCACTCCATACAAACTGAAGTGTTGTCAGTTATCAGTACTTTTGAAATAAACATTGTATTTTTGTTATGTGTCCTCTTCTTGTGCTCGGTGGGATTCTCTGCCCCCAGCAAACAGCGGCACAATAAACTGTGGCACCCGGACGCAGACTGTGAGATGGCTGAGGGTCAGCAGGGTCTGGCTCAGTTCTGTGGAGGAGAGGACGGGGGGGATCCCACTGCAGACCCAGGGATGTCTCCCTGCTGTGAGGAGGGGTCCTCTGACAAAGGCGCCGCCTGCTCATCCCCATGCAGGACAGTTGCTCTTGAAATCGACCCCGCCTACAACAACTACTACTTCCGCCGGCTCTCGGACTCGGCCCTCGACAGCGAGCCATCAACGCCTGTGCGTGGCCCTCCTCTTCTCGGCATGGAAAAAGTCTTCATAGAAATCGAGGACGTGGAGAGAGACGCCCTGCTGGATGACGAGGCTTTCCACGGGCGCGAAGGCCTGCCGCTCCCTCACTTTGGACCGACAGCAGAGGGCACCGCTGCCCAGACCTGCAGCCGGGGGCCCGAACCCCTGGAGGAGCTTCGGCTGAGGCTGGAGTTCAGCACAGTGGAGGAGGAGAATGAGGAGGACGTGCAAAAGGAGGAGGCAGAGATGGAGGTGTTGATGCAGCCAGATGACCGAGGGGGAGGTGAGGGAGACGGTGGTGAGACTCAGGATGTGGAGGTCGAGGGCGATGCGGAGGGGATTGGGATGGATCTGGCATCCCTGAACGACAATTCAAACAACAACAATCATTTGAGCCTTCTACAAAACCACAAGGTAAGTTTGAGAAATATTTTGATGATGACTGTGGTTAGCCTAAAATTATGTTCATCACCAAATTTCAATTTTAAATAAACTGAAAAAAGTTATATAATACAGAAATGTGCTGTGCACAGAGTGCCAAAACCAAAAGTACAGAACACATACAAAAGAATCATGACAGACAACTTCCTACTAGAGCTGCTCTATATTAATACATATTACAATGGTGACAATATTGGTAAACATTGCAAAGATGACATCCATTGCAATATATGCTTATTTTCTTCTTTTTTATTTGTGCTGTCATCACTCCGCAGTCTTTAGCAATTGGGCAAAGTCGTTTGTGTCTGGTGTGAATGTCTCCTATTGTGAGACTCTGTCCAACTTAATATCACTCTAACAACTTCATATGACTTGCAATATATATAAGTCCACAGTCACTGCACTCCAGACAGTCCTTAGTGATATGAATATTGCTCATGCTGAAATTGCGATGACAATGTAGTTGTGATATTTTATGCGTCTTTGGTTCCTACATAGTTTTTCAAAGTCTGGAAAAGTAAATAGTAAAAGTTTGTAAAACAAAAATTACCCCTTAATGAATCATCATTTATTGTGGAATACCATACTCCCAATTTGTACATTTTAAATATAAAATGTACAAATTTTGAACTGAAGCTGGTTTAAGTTGAGACTAAGATCTCAAAAGCATCTTAGTCTTGAAAAGTAATTAATTAATTCTGTTTTTAGTGGCTGTAACTTACAATAATCAATCTTTTCATGAATTAACCATCATATTGCATCACTCTGCTTGTAATGAATCTATATAAATCAGAATTTATTCCTCTGACTTGTGTTTTCATCAAACGTGTTTTATCTTGTCTTTATTTAGGACACATCCTCCTCCTTCCTTCTTCATAAAGATGCTTCTCTGATGTCTGGGTCTCATCAGAAAGCGCATTCTTCTTCTCCAGCTTCTGAGCTTCGCCTTAACACCCGCCCTCCTTCTGAAGTCCAAAGTTCTTCATTGGGTCATTCTGAAGGCGTTTCGACTTCACCGGGACTTCTGAACTCCTGTGGTCCTCAGTATGACTGTGCCAACTGTGCAGCCTTTGCCACTGCTCTGCTGTCCTCAGAGGAACAGCGGTCAGTAGAGGACAGCAGCCATTTGCTTCAAGACAGCTCGACTGAATCTGCTTCGGATGTTCTCCCTGAGCTGATGAGAGCCGATTTTGAGGAAGACACTCCCGCAGTGGCTTGTTACCTTGGCCAACAGCAGGAGAGCCTTTTGCAGCTGCGTCGGTCTGGCCTGGTCCGGCGTCGGGCAGAGAGGCTCGAGAGGCTTTCAGGAATGTCCCTGCAGGAATGCCAGAAGTCTAAGAGGTGTCCGTCTCGCAATGAGGAGAAGGAGGAGTTCACCAGTTTTACCGGGGATTTTGCTGAAACTTCAACCCCGTGCCAAGTGCGGTTAGAGCCACTGGTAGTGCCACTGACCAACGAAGCCTTGTTGGGGGTGGTGGGTTCAGGGCTCCTCACGCCCACCTCCTCCCCTCACGGCTCCACGCTGACACGGAGCTCCAGCAGCGACAGCCTGCGCAGCGTGCGGGGGAAACCCGGCCTCGTGCGTCAGAGGGCGCAGGAGATCGAGACGCGCTTGCGGCTGGCAGGCCTAACCGTGCCCTCCAGGCTGAAGCGCTCCAACTCGCTGGCCAAGTTGGGAAGCCTCAACCTCTCCTCCGATGACCTGTGTTCGGCCTGTTCTTCAGACGCAGGCACGCTGCTGCTCCTCTCGCTGTCCCCTGAGCCGGACCAAGGCTTACAGTGGGACTCTCCAACCGCCTCGTCGTTGTCCAGACCCGGCAAGAACCTGCTCACCCCAGAAAGAGCACTTCCAGGTGAGCCCAGGAGCTGACAAATCAAGTGGGACTCACACATTTGTATGCTCCACTCACCTTCCCTTCTGTCGCGCTGTGCGGCAGTGAAGGGCTACACCCATTCCAGGAGAGAAGCGAGTCAAAACCGAGCTAACACAAACACAATGCCAACTCTTACACAAGGAGGCCACAATGTCTCTCAAACTGCTGTTCATAGCGATCAAAGTCATACTGCTGTATCTGACAAACCTGTTAAGCCATCAGATCACCTCTAACTCTGAATCACAGACAAACAAGTGCCTTACCCAAGAGACCCGAGGCACAGATCTGTGTGACAGATTGCATGCTCAGACGGTACGAGGCGCTCTGTGACCTTTAACACGGTTTCCAGCAGCTCCTACTTTACCTTTACCTGTCAGGTACAAAATTATAGCCTGCATTGATGAACTTGAATTCCTCAACGAGCTTCACAGAAACTGAGAGTTTGGTTCAGTGGAAGCAGAGTTGTTTTGACTATTTTTTTATTTTTTTTTTGGTTTTAAAGGTTACCTCATGTTGCATTCAGTGAGTTCCTGTCCAGAATATTTCAGGACTTTCGAAGTGAGATTCTGCAGTATGGTTAAAAGCAGTTAATATTTTACTTCTAATAGAAATGGTAACTCTGTTAGAGTCTTGCTGTAATACACTGCACTGTTACAGCAAGTTTTACTCCTGGCATTTAGGCAAAAATTAGTTGATAGGAAATTAGACATTTTTAAAAGAATAATTAAACAATGGAAAAGGAGCATCCCTTCTAAAAAGAGCTAAACTAAACTATTCTTTCTATTTATAGGTAGCGGATGCAATAGATTGATGCCATTCTTGATTAGCGGTTTAAATTTTAGGAGACCTACAGCATTCAAATCCTTATAATAATCGCTGACCAGCTTTTTGAATGTTTCTAGGCTTTTTTAAGGTTTGAATTTGTCCAAGTTTTCAGTACTTGGTCTTAAATTTCATTTTGTCATATCTAATAATCATATTTAAATCATGGTCATAAAACGTTTTAAATTTAAACCCATTGAAGCTTACAGAAACCTTGTGTCTTTCATGTTGGGGATTATTTAGCCTGAAACGATTAACATGAAATTGAGAAAGGAGGCATTGTGCCACAATGAGCTTCCGCATGAAACAAGTACTAAGAACAAAACATGTAACACATTTTTATTCAGAGACAGCAGAAGCAGAGTACAAACCAAAATATACATAATTGTCTGATTTGGCAATCAGACAATTATCCTGACTGGAAACCTTTAAATGCTCTGTTCTCAGTCGGTGTTTCACATAGAAAGATCGTTAGTTTTAATAATCACCCAATGCAAACAAGAGAACAGTCTAAAGTTTTATCCGTTTTATAAACTGCTTGGCGATTGGAATTGTTTTAAGAGGATAAAATATCGCTGGTTTGGCCTCTGAGACCATCTAAACTGGATTTATATTGAATGAACAGAACCTCACTTCAAAAATCCTGAGCTAGTCTTTTATTTGGACTTCTAATGCTTGGTTAGAGTGAGGACATTGTTTTTTAAACTAATGTGTTAATTACACTTGCGTATGAGTGCGTGAATGGGAGTGGGAAGAGAAACGACCGTTGCCAGAGGTATACTTGCTGTTTTCAACAAACAGAACAGAATATTTTCTGAGTTTGTTGTTCCTTTTGCACTGCTTTTTGTTACCGAGTCGATTCTGGCGAGCTATCTTCCAAAATAACATTGGAGTAATATTATTAACCTCATCATTTCCTACATTGCATGATATTTGGTGGGGGGGGAGCGTAGTGACAAGAAGTCATGCAGCATGACTTGAGATCAAAGTAAAAATGGCTTGTGTGAGAGTTAGGTCTCACATTTGTGTGGGCATTTCTGACATTTAAAAATAAAAAATACAGTTTCAATGCTACCTGTAATCATTCTCTGGCTTAAATTCAGTTCAAGTGCTGCCAATGTCTTTAAGCTCATTTGTGCATTTCGAAGTGTGGGACACCAAAGTTTTTTTTGCCGTCTTAACAAATTGAAAGCTGTACGAAATTCGTGAATCCTAATGTCAACCGCGTACATATTTAAATGCTGTCACCTCTATTTTGCACCTTTCGGAGTAGTCCAAGAGAATCTGAGGAGTCATGGGGCTCATAGCTGTTAGGCTTTTATGCTCATATCATCAGTGAGTTTTAAAGCTTTTGTGACGACGTTCACAATAGGTTACTTCACAGTTTTGTAACCTTTTTTTTTTATATTTTAATTATGCAGTAATTTTTGTACTGTGCATTGCTGTAGTTTGAATGCATATTGCACTTTTTATGTTGGTAAGAAAATAATGTACTGTATGTGCTAATTATGAAAATAAAATCCTCTTTTACATAACTTATCCTGAATCTTGTTTTGTTATTTTTGTTTTCTGCACACATATCTGAAGCCACTGTGCAGCTGCCATAGATTTTAATGGTTGTGAGTGAGAGTGCCAGAGGTTTTTCTACCATTCGAGATACTGAGGAATCCTTGATCCTCAGTGTATTATATTTCTGAGGTTGAGACATTTAACAGTGGTTGATTTCATGTTGAATGTGGTTTTCATTGAACATTTTTTATTTATTTCCTTTTGCATGTCCTGTTTTTTTGTGCAATTTTGGATAAATGGCATGTTGCAGCAATCACTCTTACAAAGGTCTTGTCGCCACAAGTGGGTCACAATCAGGACGCTGTTTTGAGGATGAATTGCAATGTCAGTTTTCCACCATACAGTTTTATGACCTAAGCCTGTTTTAAACTTTTCCACGGCTTTCTCCCTGAGCTGCCTGCTGCGTTGCTCTGCCTTTATGATGCTCAGCTCAATAAATCTTTTAGGCCCTCACAAATCACACGCAGATGGGCTCTATTTACTAATTATTCGTTTTGTGAAACCAATTGTTCGCTTCGTTTTTCGGTGTCGGAGGATAGAAGGCTGAACACAAATGCACACCGCACTTTTCAGATTTTTATTTGTAAAAAGAAACCCATCTCTCATTTTGCTCTCATCACACCATTACGCCCTGTGGTTGTGTCGGTCTAATAAGTAACATCCCAACAAAGTACTGCACAATTTGTGGTCATGTGAAAAAGAGTTAAAAAGGAAAAGAGTATGGACTCCATACTGTAGTTTGTGGACCCTGAATTACATCATGGTGCCCTCATCTGTGTGTTTTGGCAGTGGGACCATTTTCTAACAGCCAGGTTACATAACATTTGGCTTTCCATTACTCTTTGCATGACATCAGCGAATTACTGAAGTTAAATGTGTCCTGGGTCTAAATGGCTGCAGTCCTGGATGCAATAGGGAACTGAAGAGGCAGAGATGTTGCTAAGTGCTGTTTGTTATGGATTTATGCTGTGAACACCAGCAATCCTTCCTGAGATTATATTGTAAATATCTGACTGGAAATGCTGCATGTACGCTGAAAGACGTGCTGTAACTATAGAAGTTATTACATGCAGGAGTACATTTAGCCTGTTTTTAATCAATGATCTTAACCTGGTTGCTTGAGTTAGTTTTATTCTAAGTGAGGTGACCTCTTCAACTTCGCAAGTGCAGAAACATTGGCTGGTGAAGCTAATCACTTTGTCTAGGAAAAAACAGTAGCCTTCAGCTTGGAGTCGATGGGTGTGGTCCAGCCCCTCTTCTCCTTCTGCCGGTGAATTCTTGGCCGTTGTGCTTGCACTTTTGTTTTATTATCCGACACTGCATCCTGTTTTGGTCATTACTATAGAGACAGCAAGAAACAATAGAAACCCTCGGAGCTGTTTTTCAGATGATGTTCCACCCGGGCCGCCTGCTAATGATTACAAAGACCCTAAAGGTCATAACATTTTACATAGTACCACATCTGACTGCTCGAGATGCCAACACCTAATGTTACCCTCAAAATTAGGAATACGTTTCCAGAACTTCTCCATAAACACTGAAGGTGGAAGATATGTTCAACAAAAGACAAAGTGAAAGTGAAAAATAAAATGCACAAAAAAAATTTTCAAATAAAACTCACTTTCAACAGCGATGAGGTCGATACGCAAAATCACAATATTATTTCACACACCGCTATAATTATTTCCTCTGGGTTGTACAGCACTGTCTTGTGTTTATCTGTGAACCATGGAACTTATTTTTTTCATTCAATTCAATTTACCCTTTGAGTTGAACTTTGATAAGAAGCATATCAAAAGTATTCATACCATTTTAACTTTTTGTCAAATTACAACCTTATATTAAACATACTCTTATCAGGATTTTATGAGAAAGACCAACACAACGTGAAGTAGAAGGAAGATGATACGTTACAGGTTTTCACAACTTTTTGCCAGTAAAAAGTTAAGATGCGTGGTATGCATTTCTAACCCCTTCCCTCTGATACGTCTATATTAAAGCCAGTAAGTAAACACACATAAAGAACAGTAATTAGTACCTACTTGTGTATAAGTTAATCACCATCCTTATTACAAAACACAGCGGAGGCAGTGTAGTACTGTGGGGATGCTTCTTCTCTATCTGAGATAGTGGTGACTTAAATGTTTTGCACAGTGCTTTATTTCCTTTTTCATAGGTAGATGTCTATTAGTACACACACGTTTACAAGAGTATTTTGAATCCAAAGTGAAAGACAACATGAAGGCATCCGATCCCAAGTCCACTTCCCTGAACATGTATTTCTGTCTTAGCTGTCATGAAGATGGGATTTTAAGTTAAACAACTTTCTCCTACGTCTCTTCATAGCTGCAAGTTATACTACAAGTCCAAGATTTCCTGATTGCATTAGTCAAATGTGCAGTGACATCACATGGATGTAATATAAGCCTCCCATTGCTTGTGCCATTCGAGGGAGGACTGATCATCATTAAACAACCAACAAAGAACACCCTGTCAGTCCTGAGGGAGAGCGACCAACTTTGCCCAGGAATCCTAACCGGTAAGTGTCAGCTGCAGCATGTAATAGGTGATCGATGTCATGTTCACCATATAGCCAGAGCGCTGTGTCATCTTTATCGTAACCTGAACCATATTGTTGTGGATGTTCTCTCGTCACACCTGATTGAGCAGATACAGCAATGTTGTTCACAGATGCTAAAACTTCGGTCTGTAAGAGGTTGTTGGTTCCCTGGTGTTGAATTCCTGTATGTCTGAGTATGTTGCAGCAGCAGCAGAGCACATGGTGATCAAATGATCTCTTCAAGGAGCTTGAGACGAAATAATGAACCAGTTGTTGGAGAGGAAGAATTTGCTTAAGGGAAGGAGTTTCCAACAAGTCGTAGAGTAGCTGGAAAACAACCAATAAAAGTTAATTCTTCTACTTACTGACAGCAACTTTAACCCAAACTGAAGGGGGAAAAAAATACCATAATGTCTTCTGTATTTTACTGCTATTCTGCTTTATTCTGTCTTTTTGCTGTTGGACCATGCATCTGGTTGTTAAATGGGGCTGTCAGATGAGAAGACAGCAGTCAGTCATATGTTTTCACACAAGCAGGGGATGAGGACACAGGCAGGAAGCACACTCATGCTCCAGAATGATCATTGTTTATTGTGCTGTGCCATTTTTCCTGCTTACTGCTGCAATTTTGTGATGGCAAACTCATTTAGCAATTAGCCAAAGTCATGGAAAAGTTTATGTCCTCCTTCCAGCTCCCTACTCTGGTCAAGGTTCTTCATCATGAGCAGGAGTGAAAAATACCCAGATGTCTGAGTGAAATGCTTAGTGCTAATGTATTGACTTCAGTCAATAAGCATTGATATAAAACAGAGACTGTTGCCTAAATGACATGTTGGTAAATCAGTCACGATTTATGACAGTAAGACATGAGAATAGTGGTAGTCCTTGTATGAATGGCACTCTGCAGTTGTACACCATCCCCATGTTAAATACGATCATTTAAAATTCATTTTATTTTCCTTTTAAAAAAACACTGAAATGGGAACTTACAATTAACTGGAAGTCAGACTACATTGCTGTACAATGCAGAGTACAGCAATATTTAATGTACACAACACAGGGGACGCACGCCTACTCTCTATTGATCAGACATACGAACAAAACTGGTTTAGAAAATCAAGTTTGCTGTTTGAGCCATATCACCCAAATCAAAAACGACCACTGGTGATGAGAAACACTATTTGAGATTTAATAAAAATATTTCTGAAAGACTGTTCACAAATTCAAGGAGGATATTAATCGGTTTAAATGTAGTCACTAAAACATTTTAAGGAACCGGAGTAAGATGAAACAGTAATAATAAAGAGTTGACAAACCATCTCCTTGAAAACTTTTCTTGGGTTAATGACTTGTTTAAGGCATGAATTATACTATCCTCTTAAGACTTAAACCTGCAGTAAGCAACTTTGATAAAAGATATGTTTTTTACACATTTCTTGAAACAGTTGCTGTGTCATGACAGCATAGTATGAAACAGATAACATGGGACAAAATAGACGCCCGCTGCCTTTTCCCAGAGCTAACAGTGCTAACTAGAAACAACCAATCAGAGTTAGATGGAGGATCTTAGTGCTGTCTATCTTGATCAAGTACGCACTTCTCAAACCCTCCCTCTTTCTCTCTGTTATACAGCTTCTCCCCTTCAGCACAGATTGTTGTGAATGCCAAGGTTAGTTATCACAGCCTCCTATTCTTTTCTAGAATGGCGAGTTGTTTCTCTGCCATCAGCACATTTAGCATTGTGTTCATGAGGATGATTGACAGCACTAAAACACTCCTCCTTACTCAGATTGGTTGGTTTTGAGCGGTGCATTTCTTCAGATGGCAATAGCAGCACATAGGAGGTGAAGGAGATTGAACTTTTCAATCTCTTCTGTTGCATGAGTTACGGTATGTTAGTACATTTTAAAACAAGATCTTTTTGTTGCAAGGTAACAGTGTCTTGTGTTGTTCTTTAGCACCCCAAAACAAGCAGGATGTAGGCAGAGTTCTGATCAACAGAGACAAAAAAGGGAACAGATGTAAAAAAAAAAAGAAGAAAGAAAGAAAGAAAACATAGGTGATGGAGCCCAATGCACAAGGGAGGACAGATTACCAGAATAAAGCAGAAGTAAGATCTGCAGAGATAATCAAAAACAAAGAGTTAAATTCCTTAACCAAAATAACAAACCAGCTCGCAGAATTAGCACAAAGTCAAAGTCCCAAGGAAAACAAAACTTACATCTGCCATCTGGGTCAGAAAACAGACAACCTTCTCTAACTCCAAAAATTGGACTTAATTTTAGACTCAGTTCTGGATTAAAAACCAGCAGAATTCTATCCTAACAGTTCAAACCCAGCACTTTGGTAAAACAAAATGTTGAACCTAACATTTTGGGAACACATTTGTCAAATAAGAGCAGCTTGAGTA